CCACCCTCAACATGCTCCGATCGCGCTCAACTTCAATTATGTTATGAACATAACTCCAACATAAAACATACTGATTTTTGGGATCCCTGCGACCCTATTTATATGCGCGACCGGGGCTTTGAACGTTCTGCGCGACCCAGTGCCACTCGAATTTTTCCCCTCCTAAAAACCCTAATTTTAGCTCGACTCGGGCCCATTCGAGCAACCCTGATGGCCGAGGCTGCTCTCCAATGGCCTCCAGCTGGTCTACCCCCTGTGCGTTGCGTTGCGTTGCGTTGCGGTTCGGGCGGTTGAAAAGCGTGGATTGGATTGTATAGATTGAAGTCGGTTTGGATATGGCGCTAAATCAACTTTATCTCCGGGGTGCGGGAACTAGGCCTGACCGGGTTAGCGTGGTTCCCGGTCACCAACCTTCGACAGAATTGGGGCTATGAGGATGTCTGTCAGCTTTATCTTCAGATCTATCACATTAAGGATACATTTGTTCCAATGGCCTTGGTGTGTTAGTCATCATGCAAAAGAGTTTCGTTTTGAGTATTTAACGCGAAACGGGCTTAATTTGAGGACAAACATGGGGTTCCGTGATTAAGTAATCCAGTTCAACGAACTCGCCCAAGCCCAACTTCAACGCATTATACTACATGAACCACACAAGGAATCAAAATTGTGATAAAACGATCAAAGTATACGGTATTAATTGTACTAGAATCCCAAGAATTAGCCTCGAAGGATGTGGTGGTGATGCAAGGTCAGGTCGGCTTCTACCGCATGGTTTCCTAGCTCTAACTAGCCATCTACCTCGCAGTTCTATATTAGTAGCTTTCATCATCACTATAGTCAATAGTGATATACTCTTTTCGGCGTTTCTGTGCAGATAGCACCTTTTCTTTATCGCTGAGCTGACCATAACGCCTTTTCTGACCTCTTGGAGCGTCGAAACCCAGCAGTTTATGCCATTCAGAACTGATTGCCCGAAACCGGATCCGCTTCGCCTCAATAACTCCGGGCGCCTCCTTCAAGCCACGTGCATAAGTAGTTCCGGCCATCCAGGACCCATGCGCGGCCTGTTCATCCACAATCGGGTCATCTGGCCCATAGTCGCGCTTGAATCCACCACATTTCAGGTGGACGCGAGAAATACCGATCGCTGCATGGCGCCAGTTAAGCACATGCAGCTTGGTCTGCAGATGGGCCTCCCCTTGTGATCTCAACACCGCTCCAAGACGTTTCGCATCCCAATGCCCCCTCCCCTTCGGCCAGAAATACGGCGACCGCATCCGGGTATTGCTTTGGCAGGCAAACATAGCGGCTTGCTCTGCGAATGGTTGGATCAGCCAAAGATAGTACACCACAAGCTCGCTCACCACTCGTGGCAGGTATCGGTGGATGATCTTCATGGAGTTGGTGACGCTCTTGGATTTATGGTAGCTAGTGACAATGCAGACCAGTCCATGTTCCACGAAGACGTTGCGATGTCTCCCTTCCGGGGTGTTGCAATACCGAATCGAGATCAGTTCAGTGGCACGCGCGGGTTGGCCGGAAGTCATGTGGACCAGCAGTAGCAGCCGTTGTAAGAACTCATCGACCCAGTTAAGATATTCCAGGAGGAGAGCTTTATTCCACTTCACAGCCGGACGAACTTCAGTCCTGGTGGCTGGGCCGACCTCAACAAAGTCCTTGCGAAGGGCCTCGGTGGCCATAATGCGGTCCAGCATCCATCTGTCACCACGCGTGGAGAGAAGCTGGCGGTTTTTCCTATGCTTCAGGAAGTTCCACCCACGCTGGTTGTTGACTGGATCATCAGTGAGCTGGTGCAGGGGCAGCTCTGGGATCGTACCAGCGCGTGCTTCACCTTCATTAAGCAGGAAGAGTCTCTCAAGCTCATATTGGGCAAGCTCCACTTGCGTGCGGATAAAGGCGGCCAGGGAATCCATAGTAAGCTGGAGATCCCGGTAGTGGAGTGACTGCTGATCACCACTCCAGATGAGAAATCCAAGGCTGGTGGATGTATTCTGCACTTTCTTGCCATAGGTGCGGAGACGGGCGATCCAGCTGAATGGATATCGGACGCCATACATCAGGAAACGTTCTTGCATCTCTTCAAGCGCATCGCCAGGGTGCTTGACCTCGTTCCGATCGGCCAGATCGACTGCCTGCTGGGTGACGAGCATCTGGGAGATCTTCACCAAGGCGGACAGGTATGTGGTATAGCTGCCAGGCTCGAAGTAAGTCTGGTTCTTGCTATCAACACCTAGCGCTGCCATGAAGGCAACCACAGGGCTCTCAAAGAAATCGCCACGGATCTCATGGTCTAGGAGCGCGAGAGACAGGTCCAGGCAGGCTTGGTCAAGATCCTTCATGGCCTGGCTGGTGGGTGTCTGAGTCTGGTCGCGGGGCGGGAGACCTGGATCGACGTTGGCGTCCTGCATAGAACCGGGGTCCCTCGCATGAAACAGCCGCTGGAGGGAGCCTTGGATGTCGTCAATGGCGCTGAGCTGGGAGGTGGTGAACTGGTGGCGAAGCTGGAGCTGCTGGTCGGGCTGACTCGTGCGATACGCAAAACTCAGGAGACGGACCCAGGTCCGGCAGTAGCCATGATACGTCTTGGGCCGGAGCTTGATCTGGATGGGGCGCTGCCAGATACCGGGTTTCTGGACAAAGCTGTTGATGCGCACTTGGTCAAACTCGTTGATACGATGAGAGACGATCGACTCAAATGCCCGATCGATGAGTCTTTTCACGCTCAGGCCAATCGCGACCAAGGTTGGCTCGGTCATGGGGTCCGGGTGGGAGGCAAGTTGGGCGATGTCCCGGAACGCATGCCCTCGAACATACTCAGGCCATCGGGTGAGCTCCAGCCACGGGGACGTGTCGGTGGCATTCTCGTCCGTTGGCGCCATCTGGTCTTCTGCATCCGCGATCCCATCAGATCGGAGGAGCGCCAAGTCCACCTGGGATCGGATATATGCAGCTTCATCGAGTTCCGGGGCCGGGGCCTTGGGGTCCGCCAGCTCCGCCGGATTGGGCGTGACAGCGAAGTAGACACTATGCGGCCCATATGGATGCAATCGCTGGCAGTACACCGGCTCCAGGGCCCGGAGTCGGAGTATATCGTCATCTGGGTCGACTGGTGGCCTCCCCGGGGGTAGACAGCATCGCGATGCTTATCTCCACGATGTTTGCCCATAGTGCTTCGGGTGCGGCACGCGTATCGACAGCCGTCGGCGGGACAGCGGTAGCCACGATGGACCGTTAATCCAGGAATTGGCCGGGAGTCAGGGGGTGGTGGGGTGAATGGCTCCGTGTCAGGGTTCCATGGGTTCGCCTTCATGGCTTCAGCATGAATAGCTGCCCGTTGGTCGCCAGTGCGGGCCATAGGGTGTTGTCGGTGCTTTGCGCCTAGGTGGGCAATCATGGTTTTGACATCCACCACATATTGACAGGTCTTGCAGATCCATAACCGATATGTGGCATTATATGTGAAGAATACCCCGATGGCGTCCATGGTGAGAGCGCTAGTGGAGAAGGCAGCGGTGAGTGAGGTCGATATAGAAAAACACAAGGTGTAGATTCAAAGAACTTGATCTAGGGAGGCAGGGAATAGGGGTTGAACGGCACTGGGGCCGATGTGATAGGTCATCCCGGAGAGTACCTCGGGATCTGACACGCGGGTGCGGGACTGCCGGAGGTCTGGCTGACCGATCTAGATATTCCAGCGCAATGCAACAAATAGCGACATCGAGAGATCAATAGTTGGGGAATCAAATCAGATATGGCCTCGGAATTATCAGGAACACGTCGATCTGGGCAGATCACATATGAGCCCAATGCACCCGGCAAACTGGGCTTGACAGTGTAAAGATATATATTGTAGTGGGGAGACCCCCTCCCCCTACTACATGGGTGCCATCCAGACTATGTGACATAGCCGGCAGTATACGGTGGCCGGATAGCCAGTTCTCGAATACACCTTCTTACACCTCCCCGACCTGACCCCTACATACGCGTGTGTTTTGTGGTGGTCTTTCTGCTGAATCGACCCGCACGTCCCAGCGCGTGCTGCCATCGAGCGTTCCCCTCTTCAATACATATACTGTAAAGACGGGGATACACATCTATACTCTAAATGTGATAATTCGGTGTGGTGAAGCTTAGGTCTGGTACGATCGTGCGACCGGAGTGTGGATGATTCTCCAACTGCATCATATAGCAATCCTTGGCCGAATGAATCGTGAATAGTCTATGGCTGTGCCCGGCAGGGTCGCTGCGGTCGGCGGTTGCGGATTTCGCGAATTTGATGGGGGCTATGATGCTCTTAAAATATGGGATATCAATCAATCCTCTGGCAATTAACCTCTGACATCTCGACGAAAAACTAGTCCTGTGAACTAAACCTGATGGGGGTGATTTTCGGAGTACGGCGGATGGACCACGGTCGGCGGGTGATGCGCGCTCCTGCAAAAACATCGGGCGTTTTCGAACCCCAGAAACCAAGCTTATATCAATATGGATTGGCCTCAAATTTGATCTGACTATCAAACCGAATTGCTTTTACAACATATTCAAATTTGGGGTATCTTTGTCAGCAAAAATGTCAACACAATGGGCCCCGAAACCCATTTTACGACGGCAACCCTAAAACCCTAGAAACCCTACGGCACATTGAATTTACGCCCATGGGGTGGGGTCCCGCTGCGGTCGGCGGTCGCGGACTGCGCGAATCTGATGGGGCGCGGGCCCTCCGGGCACGCACCGAGGGCGCCGGGAGCACGCACGGGGGACCAATCAGAGGGCGAAGAAGTCGAGCGGGCCCCGGGTGGAACACCCTCTAGAGTATACCATCTTGAGGAATGCTTCGATATTGCCTGGGATGGGCGGCAGTTCGATATCCAAGGGCATTGCCTGGGCGAATGATATCCAGCCATGTTGAGGTAAATGTCCATATTGCGTAGTGGGAATGATTGGGCACCTAGATACGCATGCCGGGAGCGAATTCCGTATCAGTTCTTCATTCCAGCTCGACCACCAGCGATACCGTTGGTGCTTGTCCCGGCTGAACAAGGTCTGTTGGTCTGGGTACGGCAGCATCCAATGCGTGCTGAGAAAGCGATGTTTCAGGCATGCTTGCCAGGAAGTGGCTATTTCCTCACCATAAATTTCTTGGATTTTGATCACACAGCGGCGGTACAGTGTACGATATGGTTTATGAGCCCAGTGCAGGCGGCTATACTCGTCAGGATGCAGCCCCCATAGCCAAGCAAATAAATGATCAACACGCCTAATGCCACAACGACTGCCAGTCAGGATGGCAGGAGGCCAGTGTGTGTCTTTTAATACCCGTTGTAGGGAGGGCTTGCTGAGCGCTACCTGCCCAGTCTCTGCAATGCTCTGAAATTCAGGGCGTATGCCCGCCTGCAAGACAGTCAGAATATCTTTCCGAAAGGCGCGCAGACAGAAGTCAATGAGGAGGGAGAGCAGCGCAGTAGACGCGGTATGGTCTCGCTGATACTGAATTATATACAGAAAATAATCCTCGAGTAGAAGAAAATCATTCTGGTATTTGCGGACGCGCTCGTAATTGACTCGAAACTGGGCCATGACCGCTGGTGTGTGGAGGTCCATGTGGAGACGATGGGCTGGGCGGAAACCCATAGTATCCCAGTGGATCTTGTTAAGGAACCAGCCATAGCCGTGGCGTTGAATAGTGGTTCCCAGTCCAATGCCCTCCCGATACTGAATCTGGCCATTGGACCCCGGAACTTCTTTCACGTCTTGCCAACACGCCCGGCTTTGCTCTAACCGGTTCCCGCCTCCGCCAAATGCCCGTCGGAGACAGCGGAGGAACAGGATCATTACCTGGGTGCGATCCCAGGACACCATAGAATGGCGCTGCAGACTATTTGTTAACTCGAATCCCGCACATAGCCGATTTATGTTCCACCGGACCCATTTAAGGATAGTCGCAGTGGAATGGATATAGAATGGTTGACTTGATGGATTTTGAACCACCCGTTGAGTCGCGCGGCGTCGCTGAAACTCCTGATTAATTTGGATCAGGAGGTCTTCGCGCACCCGATGCTCTTCCCGGGTCCCAAAAGATTTTCCAATAGATGCATCGATTGCAGTGGCACACCGGGACTTGCTGTGGATGTACGCGCGATGGAGGGTGTTTCGGTCATGAAAACCTTTCCCGATATGCTGCCAAGTTTGATATGACTCGTGGTCCAGGGCTGGAGCCTCTAACAGTGGATTACTGAAGGGGTACTGATTTCCAGCCGCAAAGATCTCTTTGACCGAGTTGTAGAACTGGCTGTAAAGGAGCCCGGTCTTACGGAGGTGAGATCTAGTCCGGGTTTGGATCGTCAAGGACCCTGTATCTCGGAGAAACGAGAAAGGATAAAATATTGTCTTCCCCGGGTTCTGGACTAGCGGGGAGCGGAGAAGCTTGTCTAGACAGCATTGTTTCCAGAGCAGAGTTTGCCCCCGGATGGGCTGGCCAGAATCGGGGGTAATAGGACATGTTTCCTTCCCAATATCAAAGAAGACCTCGTGAATATAACTCTGGTTGGCAGTGCTGCTCCATAACTGTTGAAACCGATGTTGCATATCGGACCAGGTCGCGGACTGTGTACGGAGCTTTAGGTTCTTAGCACTCAGGAAAAGACGAACCCCCTGGAATTCGTCTAGCCCCTTTGCTCGAATAATTTGATGAACAGCCTGCCAGATATGATCTAGGTGCTCGGGGGGCAGAAAGTAGCTGAGTAGCTGTTGACGGGACTGTGTCTGGATCGATCGGCCCTCCGCCCACGCCGCCCATGAGTTTGAGTTGCTATGACTGAAACTGGAAGGGAAATGCTGTAGCCGGGCATCGGAGTAGTATTGATGGACCGCTGGGAGGAGGATATCGTCTATCCAGACCCGAAACTGATCATCTGGCAGTCGGCTAGACTTCTGCTGGGGCTGATGGAGTCTAGGGAACAGGGCGTAGATCGATGCATCCTCGAATCCCGACACCCGGGCAAACGTGTAGTGCTTAACGCGATGTAGCGGTACTGAGACGCAATGTAGGTGACCGTGGCCATCTGTGAACTGAACCGGGAGTGGATCTAAGTGAAGATCCGACTGGAGGTCCGAGACCGGCCGCTGAACAGGATACCAGTAGAGGCCTTGGGAACAGACAGCTGGACTGGTTACATGAGCTAAGACACTGTCAATATCGAAGTGGACGGCTGCTGGCCCTAACTTCTGTTCTCCCCGGGCCAAGCAGATAGCAGGCACGCTGCTGGGTTGTCCCGCATCGGTTCCGCAGAAGACTTTTTCACGCTGTTCTGGTGGCCAGTCCTCGATCAATTGGTCACCAGACCTGGCCAGTCTGGTAGTGCTGAGCACGTCGGGACAGGGCCAGCTGAAGACCTCGTTCAGACCGTGGCTCGGTGATCCGACTGGGTTCCGCTCGTGCTTATATCGCGTATGGCAATCAATGCAGCACTCGGGAGACCGGAGGAGCTGTTCCGCGAGTAGCGCTCCGGTACTTTTCGTTTCTTGGTCTGGAGTGGGACTCTCTAGCTCGGTATCCGAATCGACGATGATGTCAGGATCTGGCACGTCCACATCAGGCCACACGTCATTCGTGTCGCTCAGAATACGTGTATGATCACAGCCGGACTGGTTAGGGGATCGGATCGGAGATTCTTCGTTATCCTCGCTGATCAGTGCCGCGGGCGATGATTCGCTAGTCCGTGAGGGATCGAGCGGATGATGATCTGGATTTGCGTTCACAGGTATGCTATCTGGCAAAATACAGGTCGAGTCGGCGGACAGAGATCGAGGGAGAGCGGCACTTCCAGGTTCAATGACTGCAGTTGGTGTGGGGCTCAGAGGAAGCGAGAGCGGCTGAATGTCTCCAGGCAGCGTGGGTTCCTCTCGGGGAAGGGCAAAAGAGGGAGTGGTAGGAAGAACAAGCCCAGCAACAGGCTCGGCGGTTACGTGAGCGAGATTGGCACAGTACGGACCGATTTGAGACGCATAGTTGGCAGCCTCGGCAGCCCTGGCGGACTGTCGCCGTCGCTGATGCCGTCGTTGAATCGTGCGAGCCTCGCGCCTCTGCTCCACGGATGGGTGTTTTCGTGGTCGGCCACGCTTTCGAATATTAGGACCTGTGGCTAGTAATGTCATGTTAAACTTGGCTCCTCAGCGGTCGATCGCACGTGGGGATGAGAAGCGCTGGATTCACCCCTGCAAGGCATGGTCAACAGGGCGGATGGAAATAGGGGCTGCAATGAATAAGTTCGCGGCACTAATTGAGGACACAAGATTCGATAGGTCAGAAAATGCATCTCTGATCAAAGAGTAAGAAAGTTACACTAATGACCAAAAGAGGTTTAACTTGGCACTATTCCAAAATCGGTTTAGCTGTCGCCGAAAATCGATCACTGTCGCCGAAATTATGAACTTCAAAAAGTCCCCAACTTCCCTACCTTCTTTTGGCTCAACCAGAGATGTTGGAGGAGTTTCAAGTGTGGATTCTGATTAAGCAGATCTTCTTTAACCTCTATCTACGAGACCAAATCCCTGCGACCCTGGGGTGGCTCTGGTCCTGGCCATGAATTACCCGTTAGATAATATGTAAAAAGAGAAATGGCTTTAGAGTCTGGCGGATGCGGGCTTTCTAATCATGCTAAAATAATCTCCATCCGGGCGTTGTGGTGTTGTGGTCACCTGCCACAATTTGCCTGTTGGAAGCCTCACGCTGCCGTTTGACCCGCCGTCGATAGGCATTAGCCGCCAGCCTCTCTTGTCGAGTTGCATACTTTGGAGGTCGGCCTCGCTTTCCAGATGGATTGTGGCCTTGTCTTTGGGATCTATGATGATTCGCCGTCATCCGTCGAGACGGTTGATGGATCTCCACCGGCCGGGCAAGATTTGGGGTAGGCTGCACTTGAGTAACCACCGGTGATGCACCAAAGAGCGTCATGGATCCCTGAATACTAGACTGGATCTGAGCTAATTCCTGCTGCCTGAAGGCCAGCTCGCAGCCATATGTGATCCATTTTCGAACAGTCGCCAAGCTCTGCTCCATTTGTTGATGGACCGCAACCTCACACTGGAGTTCCGACTCATACTGCTGGAGACGCAGCTGACTTGAGGGGACAGTTTGGAGGTCTGGTGGTTGAAGAAGTGGTTCATTAATGGTATCAGATCCCTCCTGGCCTTCCGAGGCACTGTTCGGTTCCATTAGGTTCGCCTCGGATGTTGAACGACCTACAGGCGATTCAGAGATGTGCATGCTCCCCGGCACAACCTCTGCATCCGTAAGAGAGGAATCCGGGCCTTCGTCTACGTCCCAAATGATTCGACGAGTACTCCGTACAGGATACCGATGGGCCTCATTGGGAAATTTCGATAGATGATAAGCGGAGCTGTCAAGGTCGAATTGGAGTTCCCAGGGTATATCTGCTGGCTGTGGACCACGATGACGATCGATCCATGACTGCCATTGATGCTTATCCCAATCGAGGCATCGAGGAACTGGTGCCGGGCAGCCTGGCCGCCACTTGTTTCTTGCCCAGCACCAATCATCCAGCGCGGCATGTTCTGGATTAAGATGGGAGTCGGGTCGGAGATCAAGGGAATACCAGCGGTGGTTGCCATGTTTTGTTTTTTGCATTAGTTCATATGAGGACGGGTACGGAAGCACCCAGTGGTATTCAAACAGGTAGCGGAGAAGTCGGTTTGCAAATACATGTGGTAATCTTCGGTCCGCCGGAACCTGTTGCAAGGCTGCGCATATTCGCTGATAAAGTGTGCGGAATGGCTTGTTATCCCAGTTGACACGTAGTCGACCATCGTCGAAGCCAAATAGGGCTCGAGCTGCTTCTTGAGGGCTCTTGATACTAGTCCGGTTGCCTGTTACTGCGGTCATGCCTCTCGGCAAGATCGCTGATAGGCCGCTCCGGCAAAACTGAATTTGATCGTCCAGAATCGCAGAGCGAATATCCGGTGGGATATCACGACGGACAGCGCGCAGAGTGTCTAACCGCATCTGCCGGAGACATAGATGAACTAACCATGACAGAATTCGATTGGTGATAACGTCCTCATTAGGATGCTGCTGTAGCCATTCGAGGCCCCAGTCAGCGCGGCGACTAAGATCAAAGAAATGTTGGATGTGGCCGCCACATTGGAGATATCGTCGTTGGAGGGTGCCACTTCCAAACAGAACTAAGTCAGTGATATCGGGGAGGAAAGTCATTCGAGTCCAGTCGATCCGAGGCTCGAGCCAGCAGTAACCATACTGTTCTAGCGTTTGGCTGAACCCAAGCCCATACTGCACCTGCATCGGTCTGGCTGGCCGTGGGGGACATTCTCGACGACTCCACCACAGCGAGCCTTGTCGGGAATAATCATGCCCCCCAACAGCGACCCGAAGACAGGAGAGGAGCATATCCATCATTTTCGTCTGCTCCCACGTAGTCAACCCAGGGGAGCATCTAGCTCGGACCAGCTCGAACCCCGTGGTAAATTTGTTGAGGTTGTGCCAGACGAAATCGACGAAGTCGGCGGTGCGAATCACCCACACATGCTGGGGGGGCTCTAGGAACCTAGTGGAGAGGTTCACACGCCTGAGAGAGCGCAGGACCGCTATAAGGCCGTGAAATAATGCCCATGAGATACGATATTCTTCTCGGATGCCGAAGGCTCGCTGTCGAGAGTCCATCAGACCATAGTGGCAGCGACGTTTGCTGGCAAGGTACGCGCGTTCGGTGACCCCGTTGGCCCGTGGTGACATCTTGCGAAGGCTCTGTGCGCTGTTGCGGAGCTGAGAATCTAGTGCCAGCTGTCGGAGGTCCGGATTCTGAAATGGGAACGTGCGAGTGGCATCGATAATCTCCTTGGTGAGGTTGTACATTTGACCATACAACACACCTCCACGGCGAAGACGGGAGCGGGCAGGCGTCAGAGTCGTCAAAGAACCCGCATCTCGAAGCATCGACTCATGATAAAAGTTCTGGTTCGACTTCGGAACGTCCCCGTCATAGAGCTGATGGAGGTGATGTCGGAGGCAACATCGCCGCCAGAGGTATGTTTGCGGTTCGTGTGGTGGAACCCCACCCGTGTCCTCTGAAGGAATGACATGTGGAGGGCATACTTCTTTGCCCACGTCGACGTACAGCCGGTCATGCCAAACGTGGGAAAAATCCAGAGTGCGATGTAGCTCGCGATCAAAGTTTTCCAGGACAGCGAGCATGTCGGATGGCGTAGCGGCAGATTTGAACCGTAGTTTAGTCCCTTTTGCCTCGACTAATAGCTCGGGCTCGCGGAAATCCTGTAACCCAAGCTGCGTGACTGTCGCCAGGATGCAATGCCATAGCTGAGCCAAGCATTGCGGTGGCAAGAAATACGACATCTGAAGCTGAGGCTGATGACCGGGCGTATCACGCAAACAATTCTCAACCCGGGAAGCACGACAGGTGGCCAGGGCGTGCTGGTAACTTGCCGGCAGATGCTGGAGGTGATCGACAGCACAGACCTGGCGGAGGGCAGGGTAGAAGATCTGATCAAACCACCGCGAGAATTGCTCGTCAGTTAACCTCGTAAAGTCGCAGTAGTGCGGCAGGTGGGGAAAGAATATATGAAGAGTGAGAAAATCGGCGCCCTCAACTCGTGCAAAGAGGAAATGTGGCACATCTTTCAATCGGGATGTGAGCAGCCGGGGCCGCTGATGACTACCAGCCTCCCGTTTGATGGTGATGTGGACATCGCTGTGAATATTTTGGTAATATTGCGGGGCCGAATAGAACCGGATCCCATGCACCGCTACCGCCGGGGAGTCCACAAAGCCCAAGATGCTGTCTACGTCAAAGGAGGTCATCGATGGCATCTTCTGGCTCCGTTCGGCATGAAGGCAGACCTGCTTCGGCTTGCCATCTCGGTACTGGGGTGTTGTTCCCGAGAATATCTCCCTCCATTGGTCAGGAACAAGGGGCGTCTCCTCCTGGAGAGCTTGCCGTGGGAAGAGCTGTGACTTATCCAGTGTGCGAGGGATTGCGTGATGGAAGAGCTGATCCAACTTATGATGATTGCAACTTTCCTCAGCTTCGATGTGGGCTGCAAGAGATTCCCGATGCTTCTGAGCGCTACATCCATGGATCCCCACCAAAAATTGCTGAGCAAGCTTCTCCGTCGCGTATTCCAGATCAGTAGACGAGCTGTTTTTATGGACAAGATGTGGTGAGTCTTCGACATACCACTCTGGAATCTGAGGGACGGTCTCACACCCTTCGTCATCGGCCAAGCCCAACTCAACCGGGTCGTCTTGGTGATGCCGATAATACTCAATGTCATCCTCACTGGTTTCATTAACGAGAGTCTCGTCCCCGGGACCGGCGGCCATGCCACAGGCCGAGTCATTGACATCGTCACGTAGTCCACTCTCCATCACAGCCTCAAGTAGAGGTGACGGTGGGGCCGGCGATAAGTTGCTTCAATCACCTGATCTGTACAGGCAGGTTCGGCGCAAGGGGGGCCAATGGCAGGCGTGTACCGCGTGCTGGTGTTAGCACCAACGCATTGCTCATTCTTGCGGCGATTTCGGTAATTTTTGGCTCGGATAGCATCAAGACGACGGCGATGGGTGACTTGAGGATCTTCATCTTTGTCATGGGCAAATCTCACACGTCTCGCGTGGTCCAAGTCGGAGGCGATAATTTTGCGCTCATTGGGATGCTCTGGGCCTTCCTCTTCCGAAAGTACGTGAGGGGACTCAGCCCAACGTTCATCCTCCACAGGAGTAACCAGCGCGTCGTTCGATGTCTTCACTGCTCTTCGACGGGCTCGATTTTGGCGTTGGCGCTCCCGTGTCCGCTCCTCTGCGTCATCGGCACTAAAACGCGGATGAGATCTTTGCGGACAATTCAATTGAGATGGGTGCTTTCTGGGCATCTTGAAGAACGCCAAACAGGAAGAAAAGTACGTACGGAGACTTTCATTCAGGGGAGAGTGCGAAAGTGCACGAAGCTAGAAAAGGATAATTTGATATGTCAAATCGAACCCCTTATTCAACAACACGTGGCTCAGGGATCAGCCAATCATCGCAGGAAGTCAGCCAGTTTGGCAGGGATTCAGGCCTTGACAGGGATATGATCGGTATTATTGGCTGCGGCTGAGCGATCTGGGGTACTGGCCTGGTCTTGAGTCTATCCACTAATCCGGAACAGGAAATCGTCACGCTCTTGGCAAGAGAGTCGAAATCGCCAACTTTTCGACGGTGAGGTGCGACAGCAGAATCTATTCTGGTGTCATGAGACGCATTGTTTGGCATTCCTGATTGACCAGACAATGATCTAGAACAACCTTGGCGGATTCAAATGGTGTTTGGTGTCATAAACTTAAATGCTGGCCGGTACATGGGAGAGAGAGAGAGAGAATCGTCGCTTATGGCTTTCAGCCACGCACTACTGCTATATGCCCTGTTCGTCGCTAATCACTCGTCGCTTATCACTCGTCGCTTATCACTCGTCGCTAATCACTCGTCGCTAATCACTCGTCGCTTATCACTCGTCGCTTATCACTCGTCGCTAATCACTCGTCGGTTATCACTCGTCGGTTATCACTCGTCGCTAATCACTCGTCGCTAATCACTCGTCGCTTATCACTCGTCGCTTATCACTCGTCGCTTATCACTCGTCGCTTATCACTCGTCGCTAATCACTCGTCGCTTATCACTCGTCGCTTATCACTCGTCGCTAATCACTCGTCGCTTATCACTCGTCGCTTATCACTCGTCGCTAATCACTCGTCGCTTATCACTCGTCGGTTATCACTCGTCGCTAATCACTCGTCGGTTATCACTCGTCGCTTATCACTCGTGCCTTATACACTCATTGCTCAAAGCCTAATGGGAACTTAAACCCGTCGATAACTATCGTTCCACATAACCAACTGAGCTCGGTAGCGGCAGATGCCCCTTGCTGAATAAATATATTGTGACAGTTAAGAAGCCCCCGCGGAGTCAGGTGTGTCGTACGCAAGAATATATATTTGACTGACCACGGGTATGTGGGCCCCACCCCTTAACTACCGCTCACCCGACAATAGAATCTGGGGCAAGAGGTGCGCTTACGGAGATAGAGTAGGATTGAGAACCGCCGAAGGCATTAATCATCAAATTACAGTTACGCCCTATGGCATATCTGGTCAACTCAACCAGTGAAAAACCGCCATGATCCGGATCGTGCGAAGGCCCTGCAAATCGGTCTCTTCGCAAAACCAGTCGTGAATATTAGTAATCTCAGGAGGCTGCTCTCCAATGGCCTCCAGCTGAGGGACCACTTGCCGCTCAAACCCCGTAGGATCAGAGACCAGATGGCTGAGGACCATTGGGATCGCGACGTCGCGAAACTGGCAACCGGCTCCTTTGACTCGCCGCACCTGTCTTTCCCTGAAGCAAGACTTAGATTCAGTCTAACCAGGGCACGAACTGTGTACCAAAAGCTCGAAAAAGACAAGTTCTTCGCGCGTGCGTTCCCATGTCAACACGCCGAGGTCTCGTGTCACACGTGACCAATACCGGACACTGGCCCGTGACAATTAGAGGATGGATCAAATTATGAGTGTGTAATTTCAAAGTCTTGATCAAACGTCGAACGCAGAAATAGAGAACTTGTGGGGGATGTGACGGTTTTCCTGAAGCGGTTAGCGTGCGTGGCTTAAGTAATAACCTTATGTGACGGTTTTGACCGATTAGGAATAACCTTAAGTGACGGTTTCGACCGATCGGGAAGGCCCGCCCCGCCCATATCGGATGAAATTCAAACGTGAATAACTTCGCGAATACTAGTCATAGAGAAATAAAAAAGATATTTTTGTGGAGCCTGAGGAATCCTCTATCCGATTAGTTCTAATCTTTGCTATATTTGTGATGCTGAGCGTGGTACGTGATTGCATTCATATGCAGGTTAGACGTTGTGGTGTTGTGGTCACCTGCCACAATTTGCCTGTTGGAAACCGCAAATGCGGTTATGCCGCAGCCTACCCATGGGTTTCCCATAGAACCCATATTCTTCCATAATTTTGCATGACTAGACATAACTCAGTATAATTGTGAAGGGCTGAAGCAAGACTTAAATTCAATCTAGCTAGGCCACGAACTGTGTACAAAAGGCTTAAAGAAGATCTTCCCGCGCGCGTTCGCTATGTCAATATGCCAAGGTCTCGTGGCACACGTGACCAATATCGGGCATTGACCTGTGACAAGGTCTAAATCATGCCATATAATTTTGGAGCCATCGCGAAAATGCCGTGATGCTGTCTGTCCCATTTTGACAAATGACCAATACCCACATATCGACAGCCCAGGCTTTCCAGATATTGGGCATTCAGAATGTTTCTTCCGTCAAATATGAATGCAGGTCGGTACATGTTGTCCACAATGGAAGCCCAGTCAATTCCTCCCGTCTCATGTTCATGGTGGGCGCCATTGTTCTGGATATCCTTGGTGTGCATGCCATTTGTACCAACTGCGACATTAGTCTCGTACGGAGCTTGGCAAATGTCTGGAGTTTTGAATTGGTCCCACTCAGTGGCCACCACGACGGCGTCAGCACCTGCACATGCTTCTCCCGCCGTGGAGAAAATCCGTAGTCGCCTTGACTGCTCATCCGAAGCATTCACATCTCTATAAATCTGGGCTTCCGAAACCATTGGGTCGTATATATGAATCGTAGCCCCTTCTCGCAGAAGCTCGCGGGCCAAGTTCTTGGACGGAGAATTTTTAGTGTCTGATGTATTTTGCTTAAATGCAAATCCCAGAATTGTAATCAACTTCCCGTTGATGCAACCGTGCATACAACTGAGAATGCGTTTGGCAAATCGGCTTTGCTGGTCTTCGTTCATTTCTAAAACGACCGCCCAGTAGTCTGCGACAGAGTTAAGCCCGAGGCTTCGTGCGAGATAAATCAAGGCCGCCACATCCTTGGGAAAGCAGCTTCCACCCCACCCTAGTCCACTCTGCAGCATTTTATTGCCGATCCGGGGATCGGTGCCACACGCCTCTGCGACGGAGTTGATGTCAGCGCCAACTGCCTCGCAGATAGCACTCAATGAGTTGATACTGCTGATTCGTTGTGCCAGCAGTGCGTTAGATGCCAGCTTAGAAAGTTCAGCAGACCATTGGTTCATGGTAATAATGAGCTCATGCGGAGTCCACCTCCTATAGACGGCTGCTAACTTCTCTGCTGCCAGCTGGCCTGATGTTGTTCGCTGGCATCCAATTATCACTCGCGAGGGGTGTAGAAGATCGTTCACTGCGCTGCCTTCGGAGAGAAATTCGGGGTTGGAGAGAACCTCAAAATTGTATGTTCCTGTAGACACTGCCTCGAGCTACCATTCATCATCAGTGGTGTACTCGTAGGACGTAACAAATGAGCTTACTAAGTCTTGTATTATTGACGTGGTACCGCCTGGAACCGTTGATTTCTCAACGATGATTTTATCTGCCGTGGCTACTTCACCAATCGTACGCACAGCCTCTTGAATGTGAGCTAAATCCAAAGCCATTCCACTTCCAGCCCCATGATTCTTAGTCGGTGTATCTATGCATAGCATGATAATATCTGATTCGACAATAGCTTTTCTGATTTCGCAAGAAAAGCTAAGGTTGCAAGCATCTTTGCGTTGTCGAACCTGAGCTATGATATCACTCAAGCCAGGCTCGTACATTGGCAAATCATCTGAATTCCATGACTCAATTCTGGCTGCATTTTTGTCAACAACGGTTACTGAAATCTCTGGGCAGCAAAAGGCAAGCACCGTGCCTAATGGACCACCTGAAACTTTGATCAGCAGCTGTTCATGTTGACCGGAAAAAATTACATACCGACAAATCCGGCACCAATACAGGTTATTTTCTGAACCATGATTGATCGCAAGTCGAGATATAACACGTTATAGTGCGCCCAGACAAAGGTGATATCAAAGGAGATAGAATGACGTCTCGAAAATCAACGTGGAAATGAAATTGAAAGAAAGATTTAATATTCCGACCGGTCCCCTTGATCGGTTCTGTCTTGCCGCATTTGCTGCAGCATCGCAGGTACCTGAACTCCAGCCAGCGCCTCGCTAAACTTATAATTCTATCTGATTGGTCGGCATTGTGGGTATGTAAGCATGTACCTCACCAAACTGGTGTTTGTGCTGATTAAGTGTTGGGAAGACGTAACTAGTTAACTAGTAAGCTGAACGGGGTGGAGTCAGATCTCATGCCATACTGGGTTTCAGATCGGCATAGCTAACACGATTTAGCTTTTGTGTAACCTAAATCACCCGCACAAAATAATGTGGCGTGTGCAAACGCAGCTGAGCACACCTCAATATGGTCTTAGCTGACTTACCCCACAATGACATCAATAATACTGGTAAACAAGCCTGGCTCTAAAGGCACTATGTCGTCTGACGCACATTTTAAATAGCCCTCTATATATGAGCTATAAGACTTGTGGAAGAAACTAAGTTGGTGGTGGGATTTGAGGGGATATTCTGCGACTTGTCAACCAATCCAGTGGCATCCCATGGGTGTTCCCCACTGCCAGCGAGTCGTGTTGGAAGCAAAATGGTGCGAACCTCGGTAAACAATACCGCTAGGCCAAAAGAATACCAAGGACACAGTTTCAGTCCTAAACGTGTATTTTATGTACCTGACAGTCAAACATGCACACGAGCCAATTAGACCCACTCAATGTTCAAATGGGGAACAAATATCAACTCCAATACATGGTCTCTTTTCATTAGGGGGACGACTCATATGCTTTGCTTGAGATGCCACTCAACAGTGTTTTTCAACCCCTCTTTCAGAGCTACTGTGGGCTCCCAATCTAAGACCTCCTTCGCCCGAGTGATATCAGGTTGTCTCGTGTTCGGATCATCGGAAGGTCGTGGCAAATAAATAATGGGCACTCTAGGCTTCCCAATCTCAGCGATCATGTCGACAACAATATCCGCAAACTCGCGAATTGTAAACTCCCCGGGGTTACCAATATTAACAGGAAGAGCGTAATCGCTGTTCATGAGTCGATATAACCCCTCGACACAGTCGGTAATATATTGAAACGACCGAGTAGCCGTTCCATCTCCAGTGATTTTAATTTCCTTACCGGCAAGAGCATCACCGATAAAACTGGATACAACTCGACCATCACTATAGGACATCCGAGGCCCGTATGTATTGAAGATACGGGCAATCCGGATTTCCATACCTTGATACTTTGCCTGATATGCGTAGCAGAGTGCTTCAGCCACCCGTTTGCCTTCATCATAGCAGGAGCGGGCTCCAAATGGGTTGACATATCCCCAGTAGCTTTCTGGTTGAGGGTGAACCTGTGGATCACCATATACCTCTGATGATTACCGGTCAGTGTCTAAGGTTGGGGGAGAAGACAAGAAGGTGAGTCACCAGATGTGCTTGTGTGGAGAATGCGAGCATTCTTCTCCGCCGCCAGATCCAAGATATTTTCCGTACCATGAAAGCAGGTTTTGAGAGTGGAGATAGGGTCTTTCTGGTAATAAATCGGACTCGCAGGACAGGCTAGATTGAAGATTTGATCGATATTTTTCATTCCTAAATCTTCAAGTGGGGTTTGAATATTATGGCTGATCGGTCATTACTGAGAATTTCGAGATATTGGTCGATTATGATAGGGTAAAATATACCTGAAAAACGTGAATCTGGGGTCTTTTTCTAAATGCTCCAAATTCGCAGGCGATCCAGTTTGAAAGTTGTCGACGCCAATAACCTCGTGGCCTTTTTGTAGTAGAAAGTCGACCAGATGGGATCCGAGAAAACCAGCGGCCTGAAAATTAGTATCTTACATATACACGGTAATCGAGTGACATACTCCAGTGACCAAGACCTTCAAGGGTATGATATGGTTTGATTCAACCATAATGCCAGGGTTTCTCAAAGAGAAAATGGCAAAGCAAGTACACAATGAATGGGAAACACTGGACAATGGCCACACAGAGGCTGCTTCAAGAGAAATACATAGAGGCCCAAATTTTATCAAATGCGTCGAAACGAGTGTTCTGGAGTGGCATCCAAGAATTTAAGCCCTAGTGTCACGTGAGATCGTAACCTAAGCCACAATGTGGGTGTCCAGCAGAATGGAACCAATTCTTTTAGTTGAAGATCAGCACACATCATCTGAACTACGCAGTACGCAGTATATCGAGGTATAAGCGGGGACAGGACGGCACGATAGAGCTACCAGATAAACCTAGGTCTTAGCACGTCACGTCATTCATGTATCGATTGAACATTCATTTCTCCACTCTGTATACTAATCTGCGATTCTGCATTCACGTACCCAATGTGCCTCTTTTCTCACTAGGATCGAAATAGCCCACCCCATATAGTAAGTAGAGTAATCGACCACATCCCAATGGCGGTCTGAATCAAATCATTAGTCCATTCGAATACCAGTGCGTACTGAGGCCCTTTGAAACGACGAATACTTCTTAATGTGCACCTGGTCCGTGAACAGAACCCCACCATGCCTTTCAGCTCGTGAAGATCTAAATCGGTAGCCACGTCACTAGCGGGGCCCACTGAACCATTATCTCTGTACCACTCATACTCGGTATATTACGGCCTAGCCGAACGTGAACTCATGGGGGAGCATAGGTAGGGGTGCCCACACATGGGTGAGCTTTTGCGTGGTGGGGTACTGACCTAGGTATATACCTACAATTACAGAGCAACTGCTTCTGTTAATTTTGATTAGTGGTGAAGGTCGGGTATGTAAATAGAATCGCGTCTTCGACGGCCTCTTTCGTGCGTGCGCTAATTCTATACCGCTCTTCGTCTTAGGAATAGATCGATGTGTCTCCACCCCTACACACTGTCGTCTGTAGCGGCTGGGTCTTGTTATTTCCGTTAATCTGGCCGGTCTTCTTGATAGGCCCGTCCTCTTATGTTGACATAAAACATATAACTACCCCTGTGAGCGTGTTATATTTAGCTCACTAGAGAATATAGGGAAAACAGCGACTTTTACCGGAGAATAATGAGGCTTAGATGGGGAAAGAGTTCCATTTCGATTGATCATCGCTGACGGTATTAGAAAGGCAACTGCCACGAAAGTGGGCCGAGGCTCGTGCGATCGCACTCTTCCTTCCCTCCTACTCCAGTCCACACATAACTCTAGTAAAGTATTCAGCTATCGTCGAGACGATCCTCGAGACGATTCTTACCTTGTATAGAAGCCTACGAGTGATCAACTAAAAAGATTTAAGCAGATAGAACACACAGATAGTTCGAAAATTTTCTTTTTCTTTCCTATCAGTTCCCTAACTTGTGCGCCTCCCCGCAGCCGCTAGAGACGCACAAAGGGCGGGGAATAGAATCTATCAGCGACACCACAACCAAGGCTAGCAAGGCAAAGCACCTAGTTCTTCTCTCGTTAAATGAGATATTAAAATACTTCTGCTGTGAATCTAACTAGTGGATTCTCTGTGGCTATCGGCCTATCTCAGGCTCGCCTAACGCTTTGTTCTGCAGTTAGTTATATATCCACAATGAATCAATCAACATCTATTCCTATCTCATCCCGGCCGTTTTGTTCCTGCTTAGTAAGTAGTATAACGTAATCCACGGCCGAGCTGACAACACGGCCGAGCTGACAACTTTGCCCGACTCGACTTTTCTAATTGGAAGCCTTCCAACCAAAACGCATAAATTTGTTTAAATATAGCGATTATTACATGAATTAATCCTGTGGCCAATTTCTCTGCATCCACTACACCTTGACGGAGCCCTCCTGGCTGGCTGATCGGGCTGGATAGGCAGATCGTTCTGCGCATGCGATACTGCCTTTTCACCTTCTACTTGCTGATTTTGCTGCTGAGCCAGCTGTAAGCCCTCTTTAACCGTTAGGCCCCCTTTATGTACTATTTGCTGATTAGATCGAGTGCGTTTCTGGCGTTTCTTCTCATTCGCTGCGCGTAGATTGGCGATTTCTTGTGCTAGTAGTGCTGTGTCATGTAGCGATTGATAGTGGCCTTTGATAATCCGATCTAGTATGATTTTTGACGGTGTCGGAGGGCTATTTGACCGTTGCCTTAGTAGTTCCTTAAGCATCGAAGCTTGCTTATTTAGTTGAACGGCAGTTTTAGGCGTCTTTGGGCTGAATGAGCTTGATCTGCTGCTTGGTCGACTACTCGGTGGTGTAGGCGTTCGGAGTGAGATATTCAGTTTCGAAAGCACACGTTCTGGGTTAATTGGAACAAGACCTGCAGCTGCGAAACTATTTCGAATGGTCTGTGTTTGGAAGGCCTCTATACGCGCCTGAGGATAATCTGCGAGGAAATCGAGTTTGTCGATATGATTGTATCCGACCCGGGCAAGATCGCTTACGAAGCGACCGTACGCGCGTTTAAGCACAGCAAAACATCCAACATCAAGCGGTTGTAGTAGATGCGAGGAATGCGATGGCATACAGAGCGGTACGATATCGTTTTCTGCGCAGATTCGATCGAATTGAGGCGTAAGATGGCTACCGTGGCCATCAAGAATTAATAACCGATATCTACCTCGAACACGCGAATTCGTTGATGGAATAAATAGCTTTTGCAGCCAGCGAAGGCCAATCTCGTCGGTAGTCCAGCCGTTCTTCGAAACTTCAATTCGCCAATCTCCCGGGAGGTTATCGAACCAGCTCTCGATATAGACCTCGCCTTTAAATATGACGCATGGCGGCAGCGAATAGCCGTCAGCGCAGATTGCTTCGATCGCAGTAACCCATTCGCGATTTCCTGGCTGTAAAATCGATCTCCGACCGTAGTATTCTGCTCGGGTAACCACCTTCTGCGCTGATATAAGGCCCATCGCGAATCCAGTCTCATCAAAGTTATATATATCCTCAGGTTGAATACCGTTCTCATTGACCACGCTTTGGACCTTCGTAAACCACTCACGTAGGGACTTCAGGTCTTCGTTTAGAGCACGTTGATAATCGTATCGTCTTGAGAAGCGCGTACGGAGCTCGTCACGGCGATTTATAAAGGTTGATGCCCAATTCACGCCAACGGTCAAGGGAGTAGTTGATCCACGCGCCGCAAGAAGAATATTTGCCATTTCTCGCACAGTAGACGGCCTAGGCGCTGCTCCACGCGAATCCATAGAGAAGATCCATTTGACAAGCGAATCCTCTTCTAATTGGGTCAATTTATGGCCGTTTGCGCGTGTGTCAACGCGTGAGGATACGCCAAGTGCGCGATTTCTTAGCGTTGAGCGGGGTATACCGTATAGCGTTGCAGCCGCGTTTAACGATCGATATTGGCCATTTTTAAGCCCTTGGAGGGCTAATAGGATCTTACCCTCTTGTTCAAGGGAGTTTCGAGATGATTGAGAGCGTTTTGGTGGCATGGTGGGCAGTTGAAGAAGGTAGGTTGGCGGAAACGCGCGCGTTCGGGCAAAGTTGTTAGCTCGGCCGTGTTGTCAGCTCGACCGTGGATTACGTTATCCAGCAGTAGTTAGTTACACCGTACAGGTCTCTGAGTCAAGATGGTGCATTTCCTGGAGTCCCACGCCCCATGCAAGCAATACGTGGCGGATGCGAAGGCCGGTATGCTAGAGCTACCCGCGTATGAGAAGGTGAGTGCAAACATCTCTGATTGAGTGGGGTTTCTGATTGTCCTGGGCATTCAATAAATGCGTCATCTGAGCATCTAAAAAATCCTAATATCGACCTTGAATATATGACTAATATGTATTTCTAGGATGATGATGGTAGCGTTATTGTTCTTCCTGGAGAGCTTTCCTGTCGATTCGAGGATTGCGATCACAAGGTATACTATATTGTTGGACGTCAAAGTAGTTCAACACTTGACTTCTAAGGCTGTGATGTAATTCTGATCAGCTCACTGGGATCAGAAGAGGGTTAGCTCGTGTGTCAAGGGGAAAGTACGAAATTTACCCCGCTTTTGCTTATATTGTTTGTCTGCTTGTTTGCTTATATTTTGGTCTATTTATATGAGATTGATTCCAGCGTTAGCTAGTCAGGCAGATACTCAGTCAGACCCTGAGAGACAGTTTCTCTCAATAATCTCATCATCTGTTCTCACCCATCTTATCTGTCGGGAAATCACACGTGATTACCCTTAGGAGTGACGGCCGATAGTTCATCCGAAGTTCTGAATACTGAGCCTTCACTATGAGTGGCGTCCAATATATTGAAGCCACATTAGACGCATGGCGTTCGATGCATCGAACTATCCCTGTTTGTGCCCCGTTTCACTGCATATTTTGTTTGCGGTATTTGTTCTATTTTCGGTCTATATATATTGTAGTGGGGAGACCCCTCCCCCTACTACATGGGTGGCATCCAGACTATGTGACATAGCCGGCAGTATACAGTGGCCGGATAGCTAGTTCTAGAACACACCTTCTTACACCTCCCCGACCTGACCCCTACATGTGGGGTTCTCGCTGTTTCCTGATTGCTACGCGTGTGTTTTGTGGTGGTTTTTCTGCTGAATCGACCCGCACGTCTCAGCGCGTGCTGCCATCGAGCGTTCCCCTCTTCAATATCTACTTAGTTACATTATTAGTTAATCAGACGGTTCTATCTCTTTTCACTGATCTCACTCTTCTTCTTCTTCTTCCACACATTCCTGGTTGTATGATTTAGCATCAGTCACCTTGCTTTGTCATCGCATACCAGCGAATGCTGACATATAGTAATAATATATAATTCTACATTATATGTCCTTTAAATGACAGAATCTCATTCAAAAAGACCAATGAAATTCACATTCAAAGTTCTCGAATCGCGGACTTAAGCCATTTTTTGGAATCTTCTATGGATAATTGTGGATAACTATGGATAACGTGGATATCCATACTTTATCCACATTATTACACCCATCTAGCCAATGAGAATTCAGCAATTCATGAGTCACGTCGCTAACATGTCAAAAGCACCGGTTTGCTCCTACCCCTGAGATTTTCAGCTCAAACACTCTGTAGGTGAGCTCTCTATCTCTTCTCATATTGAGCATCCTTAGACTAATACAAGATGTTGCAGTCTTATATCTCTCAGTCACAAGGATCTCTTTATCCTGAATCGGAGTCGTTTCTTGACACCGATCTTCTGGTATCTGATGATATTCATAACTTTCTCAGCAGCCAGCCAGCTGTGACAGCAAGAACAACTTCTTCAGAAGTGCGCATATCCTCTGCCCCAATATCGCTTCCTCGTGTTGGCCCGCCTCTCCAATGTGTCTGGGTGCTTTACTCAAGTGCTCCTGGTGTGGATGAATCCCGACAAAAATTTGTTCACTGGTGGTTAACAACTGAATATGGGACAAAGTTGAGCACTGCGCATAGGGACGGTCTGGAAGGATCAAAGCAGAATTCCCTCTTCAAATGGAGTAGCCCAAAAAGATCGGAAATCTGGAATAGTTTTGAACAGGTTGCACATGAGAGGACTGGGGAACCAAAGGTATTGTGTAAGCAATGCTCATCTACACTGGTTCATCCACAACGTCAGCGTCTTGGAACATCTCAACGCGCTGGAACCTCTCCAATGATAGCCCATCTCAAAAATACTGTCAACAGAAGCCTATCTCAAACCGACGAATTGATCAGTTACTACAAGATATGGTATGCTCCTTATATTCTGCTTTTATTAATGCGAACTAATTCCATACCCTCTCTTTGCTAGGCACATAAACCAAAAGCCTCAGCATTCTCACAAGAACTACTAGTAAACCATTTACTAGTGTTCATCTCAGCTGCTCGGCTACCTTTCCGTATTGTGGAGCATCCTCAGTTCAAAAACCTGGTTGATCTTATTCAGCAATCGCCAAGCAAAATCTCTATTCCATTTCCACGGAACCTACGACGCACATTAAATACAGCTGTTCAAGATAGTCAAAAGAGGATACTTAGCAAGCTGCCACCAGGACGCCAAATATCAATTGCACTTGATTGCTGGACATCCCCATTCCGTCAGCCATCTATGGCTATCACAGGCTACTTCTTGGATGCAGATTGGCATTATTGTGATATCCCCCTTGGGTTTGAGCATGCTCCAGACTCACATACTGGCGAGAATCTAAGCAAGGCTGCTTTCAATCTACTAGAAGAGCATAACATTACTCATCGTGTATTGTCAGTCACAACTGACAATGCAACAAACAATGTCACATTGATGACCAGTGTCCAAGATGCTATTCGATCAAAGATACAGCCAGATACAGTTATTTTCCGAGTACCCTGTATCTCACATGTGATTCAGCTCAGCCTAAATGATCTCCTTGGAAAATTGAATGCAGCTCCTTCAAATTCTCATGCTGAGTCAGAATGGTCGGATGAGCGAACCCATTCACTACAATCAAAGCGTGGAGGTCGACAGATTGCAGATACTCTCAAGAAGGTATGATTGGTCTATCTCTAGATCATATTGTTTCAGCCTTTACTAATAGATGATACTCCAAGATTCAAGAGTTTGCTGTTGTCGGGATATATTCTCCTGTCGGAACAAACTGGCTGTGACCCACTGCTAGCGACCGATGGATAACATCCCTTGCTTGGTGTACACATTCTTGCGCTGGGCTGTGGCCTCGGTGTTGTGACCGCCGAAGGCCGGCGTGTGGGATCTAGGGGTGTTTTTCCAACTAGACTGAACATCTATCTACATCTATCAACAAGAATCAATTGACTTTGCTTTGGAGCATACACACTGTCCACTTAACTGTGTACACAGTACCTAGCTGGTGATACCAACAGCTGTCTTTGTCAATGCCAGTTCGCAGCGCCGAAAGGCATTTCTTGAGCTTCAAAAACAAGAACTTCGTCTTTATCCAATTCAGTATGTCCGCACACGTTGGAATTCAACATTCTTGATGCTGAATCGTGCAAAGAAGCTACAGCAAGTATTTGACCTCTATTGCAGAATGCATCAATATCTGCATTTCAAACTTGACCAAGAGGAATGGCGTCAGGTTTAGTATCTTCTTCTGCTCACAAAGCCGGTCTTTACCTTCACAAATATTCTTTCAAAAACAAAGGATATCACAGTCCATCATATCTTCAGTATCTATAACAAGCTTTTCAACCATCTGGGTGAGGCTGAAAATAAGCTGAAGAACAAAGGAGTGATTTGGAAGAAACGCATGCTTCAGGCTCTTGGCGCAGCAAAGAGAAAACCTTCAAAATACTATGCTGCCACTGACAATGAAGCATATGGTGACATATATGCCCTTGCTACAATTCTTTGCCCATCGAAGAAGCTCCGATATTTTCAGTCTGCTGACTGGCGAGGTGAGATTGACTATGTTAAGCGTTATAGGGATGTTCTTGAACGAGAATTCACACGGTACAAAGACGAGATAAGTCAAGATCTGGCCCCAGGTACCCAAATCGCACCCCAAGAGCCTATCAGCTACGAGGAGGATCTTGAGATGCTACGTGATTCGCAGAATCATCTCTTACAGGAGTTTGAGAAGCCAGAAGATGATGAGATTGCCCGGTATCTGGCAAAGGGTCTGGTGAAAGGAAGCCCACGTCTCTTCTGGAAACAGAATGAGCTCTGAGTACCCTGTTCTTGCAAGAATGGCACGAGATATTCTCTCAATTCCTGCGAGTGGTGCTGGTGTTGAACGGCTCTTTAATAGTGCGCGAGATATCTGTCACTATCGCCGAGGTCGTCTTCAGCCAGATACAATCAAACACCTAATGCTGCATCAGTTCTCATCTAACTTTGAGCTTGAACAAAGTGCGTTAGATATTGTGAAAGAGTACCTTGACGTTGGAGAAGCTGCAATGCTTGATCAGGCTTACAAACCAGTTCCTTCTCTTGAGGATCTTGAACCAATCAGTGACAACGAGTAGGATCAAGAGCTGATGTCAGAGGATATCCCAGGGGGTAATCCCATTGGATACTGCCGCAGCCTAATTATACCTCAGGCACCCTTCCACGAGATGAGGCTATCCCCAGGTTCATCTGTCACAGAAACCCTAAGAAACAGTCTTGAAGCAACTTGGGACCTAGTGCTTTCTTCTCCTACCTAATTGGCAAGCCTTCTACCTTGTAAAGTAGATCACACCTTTACACGGATAAGCATTAAAAAAACAATACTATATACACACAATCTAATTCTGTAGACCGACAGTTCTAACCCGCTGAAGGTACTCCTGCAAACTATCATAATCCCTAGCTCCAACAGTAATCGCAGCATGACTTTTTGATTGTGACTCGTTATGTACCCAACCACTAATAATCAAACTCCCTTGCCGAATTTCCTCCGAAAAAATTTCCTCAAACACATCTCGCGTACATAAGAGTTCCCCGCTAGTCATGGCAGCCTCTAACAGCCCACGCCGAGTGAAATGCCCCATGAGTGGCCCTAGATGAAAAGCACCAGTAACCCGAACATTCAGATCAATAGCCAACTGCTCCCCGCTGTGTTGATCGGTGACAATATCTACTCCCGCCGGGCCATGATAACCTTTGTGGTGCAAGAACGCAGCCACTTTGCCCATGAGCGCGGAAAACGTCTTTCGAAACCCTGCCTGCTGCCGGTACGAGATACTCCCACCAATCCAATGTGAGTGGTTATCGAACAATTGCTCGCAGCAGGCAATGTATATTGGTTGAACGGTCTTCGTGACGAACAATGACAGAGCCACCACAGGTCCGTCAACAAAGTCTTGCAAGACTATCGAGCAGGGATGAAGATGTCGGTTTGTTTGGTTGAGTTGTCGTAGCATGAATACTAACTGGGTTGTGAGCATAGCTTTTATCCGCGTTCGGTTGGTTTCGGAGGTCACGGCAAAGGTTCCCATCCCTGAAATTGACTGGGGGAGTTTGACCATGAACGGGACCTGATGTTCCTCGATTAACCTAGTCATCCGGGCAGACTCTATGGCAAGTAGACTATAATCCTCATAGTCGACAAGAATGGTGTCCATCACTCGAGACGGCGGCGTTGGTAATCCGGACACAGCCAGCCCACGTTTTGACAGGATCTCATAGTGAGTCTCTGGACAAGTAAGGTGTGGTAAATGCGATAGGCAGTCGGTAGGCCGTGGAACGGCGATCCTCGCATCAAAGCCTAACTCTACACTGTCCGGGCTCTTTGCAAAACTCACATTGGCCGCTGGTCCGGCTGTAACTGGGAGAATGTTTGGTAGATATTAAGACGATGTGCGAGCACAGAATCAGCCGCTCGAGGATCCCCTTGACTTGCACTGTTCAACTTTCTTTGTGCAATAACGTCCAGAATAACCAGAGGCATCCTGCCGGCGGAGAACGCGTATCGTTGTGGTACCAAGTTGGCGGCCATCGTCAAGGACGACGTGGCGTCTTCACCCTGTTCTTCCACTTTGTACACGTAGGCAAACTTGGTCGATGTACCCTCATTATTGTGCTGTAACTGTATAGAGTAGTAGACGAGGACTCCGTTCAGGCCATCTTCCGAATCAGCTGCGTAGAGATCGTGGAGAGTATAATCGAGGGTGATCGGAGATGTGCGATTCATTTTTAGTCAACGCACACCGATGAATGAGATTTGGAATAATATTTAGCCCAGAGAGAAGAGAAAGCGTCGGGATTTACGTTTCTACGGATTCGCATCCCGAGCGCTGAGGATGCCTTGGGGTTTCCGTTCTCGGGCCCATCGATGCGACCGTTTCACTGCCCACGATCGTCGTGCTGTCTGCGATTCAAATAGGAGAAACTGGTGGACTTGTTGGATGAATCCGTACATTCCAAAAATTTCAACTAAACCTTTTCTACCCTAAGCGGCAACTGATATCAGCCCTGACTGCAGTTCTTCGCGTCCTCATTCGCCGTGCGTGCTCCCGTTTGTCCCAGTGCGTGGCGGTTTCATCGTCCCCTTTGAAAATTCAAGAGTTCCGACTGTTGTAATTCAGAGGAAGATTGCTTGTATTCCTTCTGGACAGAAAACTTGAGGGGTTTATATACACAGGCGACCTCCAGATTGATTTCCAATCAAAGCTGGTAATTCCGTGAGGTAAGGAATTGATTCCGTTACGATACGACATATCACAACACCGACCACCACAGTCTTTCAACATTCTCAATGTGAAGTGCTGGAGCAAGACTTAAACTCAATCTAACTAGGCCACGAACTGTGCACAAAAAGCTTGAAGAAGAGAAGTTCTCCGTGCGCGTTCTCCACGTCAATACGCCAAGCCTGTAGACCTCGCCAAAATCGCGGGTTGGGTTTCGACCCTTGACCCAAAACCCGCCAAGAGATTTGAATACAGGTAATATATACCATATTACACTTATTTATATGCGTTACAGGTAGTATTACAACTGTTATTCCGTAGTATACGGGCTGATGGGTTCTGGGCGGGTTCGCGGGTACCCGTAGGGTACCCAAAAAAGCAATATGGCGAGGTCTACGCCAAGGTCTCGTGATACACGTGACCAATACCGGACACTCGCCCGTGACACTATAAATATCAGACTGAAAAATGTCAGGATGAGGAATTGATGCACTGGCTAGTACTGAAGATGTCCAAATAGAATAAGATGATGGATTGAAGGTTGTTGAGATCGGTTGAGCGATCTCAAGGGTCTCCCTTGTTGAACTGTGGCATGTTGTGTAACCACAATAAGGCAAATTGGGTGGGCGAACGATGAAGAAGCCTTTCCCGAAGTGTCCTAGTGGTATTTGACCACCCCTTCAGTTTGTCACCAAGTTCAATATACAACAAGCGTCGTGGCGCTGGTAGTATGTGTCTTGACTTTCCACCACGTGACCTTCGTCCAGGTTTTTCGTCCGAGTTTCTATTGGCTGAGAGTATTTTACCTTCCCTGCTACCAATTTTCAATATGTAAAAATAAAAATAAATTTGGAACCTGGCGGATGCGAGCTTTCTACTCATACTGAAATGCTTTCTGTCTGGTATTGTGGTGTTGTAGTCACCTGCCACGATTTGCCTGCTGGGTTAGGCCCGTGTGGATCCCGGCCTACTTGTTCTAACTCTGCAGTCTATAGCTAAGAAACTGGCCGTGTAAGATCAAATTAGCAATTATAACCCACTTACGCGATCGTGGATATCCCGAGACTAATCACTCCCGAGACAGGAGTGGACCTCACTTTCGCTGCTAGTAGCGTAGCCGACGAGCTGCATTCTTCTCGGCCCTCGTTATGTACATCGCTGTAGGTCCTCTTCGACCTATTATGCTCGTGTTTGATGGGCGGCCAGGAGAGTATAGGATAAGGTAACATGGTTGGCGCTTGTAAGTGCGTTGGTCGACTATTTGACTACGCAGTCAGCCCCTGCTGAAAACACGATAGACTTATATCGTTTCTTGGCACTGAACACAATCGGCGCTGGCAGAATACACATCTGCGCACACCGTGAATGGCAAACAATGGAAATATATTTGTATTTTCTACGATTGAATTAGATCATTGTGTTGATATCATACGTTGACAATTATGTGACCGTCTAGTTGTTCGAATTCAAGTTTTGGATGCTTACTGCCTCTGTTTGCGCCCCAACACAACTAACTCCGGTCAGGAGATGCGATCGCACGTGACTAGTCTGGGCTTTCGTCCGAGTTTCTATTGGCTGAAACATTATCTGCTTTATCCTGCCACCATCTTCGAGGGTGATTAAAAGACAGAGGAATTTTGGAAGCAGACCACTATTGTGAATTTAATGATACCAAATTCAATGTACAACAAGCCTTGTGGCGCTAGTGTTTGTGTCTCGAAATTCCCGCCACGTGACCTTCGTCCGGGTTTTTCGTTCGAGTTTCTATTGGCTGAGAGTATTTCATCTTTCCTGCCACCAATTTTCAATAATATGTATAAATAAAATGAATTTGGAATCTGGCGGATGCAGGCTTTCTATTAATACAAAAATTCTTCCTATCTGGGCATTGTGCTATTGTGGTCACCTGCCACAATTTGCCTGTTAGATGGAAGGTACTATACTGTATGAGAATCGCCATAAGAGCATGAATCTACCTAAACTGCTATTAAATATATAATGCTCCACTAGGAAATGAAAACCTCCTTGTTTGTCTCGGTCCACTCTTCCAAGCTTGAGGCCCGGCCCGCGTACTTTCGAAGATTAGTGGCTGCCTGTTCGTACGTCTCTCCTTCGAACGGGTCAAATTCATCACCGCGCATACTCTTCGGTCTCAACGACTGAACCAACCTCCCAGCCACAAACTCTGGTATACCAGTCTTCAACAGGTTTTCCACCCCTTCCTTCTCATCCAATTCGGTGACCTTGATATCTTTGCCAAGCGCCTTGCCAAATATGCCCACGGCGTCTCTCTGGGATACCAGCTTTGGTCCACAGAGAGAGATCGAGTTGCGTTCTTCGGCACCTTCGCTCGTCTGCATCCCTTTGACAAGCAGCGTTCCGGCCACCCTACCAATGTCTTCGGGCGAAATCCAGTCGAGTTTAGAATCGGGATACACGATTTTCACCTCTCCCTCGCGAATCATACCCGCCCACCAACACGCATTGGTGCTAAAATATGCCGGCCGAATCGCTATGTAGCCGTCACTGCCAAAGACTTCGTCAAGGTTGACCTCGACCTGTGCATGGGCGTACGCGATGAAGTCTGTCGGCGTTATTTTTCTGATGTCACCGTGAACGCTAATGCTGCTCAGAAAGACAACAAGCTCAACACCAGAGGCCCTTAGAGCTTCGATAGTTTGCCTCATGTGGTCTGTTGTGCCGTGCACAAGGTATATGAAGGCCCGCTTGGCTCCAGTCGTTCGGACGGCAGCGTGAACCGTTTCAGGATTGGTGAGATCAGCTTGGACCCTTTCGAAGCCCGCTGCCTTTTCCTGCTCCAAAGTGAGGCCAGGAACGAGCTTTTGGGTGTTACGCAGAGCAAGGGCCACTTTTGCACCGTGTTGTTGCGCGAAAAGAGCTGCGACAGAGCCGACGTGGCCGGTGGGGCCAAAGATGATAGTAGAGATGGAAGGCATAGCGGAAAATTTGTCAGGCTGTGAAGATCTGAATGAGAGTAAAATGGAACGGTTGGGAATCGTTGTGAATAAAAACCCGAGTCGACGATGTTATGCTTGCGCTGCATTCTCGCTCAGACAGGATTTCTTTTGGCCGACGTCGGTATTCGGACTCGTACATTGCCGTGTTCTCGGGATGGAAAAGGTCCCCGAGAACTCTGTACTGAGTAATCTGTTAGTTATCCACAACTCGTTAGCCTATAATTTCAGGGACTTTCACAGCGCAGAGCTTATAAAGTTTATGACACGAGGGTTTTAGGTTCTGATTAGAAATTGAGACGGTCGGAAGATCGCAGGCGAAATTCCGAGCGCTTACAAAGCTTCTTTGCAAGTGACGCACAGGGACTTGGCAAGTCGTTTGCGTCTTGCTTCTATAAAAGCCAAGCTGATTCGGCACTGCTTTTCGTCGTCCTTAATGCAGCGTGAGTTTCTCCTGTTCGAAGGATTTAATATGCCCACCCCAATTGTTCTTTGTGGCCGGCTGGAGAAAGTGGGTCGCATTGTGATCTCAGAGCTAGAACCTGACTATGAAGGTAAGAAAAGCTCGAAACACCAACGTGGTTTCTTTCGCATCTCACAGGGGAATTAGTAACACATTTCATCATGAGCGTCGAGGATGGTATACGCGACCTTCCTCTTATCCTGTCCGGTTCCAGCCCGGTCAATGACAAAGGCAGTCTGGGCTCGAAAAACTACTCGGCTCTTCCCAAGGCTATCGTTCTAGGAGGCGGATACGACGAGGAAGCTATCACTCGACTCCACGAGGCTGTTACCAGCTCGCCAGTAACAGTAAAGATGCCTTGGTTGAAAGCGGATCTCAACAAGACGAAGGCAGGCCCTACTCCAGGTTCAGAGGAGTACTGCAGGGCGGCGGCTTCTCGAATGAAACATACACTTGGAACTATACTGGAGAGAGAAAATCTTGAACCAGGAGAGATGTTCTACTGGTAATAGGGCGAGGCGAGTGTATCCATATAGAGTCATAATGGGAAGACGAATTATTGATAGGCTCGCAAGGCTTGATGCAAGCACTACACTAATAGTCCCGTAGTTGACCCACGCCGCTTCAGGTGTTCGGTGTGGGTCAACTACGGGACTATTACAACTAGAATATGAGGACCTGTGAAATTGACGCCGAAAATGACCGCTCCGGAGGCCAAAAACGGCCGTCTTTCCACCCGTAACTTTGGCCGCCACGCCCGCGCTTGACCGCCCACCGCCCTCGACGCCCTATATTCTGCACCGTGAATGGCAGTCAATGGATCTAGATTTGCGTGTGTCATGATTAAATTGGATCATGATATCACATGTTGATGATTATGCGACTGTCTAAGAATACAAGTTTTGGATGCTTACTGCCTCCTGTTTACGCCTAGCACAACAGACAGAACCCCGGTCAATAGAGGGAATGGCACGTGACTAGTCTGGGTTTTCGTCCGTGTTTTTATTGGCTGAAAACTTTCGTCCGAGTTTCTATTGGCTGAGAGTATTTCATCTTTCCTGCCACCAATTTTCAATAATATGTAAAAAGAGAAATGGCTTTAGAGTCTGGCGGATGCGGGCTTTCTAATCATACTAAAATAATCTCCATCCGGGCGTTGTGGTGTTGTGGTCACCTGCCACAATTTGCCTGTTGGAAAAGCATAAACCGAGTGAATTGTAGAAGCTCAAACTAATGATCTAACCATAAAAGCAGATCGAAAAACATTTTCACGCCTATTCAAAACCTTGGGAAGTTGGGAGGATCAGTCCCCACGAAACGGCCTCAGGATCCAGAATATCATTTGAAGCGGAAGCCTTGCCGGAGCCGTAGCTCTTCAGGTCCCACGTATCAATGTGGTCAACACCTTCCAGATCACTCTCGAAGAACTGGAAGAGCCTTTCGTCAAGCTTCTTGTATTCACGTGAATCCTGGGGCCAGTCACCCAAGCGCTGGATAGCAAGCTTCATGAACTGCAGGTGCTGCTGAAGATGTTCCTTGTCAGACTGATTGACATCGACCGTGGAGTCATTGAGATCGAGATCATAGTATGAGCCATCCAGGCTGGACTCAAGGCTGCTGTCCAGGTCCACGAGATTAGGGTCAAGGAAAACGCGGAGGAGATGCTCATGCACACCGGCGACCCTCTTGTACAGTCTCTGTGCCATGTGCTGTCCTCCATTGGATCTTTGAAGCCGGTCAGCAACACCGGTGTACAGTTGGGATACCAGAATTGACATCTCGAGAGTGCTGGGGTGAGCTGGGCCGTTCACGCGGCGACAGTTGTACAGAATATCCTCTGCGAGGCGAGATGCCTTGAGGCCATCGCTTGTGAGGTAGCGAGCCAGGATGTATTGGCGAGCAAGTTGCAGAGTGACACTTGCAGGCCAGGCAGCGTGCTTCTTGCGATTCTGCCAAAGGCCGGATAGAATCCAAAGAAGACCGTCGTACTGCTTCTGCTGACCGAGAACACCAATGAGAAGATTCAAGTTGTCCAGTCCGATCTGCGAGATATCAACATTCAGGCCGCGGAGAACACGAACGGCCTCTATTATGAGGAGACCAGAGTCGTGGGAGAGCTGTTTCTGAGCAGCGGCTTGATCAATCTCAGAAGCTTGAGTGTGACCAGTAATCAACAGACCCATATTGACAATATACTTGACACGATCCTCGGTATGTAATTCATCACTGTCAACCGAAAGACAGCGGAAAGCAGCCAGGGCCAAATTGGATGCGCTTTCATAATCCTTCTTGATCAGGTAGTCGTCAATACCGTGGTAGCTGGCGACACCCACTGAGCGTAGGAAGTTGTCGGACTCGTGCTCGCTGAGATATCGAAGAATGGTGCTGAGCAGCGTCTGCACTTGAGCAGTGTCGGTCAACTGAATGCGCTGACCCTCAGTCTCCAGGAAAAAGGCGACGTAGTCATCGTAGACGCTGTCAACAATCTTCTGGTCGCGTTTGTTATCGCGCAGGAGAGTGTAAAGATTGGAGACAGTCTGAGAGACCGAGGAGAACGAGACAGACTTTGACGATGACGACGTGAGGTTGCGGAACTCCTCAAAGTAGAGATACTCATCAGTCAAAGAAGCCAGGATTTCGGCAACTGTGGAGGTGCGACTGGCGCGGAGAGTGTGCTCAAGCTGAGCCAGGAAGACCAAGCTCTGACGGCCCAGAGTCAAGTCGAGCTTGTGAGTTGCCGAGTGAGACTTGGATTTCATAATGACCTGATGGTAGATCTCGCTAGCCAATTCATAAGCCTGTGAAGACTCCTTGGTAGAAAGATAGCCATTCGCAATCACTGTGGCGGCGGAGAGTAGTTGCGTGGAGGATAGCTCGGTGGACAGAATCTGGAATGTCGATTCCTGGAGCTCTTGATATAGGGTTTCCGAAGACTCCTCGTGCTTAGCCCAGAAGGAAACCATCTCTTCTAGCTTGGACAAAGTCTCATGTGAAGACCAGGTATACGTTTCAACGAACTTTTCAAACCGTTCCTTCTGAATGACCGTCGTCTTTCTGATCTGTTCGGACGAAGCCGACGACGGTGACTGAAGAGCGGCGGCGTCCTCCTCCTCACGAAGTCCATGGATCGTGGCCTTGATATCGTTGTATTCGATCTCGTTGGACTGGATATCAAGCAGACTTTCATAGAGGCCAAGAGCAAGTGGCCTATTCACCTTGGTCTCCTGGTACACCATGGCAAGCATGAGAGTGGCCTTGACGGTAATTGAGACTGTTGCAACAAAGAACTCCTGGACCTTGTCATAGTACTGCTTCGTGACCTTGAGGATGGTGTCATATTCAACTTGGACTTTGCGCAAGCACTCGGTATACCGTAAGAAGAAGGTATGAACGTAGACAGGGTCTTGGAGCTTTTCGTGCTGCTTAGGGTCCTTGAGGAATGTCTTGAAGAGTAGACTGTGCCAGTGGCGGACATCAGTGTAACGGCTCTGTCGCCAGAGCTCGTCAACAACGATGATAAGGTTGTCAATCGCACCAGGATGGCAGTGAGGCTGGTCCTTATTAAGGATCTCGATGATGCGAATATGGTAGTCCACAAAGACAGGACGAGGACGAGCCAGCTCAGCTAGTTCCCTCAGAAGCTCAATAACCCAAGGGTTCTCACGAGTATAGTGGCTCTCGACGTCGAACAAAACCTCCTGCTTGATGGAGATAACACGGTCTGGCTGTGATGATCGGCGGAAGAATTTGATAAGAGCCTCAGTGGCATTGATGCGTTTCTGGTCATCAACAGGCCTAGCAACACGAAGGGCTCGATAAACGCGGAAGCGGATACCCTCCTCGCGGGTGAAACGGCGACGGTAGTGATAGCAATCACCAAGGAGCCCAGCGAGGTACACGCAGCGGTCGGTGTAATCTTTCGGGAGAGTCACATCGTTCACCGATGAAGAGAAGAGGGAAGGCCACAGCTTTCTGAGGATCTTCTTGACGAGGCGAGTAGAATCCTTCCAGCGATATTCTTTGGTATGTTGCTTCACCTTTTTGATGAGGGCATCAAACATGCTCTCATCAACCTCAACGCCGGTCTGAGAGCAATCGTAAATGATCTCGATCAGAGTGACCTCAGACACAGTGGAAGACGAAGATCTTGCCTGGTGGACAATCTTCTGGTGGGTTCTTTGAATGTGTTTCTCAATTTCAGAGACAGTAGATTGACTGTGGCTGGACACTTGCTTCACTTGTTTGAAGATGTTGAGTGCGGCAGTGAAAAGCTCGACACTCTCCATCAGCTCAGCAATTTCTCGGAAAAAGGAAGATGTAGATTCAGATACAAACACACTCTTGTACCTGTACTCCTCCCATGCACTGTTGAGAATAGCAGAAGACTCCTTCTTGCGGTCCTGGGACTGGAGGAACCGAGAGTAGACAACAGTTGCTCGAAGTCTAATCTGCTCCCAGTATTCGGAGTACTGGGTCAACCACTTCCTGCTGGCATGCTGCCAAGCCTGGACATAAATGTGTTCGGCCTTGGAAAAGTGTTTCTCCTGAATGTACTGCTCGGCCTTTTGGAGTAAGGCATGGAAATCAAAGGCCCCTTTTGCTTCATCCTTGGTCTGGTCCTGCCAGATATTCAAGTTGAAAGCAGAATGGAAGGGATCTGTCGGCTGTTCCCCAGGACGAAGGACGATCCTGAGCTCATCATAACTCCCACTCTGATCATAATAATGGCCAGTGATCTTCCGGATCTCGAGTTTAACATCCTCGATTTTGGACTCCTCCCTCGTGTGTTGGTAATGTCCAATGAGGGCATGGTACGTTTTGATGACGAGGTCAGAGTAGGTGCCATAGTGATTCACGTAGCAGGAAATCAAAAGTCTGAACATCTTTTCCCTCTTCCTTGAAATGTTCTTCAGGGAGGTAACGTTCTCTGGCTTACCAGTAAGCTCAAGGAAAAGGACCGCGATCTCTTGAGTTACTAGTTTTTTATCATCCAGAAGCTCCAGTGAGAATTCGGTCACTTCATACATCAAATAAGTCGCCTTGGGGGTTTGGCCAATGTCATGATAAAACTTGGCAAGATTGAGGATTGACTGTAGAGTGACAGGACTTTGATAAGTGAAGTTCTGGCGTATCAGACCAGTGACGGTATTCTGAAGCGAACATCTCGTCGGAGTTGATTGGTTCTCCCACAGAGCAGTCTGTAGAAGAAGGATGGTGGTAGATGCTGGTAGGAGCCTGGTGAACTCTTTGGAAGTGGGAACATCACCCCCAGTAGTGTAGACAGTTGTCTGTTGGAGATGGAAGGGCCAGTACCGGACAGCGAATTCAAGGAGATGGTTTTTGGACACAAGCGCCAGGGTCTCGTATGAGCTGAGTGGGCCCAGTGACAAATCATGCTCCCCGGTGACAGTGCTGTTGATATAGACCAACAGACGGGTGGTGAAGTCCTGATGGCGGTCCTTAACCGGGACTAACTTGCCCTTGGACGCAATATCCAAGATAGCATTGCGGATAAGTCCATGGCGAAGGTAGACCTGGCCGTTATCAAGGAAAACAAGAGAAGTCACGGGTTGCAACACTCTGCGAGAATTCATGGCAATCGGGTCGGTCACGGTCTGCCTATCGACTTGGACAGAAGCCAAGGCAGACAGCTCTTTCAGGGTCAGAGGACGCTCTGCGGTCGCAAGCCACAGCAGCATATACTTGGCTTCCTCTGAGACACTGGAGGTAGAAAGGGTATGGGCCACAAAGTCGCTGACGCTAGGCCTGTGCTCAACGAGGGTCTCGATTCTCTCTCTCATAGCTTCAGGTGTGGTTTGGAGGCAAGCCTGCTTGGTGGCCAGCTTAGCCCACAGGAAAGATCCTTGCGAAGCTTCAGTAATCTTGTCAATGATAATCTCCTGTTCCAGCTCAGAAGAGATAGTGTTGAAGATTTCGAACCAAGCCGCCTTAGGGTTGGTAAACATTTTTCGGACGACAACCGAAATGTCTTCGAAGATGCGATTCTGGCTGACGGACATGCTCGTGATCTCCTCCGATTCGGTGTCGACATGCTTTTCAGTACCAAGCGTGATCAGCCTAACATTGGGAGCGCTGTGAACGGCGGCCGTCAGGCGCTTGAAAAGAGCCTGTTCAGAACAAGAGGCTTCGTCCAGACCATCGACGACGACCACGAGCTCCTTGGCTTTAGGCAGGGCGGCAGCCAGGGCGCGTTTGACGGCACCCCAAAGAATGTCCTCGTACTTGGTGACATCGACGATCGAATAACTTTCCTTATACGCAGCATCTAGAATTTCCAGAAGACGAACGTTGCCAATGCGTTTTTCAAAGAGCTGGAAAAGAATTGTCTTTGCGATTGAAGTCAAAGTGGTCGCGGCGGGGATGCAAGCATCTGCACAAGAATTAGATAACTGTTCCAGAACAGCCGGTAAAGGTATGGCGGAACTCACTAATCGGAACGAACAAAGTCATGTAGTCGTTGGTCTGGTCTGAAAGACTGTCGACAATAACCGAAGCCAGAATGGTCTTTCCAGATCCAGGCCTGCCAAAGATCGACAGAGTTCTCTGAGGGCTCTTCAAAAAGTCTGAAAGAGAAGGCCCCACCCATCGACATGTCATCTCCTCGCGTTCGTGGGCAAAGTGGGAGGTGTTTTCGGCGACGCGGCTTAGGACGCTATCTTCGGGGGCGAGCCAGAAGCGAATCTTTTTAATGTCCGAGTCTATAGGCGCGAGTATTTGTCAGAATCATGTCAATCCCACGACAAGTCCAAATAAATACATACCTGAGACAGAGCCAAAGCTCTCCCGGGACAGCTGGTGCTTCCACATAGCCTCTGCGATATAGTCACAAGACTCGCGGAAGGAAGTGATCTGATCACTGCAGTATTCATAAAGTTCGATGGTGATCGCTTCTTTGCCAGCACGGATATGCGACTGGAACCTTTTCGTGACAACGTCAACCAGATCCACCAGAGCAAGTAAAGCGGAAACAAGATGCCTTCTGACATCTGCTGAGACATCGAAAAGCTCTGTTCGCTCGAGGAGGTTCAAAAGGCTCGCGGAAAGACTGTAGAAGAAGCCGAAAGAAGTCATCAATGCCTCAGCATTGTCCTCGTTCTCCTTGCTAAGGCGCAAAAGCTCTCCGACGCACATATAAGAAATAGTAGCTGCTGCGCCGCTATCATCTCTTATAGCCACGTCGAATTCGTTCAAGCGCCAAACAAAAAGCTGGGCCCAGGACAGGACCTTGTCACTGGAACTGCCCTCAGGGGGAAGGTAGATCATCCGCTCGTTTGAGATCCACTCCCTGATGCTTTGGGCATCAGTCATGAGGGGGAAAACAGGGCTTCCAATCTGAGCGCCGCCATTGCTTTGAAAGCGTTGCGCGAGGCTGTTGACGGCAGGATTGCTAGAGTGAAGTTTGCGGATCATGCCAGACTCGCGACGTTGTGAGAACCCACTCAGTGAGAAAATCTCGGTTTCATTAAAAGTAGACATACCAGAGGTCTGTCGAGAACCTCCAGGTAGGTTTTTGTAAAGGGCAGAGTGGATGTTACCAGGGACCGGAGAGATAATTCCGGGCGCCATCTTGATCGTCAAAGGTCCCGTGAAGTCGTAGAAGTGTAGAGGTAGAAAATAATGTTCAAGTAGACTGTGGAAGGGTAATAGCGTCACTTCGGCAGCCTCACTCGTGCAGTGAGGAAAGAAAGCTCATCCCAGGGAGCTGGCAGCTGGGCAACCCTTTTATAGCAGAGCTGGGGAATTCAGCTCCCCATTCGTGGCCGAAGGCTGGGAGCTCTGTGCCGAGATTGACGTCAGGGTACACTCTCGAAAGCAGTATAGGGCGCATGGGGCTTCAGCTTCCATGGACTCGGACCAGCTCTTTCCCCACCAGAAGGTATTTTTTCTTCAGATCAGCGGCGTATGTACACAGATTGATCTTTACCGCCGCAATGCATTACGGGTGGCACCGCAAGATGGGATATTCGATGCAGTGGGGCAGTGCATTCTGTCAATCCTCCAACCCTCGTTCCACCCTGTAAGGTGGGCGACTTGCATTTGACATGAACGGACTGAGGCTGGTATAAGGCGTCATGACACAGCTTGTTGAGGGATATTCGTAACCGCTTGTATTGATTCAGCATGCGAACTATCCTGGAATGTGGAGCGAGAAACTAGATGCACACGAGGTGGAGTTCGGCACAGTATTCTGCAAGATGATGTCGATGGATCATGACTGCTCTGCACCTAGAATATCACCACCCCGATCGTTTTCACTCATGGCGTCCTACCACCAAGCTCATCCCATCTCAAGCGGTTCCTGAAAACTATCAATACCATCAATGTCATATTCTGTATGGCCTTTTCAGCCTCAAAGGCTGGTCCGCGGGACGCCATCGGCGTGCGGTCTTGAGGTGAATGCCATCCTTCGAGGCCGATCGGTGATGGTCATGAACCGTACAGGAGCGCTGACGCAAAATTTCTGCTAGCTCCCGCTTTTCCCGCGATCGGTTCCGAAGATGTCCTGGGGAAAAAAGTTAATTGTGCAAGAGTAGATGCGCAGTTGGCACAGGCGACCTGGCTCGCGGTAACATTTGTTATAGTGTCCTGAAGTACAATTTCAGGGGAGTTCATTCATGGAACCTCTTTCGACCGGGGAGTGGTGATTTCAAATTTTCTGCATAGTTGCAGTGAAACAGTACCATGCAGAAAAATGTGATGGCTGAACGATCGTCGAAGGGAGCAACTTCATCGGGAGGTATGTACATTGGTGTGCGGGGTGGGTGGGGGTGATGGGATGAACAGGTGCAGCCTGGCGATTGAGTGCATAGATCCCGCTTCAGCCAAGGGCAGATCCATAGCGTACAGCAACTGCAATATCGGGGGTGGCGGAGGTTGAAGCGGGGAAAGTGGATGCAGGTGGTGAGCTAAGGTGGAGTAAAATCTGGGTGCCTTTCCCCACCGCCCGAGCTGCCGGGATCTTTGTTTACCGAACCGATCCACGAGGATCGGAGCATCTTTTGGCAAATAAAAAAGCCATGTTCTGGCCAGCGAAGTACAAAAGTACCGCATGGACGCGACGCTCAGCGAGGATTGGGTTTTGCGTCATACGTGTTAGCAAAAGTAAGGGCCAAAGGGGATGACCAAGTGATTTCACTCTTGAATAAAATTCATTTTTCCGGCTCATAGTGTACTAGGTTTACATTTTGGAGACAGTTTCATGTGCTATCCATCATATCGTACAGCCTTGAGGAGGTTTGTAGAGTTTCTTGTACATGGTTTGGCGACCTTGGAAATAGCCTGAGGAGAGTGAAACGGAAGAATTGCATGCAGCATCACAACGCAACGTATTATCCTGCTAGCTTGCAATAATGGCTGACGAAAGGACATTGGAATGGGAAACAATGAATTCAATAAGTTATTGGCTCCTGGGTTATTTGCTGTTGACTAACAAGACCTCGTCTTCAACGTAACTAATGGATCGCTTCATAAACGCCTTGAAATCCTTCTCTCACTCACAAACACGCTCTCCCTCTGTGTGTGTGTGTGTGTGTGTGTGTGTGTGTGTCAATTTACGACCGAGTCGGACCAACACTCAGGCATGCGAAACTACCGCCCAAATTCTGGCCGGAGATTGCGCGAACTGCGGCATTCCTCTCAAATCGATCACCATCATCCAAACGCAATATGACTCCGTACCAAGCTCGGTATGGTGACAAGCCTGATCTGTCACGGCTGAGAGTCATAGGATCCAAGGGAGAGTATCTAATTCCACCCAAACAAAGAAAGAAGCTGACGGGACCAAGAACAAGGCCATGTCTACTATTGGGATACGAAGGTAATACAAACTATCGCATCCTGCTAGAAGACGGCAGAATCATTGGTACGCCAGATTAGCTAGATTATTCCGAGCTACGAGAGGGTGGTGCAAAACACATAGTGCAAAAAGTCTCACTGGAACGCCACCCTGAACTCAAGCTCCGTGACACACAAACTTTTCGAGACACATCCGGTTATGACCAAGAAGAACTCGCATTGATGAATATCCCCGACAAGAACGTCATTCCAACCTTCTTGGCTGTTGCGGCGGAAGAGATAGAACCCTTCGAACCAAAGTCCCTTCGACAAGAAAAGAATGATCCACGGTGGCTCGAATGGGAAAAGGGAATGATCGAAGAGATACAATCACTCAAACAAAACAAAATTTGGGAAATGGTTGACCCTCCCAGGGATCGCCGAATCCTGAGCAGGAAATGGATTTTTACGGAGAAATCGTCCGCCACAAGTGCAGATGGGTAGTCAGAGGTTTCACCCAGGAAGAAGGGGTCGATTATGATCAGACATTTGCTTCCGTAGTCAAACCAATGAGCTACAAAGCCTTGTTCGCAATTGCCGCAGCTCTGGATCTCAAGATCGAACAAATGGACGTCAAAACAGCGTTCTTATACGGCGAGATAGACCATGAGATCTTTGTTGAACAGTCTCATCACGCTACAGACGGCACATCGAGGGTCTGCAAGCTTCGCAAAGCACTCTACGGCCTGAAGCAAGCACCTCGTATCTGGTATCAGACGCTGACCAATTTCCTTCGAGATCTTGGCTTTGAGCCCATCAACGCCGATCAGTATCTTTGCTCGGAGCAGCATGTACATCGCAGTATACGTCGATGACCTCTTGATCATCGGACCAAGCATTGCAGAGATAAAGAAGATCAAGCGAAGCCTCAGAAACCGTTTTCATATGACAGACCTTGGCCCCTGCAGCTACTATCTCGGCATGACTATCCGACGAGATCGGCAGAACAGAATCCTCTATCTGAGCCAAGAGGCTTACGTGCGCAAAGTCCTTCAGCAATTCGGGATGCTGGACTGTGCTCCTGTCAGCACACCCATCGACACCTCACCTCTACCAGAAAACGGCCCTGAATACATCTGCCCGTCGAATATGAAGAATGAATACCAGCGCGTGATCGGATCGCTGATGTATGTCATGCTTGGAACTAGAGGCGATATTGCATACGCTGTCTCAGCGGCAAGCAGACACTTGGCAAATCCTGGCCCACAACATCTGAAGCTCGCGCGTCGAATCCTTCGATACCTCAAAGGCACCAAATCTCTCAGTCTCGCATATAAAGGCCAGCTCCAGATGCTCCGTGGCTTCACGGATGCAGATTGGGCCGGCTGTCGCCAGACAAGGCGCTCGACGGCAGGATATCTTTTCAACATTGGAAGTGGAGCAATCAGCTGGCAATCAAAGCGCCAGAATGTTGTTGCCCTGTCAACCTGCGAGGCCGAATTCATAGGCCAGACACAAGCAACCAAGGAAGCTATCTGGCTGAGAAGACTCCTTCACGAGCTGAAAATGGGCCAGGGACAACGGGCAACGATCATTTGCGGCGACAACCAGGGAGCCATTGCGCTGGCCTCAAACCCTCAATATCATTCGCGTACAAAGCATATGGAAATCCAGCGAAAGTGGCAAGGAGAAGTCCAAGATGCCGGGACAGTGGAACTCAAGTATATCCCAACGTCAGAACAGATAGCGGATGGTTTCACGAAGCCCCTTGCACGAGACAGATTTGAATGGTTTCGAGAAGGCCTCGGCATTGAATAATAGCCCGGTCAGACACGAGCCTTCAAACTAAAAGAAAAAGAAAACAAAACAAAAGACCGGCATGCAAGCACCCTTTCCTTCCTTTTTACCACTGGTTTTGGGACGTTTTAATGGGGCTTGACAACCGTGATAAAAGATCGCTAATCTCCTTCGTCAGAAGAATATCAGCGAGTGGGAGTGTTGAAATATCACGTTACTGGGATAATCATGTGGGCTGGGATCACGAGCATGCCTATATACCTGTTCACCAGTCTACCTGTATCTTACACAATCAACTCCCCTAAACAACATGAACACTGAAGCATCACTTATAAATCAACAGCTCGGGTGGCTGAAGCCCACCTACAGCGCAAAGCGGTGTAGGTGGGTGGAGCCACGGCTAGTTAGTGGGCAGTCAAGCAGCGCTCCATGTGCAAAGTTACGGGTGGAAAGGGAGCCGTTTCTGGCGCCAAAAGCGGTTATTTTCGGTGTCCTTTTCACAGGTCCTCAGATTCTAGTTGTAGTAAGCCAAAAAGGTACGGGTCGACCTTCTTTCTCTTTATCCTATCCTTCTATCAAGGTGCTTCCTACATCGTAATACATCAGACGATTATCACATCCCATCTTAAAGTGGCTGCTCAGATGGCAGATCGTCTCCGGTAGAGCTCTGGACAGAGGCCATGACCTCGTCAGCCTTTTGCTCCTCGCCCAGAGTGCGGTAATGATCCGCCAAGGCACTCCTGGCAGCAACCACTTTCTCAGAAGTATTTACATCGGGCAGCGTGTAGGCCTCGAAAAGAAGCGCAAGACATTCCCCTCTCCTCTTCATAATCTCGGTATGGGAGCGCGTGATCTGGTCCGCTGACAGCTCCAAAAAGATATCGGCGAGTTTGATCGTTATGATGTGTCGTTCCGTCAAGAACGTCTTGCTCAGCATAGTCGTCTCATAGATAAGTTCGGTAGCTTTATCGTGGTATACCTTGCGGTATTTGAGTGCTAAAGATATCATACACTGGAGGCTGACCACGTTGTCTCCAGCAGATTTGCGGTAGAGTTCAGTGACGAGTTCGTGGTAGGACAGGGCTTCGGGCGTCGGTAGCCTCTCCCAGGTAATATCTAGGAACCTGATGAAGGTCGTCGACATGGGGAGGACGTTTGCGATTTTCTCTAGGGCCCCGATGGCGCCATGTTGCGTGAAGAGACCCGTTTGTTTGAGATGAAGAGGCCAGTATCGAGAAGCGTAATCGAGGAGAGAATTTTGGTTTCGCAGGAAAATGGTTTCGCCCCAATCGAGAACCATGAGAGAGGGCTCACTCGATTCCTCAAAGCAAGATTTCAAATAGACGAAGAGCCGAGTCACAAAGTCGGCGTGCGGATCATCATTAAGGACTAGCTTGCCTTGGGACGATAGATCTACCACTGCATCTCGGATCATACCATGCCGAAAGAATAGTAATTTGTCCATAAAGTAAAGCAAATTGCTGACAGGTTTGAGGGCCTTGATGATACCCGTGTCACGAACTATTTTTTCGTCAACCTGGATAGAGGCAAAGGCCTGGATCTCTCGAAGGTGTAAGGGACGCTGAGCAATAGCTAGCCATGTAAGGAACTGTTTGGCCTCCATGCTCACATCCTCTCCACCCAGACTCTTGAACACCATATCAGCGATGCTGGGTTTGGTAGTGGCGAAAGTGTCTACAGCCTTGCGAAGATGATCGGAGTTCTCCTGGATCCTGAGGTGCTTTGAGGCAAGCTTGGCCCACAGAAAAGAGCCTTCAGAGGCTTTGGCAATATCTTGGACGATGGCCTCCTGCTTGATTCTAGGCAGTTCTCTGAAACGCCTGACATTTCGCAATCCGCTTCGGACGACTTTGGATATATCGTCCAAAGTCACATCGCGGGTGACCTCCAGAAGGGCCCGACCGTCTGCTTCCGGGGGCTTCTGTGTACCGAGGGTAATAAGCGTTACGTTTCGTGCCTCCGGAAGTACAGAGACGAGCTTCTGTAACAGATATCTCTCGTCGCACAAAGCCTCGTCAACACCATCCACAACAATGGCGATTCGGCTGAAATCGGGCAAAGAGCATTCCAGCGCCCGTTTGAGTGTGTCCCACAAAAGATTGTCATAAGCAGTGTTGTCTGTTATCTTCCCGCTGCTCTGTAATGATTCACCCAGCGTTGTCAAGAGTGGAACATTCGCGACAGATCTGTCAAATATCTGAAAAAGCATAGAGCGAACAATGGAACACATGGTCCTCTCAACCGGGATCCGGGCGCCTATGGCATTTTGAATTAGACGCAGGTATATTAAAGGATGTTGAAGAGCTTATATACGCACCGATGGAGACCGACAGATTCAGGCAAGCGTTCGCATCAACGGCGTCGTGCAGGTGGTCTAAAATGACTGAGGATAAAATACTCTTCCCTGAGCCCCGGTGACCAGTAATGTGAATCTGGGTATACTGGTCTCCCTCCCATTGCTTGAGGTAAGGAGTTATCCATCGGCAAGTCATTTCCTCCCGGACATTGACGTAATATGATGTTGGTTGAGCGAGAGCAGCAATGACGGGATCGTTAGGGACAAGCCAAGATCGAATCTTGTTAACGATATGAACTTTTCAGCGATCAGGTTCAATTAGCCTTGCACCCTCTCTCTCCTTTTCACGGACTTATAGATATCCAAACTAGTCATCAAAGCACATACCTCTCTCTGGGTCCACGCCCTCTTTGACTAACACATGGCGTGCGACCGCCAACGTGACTTTCACACAACGACTTTTGAATTGCTCGATTTGAGCAGTGAATGTGTCACGAATGTCGATAGAGACTGAACTGGAAGTGAAGTCCGAGATGGCCCTATGAAAATAGGTAGATACCTCAGCAACCAAAGACAGTAGATCGAAAAGCGCGAATGAGAGTTGGTCCTTGACCTCTTGGTTGATGATGACCTCCGCCGAGCGTGATACCTTCTCCAATTCTGACGAAGTCTCATAGAAGAAGCTGAATGGAATCATAAGTGCGGGTGCATTCTCCCTTCCGAGCTAAATGTATGTGTTAGCCTGTAAGATCACCAAGTACAATTCCCGCCAACGATATGAACTGAGACAGGGGCGAGAACAGACTTCAAGAAGCATAGCTACATAGCCATAAGCAAGTCTAGTAGCAAAATTGGTGTCGCTGTCAAATCGGGTCATTTCGAAGACGCGAAATCGTTCGACAAAGAGCTGAGCCCATCTCAGCACGTTATCCCAAGCACTCCCTGCCCCAGGGAGAACTTCGTTGTACTGGCGCGACAACCATTCCCGCAGTGAAATATGCGAGGCTTCGCCGAGTAGTGCAAACGCAGCAGGCGGCAGTTCCTCCTGACTGCGACGGAGAAGTGAAATGACCGCTTTGGCGAGTGGCGTTGGGCTATCATCCTGTTGGTCCCTAGTCCGTCTCAGCGTGCCAGCGGCAACGGTAGAATCTGCGATGGGCTGCGTGACAAACATGCTGCATAGGATGAAATTTCTGAGTGTCCGGAGTCGCGGAAATCGGGTTCGTCATCGAGCATAATGGTTAAATTCCCCCCCCCGCCGACTTCTCAGTGATATTGTGCTCGATCCACTTCTCAGCTCCGCTCAGTTCAGCTCGATGCAACCAAGTGGGCCACGATTTACTAGCGAGAGACGTGTTTGTCGATCTCGATGTCACGACTGGGGGAGGTCTCCATCGTCAAATATTCCTGACCCGCGTCTTCCATCGTGCCGGGACGATTACCGTGTACCTATTGTCGCTTCCCTTCGATCACTCGATCATTCTGCGATATTGAGTTCCACTTCCTGTGGACCGCGGCTGGGAAATCGCGCACCCCATCTCCACCGCAAGTGGGAAAGCAGTGGAAAAGAAAACAAATGTGATATGATGTGATAGCCAGGGCCTTGCATAGTCGTTATCACATTTTTTCCCACCCAGTCACCCCTGAAGACATTCCAATATCCCTCTTCTTACGGTCGTCCAAGATGGCGGGTGCTCGAGGCTTCAGAGCCAAATTACGAAACTGTTTCCGTCGCAAACCGAAAAATGCCCCAAACGATATTCCAAAAGCTCCACCGGAAGATACCTTCGTGGGCAATCCTCTCACTGAAACCAAACCAGTGGAGAGTGTTGAGAATCAATTCCCCAAGCATCCGCCGCAACAAGTCCAACCAATTCCGGACAACAGCCGCCCTTTCAATCTTTGGCAAAGAGCAGAGGATAAATTAAATGCCAGTCCAGATACACAGGAACTCCTTCAAGCCTCCTATCAATCCCTGACGGCAGAGCTGGGGGAAGAGCTGCAGCCGATTGGAACGGCGGCCCGCCAGGCGCAGTTAGACCGGTTATTCCAATGCCGAGCGGATGCCCTTGAGAAAGAAAAATGGACGATTCAGTTCGGCGATCATGAGGTGGGCGTTCAGGACATGGTGAGCAGCGCTTTTGAAAAAGTGCTCATGGTGAAGGACCTGATCGATACCGCGGCCAGCGCCAGTCCTCCGGCAGCGCTGGCCTGTGCCGGGCTGTCAGTCGTATTCACGCTCGTTCTTCAAGCAACCGGCAACCAGGCGATTCTTCTTGAAACGTTGGAATACACGTCGGACCTGATGTGTCGCTACCAAGTCATGGAAGATGTTCACCGATCGGATGCGAACGCCCCCAAGTCGGCAGGAAACCAAGCCGATCTGCTCGGAAGATTCGAGGACCACCTGACCGACCTATACGCTGCCATCCTCGAATTTCATGCCCGTGCCATGAACTATCTGGGAAAGCGCAGTGTGATTCGGCTATTCAGTGACGCTTTCGACGTGGAAGGATGGAGTAGTGTCTTGCAGGGCATCAAAAATCACGAAACCCGTACAGAGAAAGACGCTCAGATGATCGGAGCCGCGAACGTGGATCAGCGACTCCGGGCAATCCAAAACACGCAACAGTACGAAGCAAACCGTCAAGCCATTGCCGAACGCGACAGGCTGGCTATGAAACTCTTGCAGACTCTCTATACATGCCCATACAAAGACCGAAAAGACGTCAATCATAAACGAGTGCCTGGAACATGTGAATGGTTTACGCATCACCGAATGTTTGAAAACTGGCAGCGAGCAGAAGGCTCCAGTCTCCTTTGGGTGTCTGCTGATCCTGGCTGCGGCAAATCTGTGCTGGCCAAGTACCTCATTGACGACTTGCTTCCCGCTACAAAGGAATCCACTATTTGCTACTTTTTCTTCAAGGATGGCATATTGGAACAAATGACTGCGACAAGTGCAGTATGTGCAATTCTGCGCCAGACTTTTTTGTCACAGCCACACCTGCTATCGGACCACATACTGAACAAATTCGCCGCGGACGGGGAGAACTTGATAAAATCCTTCAGTGACCTTTGGTCCATCTTTACCAGCATGACAGCGGATCCAAGCATGGGAGAGACTATTTGCATCTTGGATGCCCTCGATGAATGTCAGGATGATGAACGCGGCCGTCTCATAGAGGCAGTGACTCGTTCCCAGCAGGGAGGCGTAGGAAGTGGCAAGGTGAAATTCCTTGTCACCAGCAGACCGTACTCCTACATTTACCGGGACTTCCAAGGGGTCCAGGAAGATCTTTCTACGGTGCATCTCAGCGGTGAGGGAGAGGAGGAGATCGGTCAAATCACGAAAGAGATCGATCTTGTCATTCAAAAGCGGGTGGAGGATATTAGCCGCAAACGTGGCTTGACTTCCGAACAATGTCAAATGCTACTACACGAGATAAAGCCAGTCGCCAACCGTACCTACCTCTGGGTCACTCTGGCTATGGATGTGATCGCCAAAACCCCTGGATTCACCAAGGGGAACATCAGGACGGCGATGAAACGAATTCCTTCGACGGTTAATGATGCCTACGAGGAAATTCTGAGCCGAACCCCGGCGCCTGATCGAGCGAAAACCATCTTGCATGCGATCCTTGCTGCGACGAGACCATTGTCTGTCAGTGAAATGGCTCTGGCAGTTGCAGTCGACCAAGCCCGTGAAGCGTCAGAGGATGTGGAGGATTACCTCGAGTCCGCAGAGGAATTCCAAAACACGCTCCGAGAGATCTGCGGCCTCTTTGTGGTCGTTATACATTCACAGGTGTACTTGCTCCATCAAACCGCCAGGGAGTTTTTGGTCCAGTCCGATTCCAACACCCAATCTGGGACTTCCACCTGGAAGGCCTCTATCGATCTTCAGGATTCTAATCGGGTTATGGCAGAGCTTTGTACATGGTGCCTGGTGTCGGATCAGTCCGAGGAATCAGCTATGCTCAAGGAATACTCCACGCAGAACTGGATGACTCACTTCAAGTCATGCAATGTTAAATCTGAGGACTCTCTCACGCCCTTGGCTCGGCAGCTCTGTGAGCCAGGACAACAACATTTATGGGATAATGCTCTCATGTTTGCCTATCGGTCTGATCTTGCACCTGTGGTCGAATATTTGATCAAGGTTGAAAAGGCGGGTGTTGACTATCCCAGTCCTACTGGTCGCACAGTCCTGGCGTACGCTGCCCAGGAAGGACGTGCAGATATAGTTAAGATGATCCTCGAGCATGCCATTAATGCTTCGTCAAGGAGCCGTGAGTGTGCCATCCCACTCCTGTTATCTATCGCATATGGGCATGTGGATATCGTTCAACTTCTGCTTGACTATGGTGCAGATGCCACTTTTACGAATGGGTTTGGCAATAAACCGATCTGTCTCGCTGCGCGTCAAGGGGATGAAAATGTGGTTAACCTCCTCATCAAGCATGGGGCCGATGTTAATACTCGAGACTTGCAGGGTCGAACCCCTCTCTCCCTAGCGAAAAAGCACATTGCTGTCTGTCAAATGCTTATTAGTCATGGGGCAAACGCCATTGAAGATGCCTAGATTCTATGGAAGGATCACTGTATCTGTTTGGACTTAATTTTGTATATAGCTAAGCTTCCTTCCAGTCCTCTTTGAGCATCATTTTTATAGTGTAGGAGTAACATGATAAATTATGACCCATCAGTAAATTACCTTTCCAATAATGGTGTCCAAAGCGACCCTAATGATCTAGATTCAAACGTATATATTGTCTAACTTGGAAGTAAACTAATACTAGTAGGCCTAGAGTGTATAAAACGTGGACCCATGGGAAGAGGGTCCTGCCCATTTGCCATTGTTGGTGTTGTGATATGTCGTATCGTAACGGAATCAATTCCTAGCCTCACGGAATTACCAGCTTTGATTGGAAATCAATCTGGAGGTCGCCTGTGTATATAAACCCTCAAGTTTTCTGTCCAGAATGTATACAAGCAATCTTCCTTTGAATTACAACAGAATGACATGACTGGGTGTTTGGGGAAGCGGGGTAATTGTTGTGATAGGCTTCAGCCTCACGTTTGGACCATTCCTGACGTCGCTCAAAAGCCTGGACTTCAGCTTCTAGACGAGCTTCGATAGCCTTCTGTCTTGGGGCTCCAATAAGGTGTTCATCAACCAGTGGAACAATGTCCGCCGTAATCGGTTTTGCGTATTTAAAAAGGCAGTTAGGGCGTTGGAGATCTCCGGACACGACATCCCAGACTTGTCTTGCCTTTAAGTAGGAAGTCATAAGATGCTTCCAAGTTGCATAATTATCACTCCCTGTTAAAGGCTCAATAGCCGCGACATTTCGGTCGGGAGACTCGGTTAGATGTGCAGGCATCGTGGCTGTGCCTGAAGTGCGGGGTAAATATAGCTTCAACGAGTTGTTGTATGCAGTGGTTCTCAGAGTGAGTGGAGACGACACCCGAGAAGTTAGCACCCGGGCTCATAACCTGTTGTTATTCAAAGGAAGATTGCTTGTATTCCTTCTGTCGGGATATATTCTCCTGTCGGAACAAACTGGCTGTGACCCACTGCTAGCGACCGATGGATAACATCCCTTGCTTGGTGTACACATTCTTGCGCTGGGCTGTGGCCTCGGTGTTGTGACCGCCGAAGGCCGGCGTGTGGGATCTAGGGGTGTTTTTCCAACTAGACTGAACAACTACATCTATCAACACAATTGACTTTTGCTTTGGAGCATACACACTGTCCACTTAACTGTGTACACAGTACCTATCTGGTGATACCAACACCTTCTGGACAGAAAACTTGAGGGTTTATATACACATGCGACCTCCAGATTGATTTCCAATCAAAGCTGGCAATTCCATGAGATTAGGAATTGATTCCGTTACGATACGACATATCACAACAATCGCACTCAAGTCACCCGTCTCATGGTATGATCCCCTGAGACGCTTTGTGTCTTTCTCTCTTAAAACTCGTGCCGGTCGTCAATTAAATGATTACCTGTCATGTTCTGGCCGTTCTGCTTAATCTCAAGGGTAACGCCAACAGTTAAATGAAACCTCTTGGTCGCAAAGGCTTGACCCACAGTACATGACAAATTATCTCCTCACATCGATCGAGGACGCAGTCTATTGCGAGCACCAGGCGGAGAAGAGTATTGTTAACAGGACCAAGAAAGATCTCGTCTTCGTCAGACCGCAACTCAAACTGAAGCGCGGTAAGCCGGACTGGATCGATTGATGGCGAACGAAACATTGCGCCGGGTTTGATCGATATCCGAAGATAACCTGTCGCTAGATCGAGCATCGTACGTGGACGTGTACCCGTAGGCTAAGTCGGGACATACCATTCGCCAGGGTCACACCCCTTTTCTCGGTACAGGCTATACTAAAGTGTCGGGTGGATCATAACGACTTGCTGTCTTCCCATCACATGTTGTCTACCCATGTACGCTCCGCTCATGAACTTACAGCTCAAGAATTAGTCCGCTTGGTGCTTGTCTTCTCTTTCCTTCCACTTTTATTCAGACGATACTGGATGCTTGGCCCGCCAATATTGTTTTCTCAATTCCCTGATCAGAAAGAAATGTGACCAACGCACATAGTCCTTGTCCTCGTTGTATGGCAATGCTATGGGACCCTTAACATTCGGAGCGTCTTCAATCTGTGAGATTACGATCGGTCGAGAAAGTGTACCCTCAATGCTCGGCATAAGGCGGAAAAAATCATCACTTTGATAGTTTCTAGCAGCCATCGTCTCTAGGGAAGCCTGCAGCATGTCGAGATGGCTCACATCGTACTCATGCCGTATGAAAATCAGGACTAGTTGTTCCAATGCACTGAGATTATCGTGCGATTCGAGTGCAATCAGGGGGTCTGCGCCTCTGTTGAGCAGCGCCTTAGCGAGTTCGGGGTTGCCGTTCTCCAATGCGAGAGATAACGCTGTCCGCCCTCGCGAACTTTGTGTGTCTATCTGAGCCCCGCGATCAAGAAAGAACATCATTGTTGCTGCGGCATCCTCACAAGTTCTTTTATCGAGATAATCATCTGTGCTGGCGTGTGCTGTTGCCACTTGGATCATCAAAGCCTCCGGCACGTGATCTTCTTTTGACGCGGACGCTTCGTACAAGGCATTAAATTCAAAGCCTGCATCCAGAAAGTAACTAACAACATAGACGTTCGTTCCCACAGCTGCGCTGACCAGCGCGGCGCAATGAGTGGGGTGACTCGGGTCTAGGGTTAGATTTCCGGTAGACAGGAATTCTTGGAAGGTTTTCCGGGGACTGTACTGCGCTGCAATGTGCAAGACCGCCTGGTCGTGGTGCTCAAGATCCGGGCCGTTGAGTGCATCGAGGAGACCCAGTTCGCCGTGTTCTATGAGACGCCATACAAATGCAAGGTTGCCAACTTCGAACGCGCCCGCAAGCATGTCCTTGAGTATCCAGATATCTTTTGTTTCGTCCAGATAACCATGACGCAGAAGGGCCGCCATGTGCTCGGGATAACCCCTCGCTTCGGCGAGCACATCATTCAACCAGCCCTTCATAGCTTCTGGTAGATCTCCTGGTGGCCCGCGATTTAACAACAAATCAAAGGCGGGAACACTCTCATAGGATATTGTGTAAGAGATGAAATTCGACCATTCGCGTCCCCAAAGTATCCGGTGAGAATTTACCATCTCGTCGACGATGTATCGGGCAAGAGCCAAATTTCCATGAAGGACAGCGATTCCGAAACTACTCCTTAAATGCTGCCAATCGTGTGATGCACCCCGCATATCCCAGCATTCTTGATAGAGAGGCTGATTATTGCAGGCTGCGATCACCCTGTAGAAACAGCTTCGGGCGTAGCCCCCACAGCCTTGATACTGAGGGCCAGTCATGATTGCCTGAAGATCACCCCCCCCCTTTACCAAATTCCAGATCGTGTAGTTTGGCATGTCAGAAAATTCTGCTAAATCCAAAATGTCAAAGAACTTCACACGCGGGAAGCGCAGGCCCATCTCAATCAAATATTGTACTATAGCTCCATGATTTCTGGCAGCAGCGATGCAAAGAGGGGACTCTACCATGCGCTGGAAGCTCGGGCAATCAAGGGCAGCGCCTGCCTCCACGAGAAGCTTCACCATTTCCAAAGCTCCCCGACTCGCTGATTGTGCGAGAAATGATGCAAAGAAACCGGTCAGACAAATCTTTTGGTTGACATTGACCTTTCCCTCTTCGATCAAGCACCTAGCCACGGCCAAGTGGCCTCGATCGACCGCGTAAGCGAGAGCAATGGCCTTTTGCCAATTTTCCACTGCCGCAGAAGACACGAGCACTTTGACAACGCCCAAACTGCCTTTGTTCGCAGCACGATAAAGAGTTCTTTCGAGGTCATCTCTATGTGCCTTGTGGTCCGGGCTGCCGAGCGACGAGCCATACTTGCATCGGTCGTTTTGCAGAAAAACCTCACTGTAAACAACAAGCAACTGCGCAGTTCTTGACAGATCCTTATCGACAGCCAATATGATGGGCGTCGAGCGTCCTGTCATGCGAAAGTATTGATCGAAATCAAGTCCATTAACCAAGAGCTTGTAGAGTGCGCCCGTGTTGTCGTTCCTAACAATGCGCTCAAGTCCAGGCGGAGAACATTCTTTAGCATAATGCGCGAAGAGACAGCAGTTGGGGACGCTATAGAGGCGTCGACATGTTCGTGAAAGAGAATTAATCTCATAGGCATACTCTAAATGTTGCGTGATCATCTCCAGAATTTCATTGGGAAAGCATAACAGATTTCTGATACCGTATTGCATTATTGAATAGTGGATGATGGGATTGCCAGTGTAGTTTTCGAGGGAGGTGGGGCGGCAGAAGAAACTGTCGGATGGAACAGGCCGGTGGTAATTCGGTTACCGGATTATCTATAGAGCGAGAAAATGCGCCAAGAACATGTGGTTTAGTCATTCATTAGGCCCATAACGAACTACAGTTGGCTTGTGGTGTCATCACTGCTGTCATTCAGTGAAATATTACGGGGAGCAGACACGTCAATACTCTACCATAATGCATGACACAGCACCAATAAGGAGCAAGTGGAAATCTACCCCGCTACAGTGGTAAAGGTGTGGCATCTGGCACGGCCGCACCTCCACGGGTTGAGGAGGCAGCCAGCAGCCCCACTGTAGGGTGGGTCCATGACTAGCCCTGTACGACGTCAGCTTCTTGTGCTTTCCTATAACTGGGCTTAAAGCTATATAGCCAAAGACGGCAATTCCGGGGTCTCACTACAATACAACGGAAAGTCAATGCATTTTCTTGTTTGATATTTTAGTGGAGAGGAGATACTTCTCACGATCAAGAGGGACTTGAATTGTGTGGAATTGTCTATCTCGGACAAAATCACTACACCGCTACAGTTCGTCAGACCAATCATAAACTACAACTACGTTTCACAGGAGATAGCTCCTCATCGTACAGCTACAGACGTATCTCATCGCCAGAGAGACATGAAACAACCTGCTCTCTGTAGCAAACTGAGACCCACCTGCGAAGATCAGTGGAGGTTTGATGGGATGAGTTGTGACGAGGTGCACTGGTTTCAGCGCATGTACAAGTGCCATTTGTAACGTGACGTCATAATGCAGTATTATCTATATTTCAAATTGTTTGAACATGCGAGCTTCAGCCCAGCCACAAGCACTCTATGGAACTTACTGTGGTAGTTGAGGGGCCGCAGCTTACTGATGGGCCACCGAGAGCCAATGATTCCAAGGGAACGGTACTTCTACAGTACAAACCAAGTCAAGTGCATCCGAGACGCCAAATACGGCGTCACCAGGAAACCAGTTGGTTACAATACGGAACGCCGGGACAGGCGTCGTCCTTACCATCACTGACACTACGCCACAAGCACAAGGGCCTGGTAAGGCAACACGTGACTACGACACCGAGTCCCTGCGACGCTGGGGTGGCTCTAGTCCTAGTCATGAATTACCCGTTAGACTTGACTTTAGAGCATTATGGATCAGGCAGACGAATTCTGGAAGAAGACCACCGTTGTGATTGAAATTTTACCAAATTCAATGTATAAAAAGCGTCGTTGTGCTGGTGTTTTGTGTTTAGGTTTTCCCACCACGTGACTTTCGTCCGGGTTTTCGTTCGAGTTTCTATTGGCTGAGAGTATTTCAGCTTTCATACTACCAATTTTCAACAATAAGTAAAAATGAAAATAGTTTTGGAATCTGGCGGACGCGAGCTTTCTATTAAACCTCAAATCCTTCCTATCTGGGCATTGTGGTGTTGTGGTTACCAGTCACAATTTGCCTGTTGGAAGCCCACTAACACGAGTTTCTGCCCAATAGGCATTATTTGCTGCTCTCCAGTAACCTAATTTAGTTAGAGGACGATTATGTGACTACGAGCTCCGGTTACCCCGCACGGAGGGGGTAGATTTTTGTCGATTGAAGAGGAGGATACGTTACCGCCAGAAGCAGGATGATTCAGCGCATACCCGTTCTCCAAGTTAACTAACTAGTTACTCGATTTCATGATTAATAAGTTCGACTTCTCACGGGAATCTCCTTTTAACAACTTAGATTTACTTACAACTCTCATTCTTTGCAACTCTTCTACCGAAAACCATGGACACCTCCGAAATTCGTACATGCGAGGCCAGCGCATGGAATGCCCTTTGCCAGTCCGGAGTCGTCCTCATCCCATTTCTCGCCAAGGACTGCGTAATGCTCTTTCCAGGCGGGATGATGCTCGCAGACGAAACTCTCCGATCAACTCTGTCCGGGGATACTTTTCAACCGTGGAAGACATACACTATAACTGATGATCGAGTGTTTCCTCTTGACAGCAATGGAACATGTGCACTGATTGTGTACAGGGTAATTGCCGAAAGAGGGATGGGAAACGGAGAGGATAAAGCGGTGTTCGCTGCACTTTGCTCCAGTATATGGCGCCGTTGTATGAACAAAGAGGAACCGGAAGGTTGGGAAATGGTGTCTCATCAACAGACTCCTGTGTACGTTTTTGATTCTTCACTTTATGCATCATGATACTTTATGCTTATGCGTCAGGCAGATAAAGTACATTTCCACACCCTAAAAACTCTGGAATTCTTGTCCAATCTCCGCGTTGAAACCGTATCCCCAACTTCTCCATTGATCGATCGAAACTCTCTGTACGCTTGACCTGTGGCGTTGTAGTGGTTTCTGCGATTGGGCTAATTTCCGGAGGTATTCTACTTTCCTCCTTCGCTGGGATTGGTTCGTTCGTAGACCTTGAAGGCCTTTCCACCTCATCCTCTTTTGTCTTACCTTTAAACTGTCACATCATCGGAATTGCTTGAGAAAATGGTAGGCAGTGGTATGTCCAGGGCGGTGGGTCCCACCACCGCCCACTCCACTCACTTCTCCACCCACTCGGCCTTCTTCTCTTCCTTCCTTCTCTCTAGCTAGCCCAAGTAGTTTGAATGGACTCTTTCACTGTTCACTGGCTAGCTCACTCATTTAACCAAGAATGAACATGGAGCTTCGGGGAGTCAATGGTCAAGTGTTCAATAGCATCTCAGATATGACTGCTGCCATTGTCCTTGGAAAATTTATAGACCACGCTGCCATTTTCGTATGTCAAAAAGTAAACACCATCCATGTAAATGCTCATGCTGACAAACAAGAATTTTGTCGGTCAGCTCTGGAAACGCAACTCCAACCCCTTGAACTTTCCTTTGAGGTCGTAGTCTACCTGGCCGTTTTTGTAGATAACAATGTAGGCACCTCCTTAGTCGATTGCTGTATGCAGGACCCTCTCAAGCGATTCATCCTTTATGAGTCAAGTCAGCGGGAAGATTCTTGAAGAACATCTTCCTGGGGAGTTCAGAATTTGCCCAGCACCCTCCCTGGTCATCTGCAATCAGCGAGACAACCTATATTAAGACCGTAACATTAGTCATGCTCCACAGTAGAAGTCAGCATATTCTGGAACGCACGTAATGCTCAAATTGACTTTGCGCCTACTTCTTCAAATCCGGACATGCTCTTGATGCTTCGTCAGAGAAGTATAGAGAGATTTGGAATTGCTTTGGGATACTACAAAGACATGTAACGAAGTGAAAATTCTCACAGAAAATTTGTTATTGTTTTGATTTTATTTCTGTTGGCTGGGTTGAGCTCACTATGATTGTGAATTATTGCCTTGAATGCATCAAACCAAGTGGAAATCAAGGTGTCAGAATGTGTGGAACCTTGTCTTGTTATATGTTGTATTTAGTAACTAACGTGATCATAGCTAATCAGTGAAGAGGGGAACGCTCGATGGCAGTACGCGCTGAGGCGTGCGGGTCGATTCAGCAGAAAAACCACCACCAAAATACACGCGTAGCAATCAGGAATAGCGAGGAACCCAAATGTAGGGGTCAGGTCGGGGAGGTGTAAGAAGGTGTATTCTAGAACTAGCTATCCGGCCACCGTATACTGCCGGCTATGTCACATAGCATGGATGGCATCCATGTAGTAGGGGGATGTCTCCCCACTACAATATATAGTATAGAAAGACAGGAGGTGTAAATTTAAAGATCTTAATCTAGGGAAGTAGGGAATAGGGGTTAGAACGGCACTAGGGCTAATATGATAGGTCATCTTAGAGAGTAGGGGATCTGACACGGGTGCGGGAGTGACGGAGGTCTGGCTGACCGACCGACCTATATATTACAGCGTGGCAATAGATAGAGATAGGATGTGTTTCTCTTGAGAGATTAATGATTAGTGAATCCTACCAGGAGTGGCCTTGGAATTGTCAAGAATTAAGGCATGGCCTCATGCACCTAGCAAACTTAGGTTAACATAGGTACCTGCGTGTAAATATATATCTCAAAGACGGGGATACACATCTATACTCTAAATGTGATAATTCGGTGTGGTGAAGCTTAGGTCTGGTACGATCGTGCGACCGGAGTGTGGATGATTCTCCAACTGCATCATATAGCAATTCTTGTCCGAATGAATCGTGAATAGTCTATGGCTGTGCCTGGCAGGGTCGCTGCGGTCGGCGGTTGCGGATTTCGCGAATTTGATGGGGGCTATGATGCTCTTAAAATATGGGATATCAATCAATCCTCTGGCAATTAACCCTGAGATCTCGACGAAAAATCCTCGTCCTGTGAACTAAACCTGATGGGGGGTTTTCGGGGTACGGCGGAGGACCTCGGTCGGCGGGTGATGTGCGCCCCTGCAAAAACATCGGGCGTTTTCGAACCCCGGAAACCATGCTTATATCAATATGGACTGGCCTCAAATTGGACTTGACTATCCAACCGAATTGTTTTTACAACATATTCAGATTTGGGGTATCTTTGTCAGCAAAATGTCAATTCAATGGGCCCTAAACCCATTTTACTACGGCAACCCTAAAACCCTAGAAACCCTACGGCACATTGGATTTGCGCCCATGGGTTGGGGTCCCGCTGCGGTCGGCCGTCGCGGACTTCGCGAATTTGATGGGGTGTGGGTCTCCCGGGCACGCACTGGACCAACCAGACGGCGAAGAAGTCGGAGGGAGCCCTTCCTCCTTTAAGGCATTATGGATTAAGGGGAGCCGTGGCCGGCTTCCACGCGCAATGCACAGAACGGCTTCTCAACTGCCGAGGTTGCCAATTAAGGCTATCGGGGTACGACTGTTGGAATCGCGGCCGAGCAGTGTCGACCGGAAATATGATCTCACCATCGACTAGAGGGGGGGGGGCCGAGGTAGCACACACAGATAGTTTGCAGAGGAAAGCGGAAAGGTCAGAAGGCATTCCAGGCAATTCAATGCGAATGTCCATGATTGTTTTTGACCCTTCCCACCCGTCTACTGGGAGATCCGAGACTACCACCGCTGTGACTAGAGGCGGCGAACCGTCAACTGTATATGGAAAGGCATGCGTCACCGCGGGATGATGGCTCGACCACCAACGGTACTTCCATTTTCCTGTCCTCCGAACCTGCATCTTCGAAACAAAAGAACCCGAGCTTGGATACGGGATCACCCAGTGTGTTGCAATGAAGCGGCGTTGAAGGTTTTCACACCAGGCCTGCTCTTGTTGGCCCCCAAGTATATGACCGATTCTCTTCAGGCAACGGTTAAAAAGTGTCCAGTATGTTTTGCTTCTGAGAGCCGGAAAATTAGCCTGGTGGCAACTTCCTTGCACTCCCTGAATGTCATCCGGTTCTGAGTCGGTGTCATATTCGGTTACTCCTGGGACCAGCTCAGAACCTAGCTGCGGCTCCCAGAACCGGTGCAGGATATCAGATACCCCACACGGATTTCGGCGTGAGCGGCCTGGGGCGACAAACAGCGGTAAGTGGGCCGGAACAATATGGTCTTGCAGGGCTGGCCCACAAAGAGGAATGGACCCGGCAAGTGCTGCTTCTCGACTATCCGGAAGAATAATAGATTGGATGCTCTCAAAAACGTCTCTTCGAAACGCTCACAGGCAGAAATCCACTAACAAGGATAACAGAGCATAGATCCGCGCAGGATCTGCGCTATAATGTGCAATATCCAGCGCCAGTAAGTAGCTTTCCAACTCTAGAAACTGTTGCTTAGCACCACGCACGGCCTGGTACCGTTCAATATATCTGCCAAGGACGCTTGGGGTGTGGAGTTGCATGTACCGGCGGTGGGCTATGTGGAAGAACATGGTTTCCCAGTCAATCTTGTCGAGGAACCATGCGTAGCCTGTCCTCTCCAGTGTAATCTTCATCCCAATCCCCTCCCAGCGACGGTCAGTGGAGTTAGTGGACTACTCGTCAGTCACATCAGATGGAGGCTGGTCTCGAACGTCTTGCCAACAAGCAAAGCTCCGAGAAAGATGGTTCCCCCCTCCGCCAAATGAGAAGCGAAGGCAGCGTAGGAATAACAGCATCACGCGTGTGTGTTCCCAGAGAACAAGGTCGCGCTGGGATAGACTATAAGCAATCTCGAATCCCGCGCAGAGCTTATTCATGTTCCACTGCAGCCAGCCCAGAATAGTAGATGTATGACAAACATAAAAGGGCAGTGAGAATGACAACGGACTCCCGCGGATGCCCATAACATGATTCGCAAGCCCGAGCCGGTGAATTTCCTGGTCGATTTCATGCAGAAGGTCCGCTCGAAGCCGGTATTCTTCCCGAACCCCAAAAGACTTAGTGCTTGAGTTTTGGAGGGCCCTTGCACTCCTCATTTTGGCATGGAGATAGGCATCAGTCAGGGTTTTCAAACTCTGCCTGCCTCCCCGCCCGCAATGCTCCCAATTCTGTTTCACGCTCGGATCAAGCGCAATTGCCTCCATCATGCGGTTGCTAAATGGATAGAGCTTCCCCGCACATAGGACTTCCTTCACCGAGGCATAGAACTGAGTATAGAGAAGGCCATCGGCTCGGAGCGATGAATGGCTCCGAGTCTCCATGATTAGTGATCCACTGTCCCGCAGAAAGGAGAAGGGGAAGAAGGTTGAGGAGGCAGCGCTTGGGGGTTGATGGTCTGCCCGGTACTTTTCAACACAGCATCGACGCCATATAAATGTTAGGGGCTCTGCAGGGCTTAGTGGCCCAGTGGTATGACCAGTGGCTTCTGGTCAGGAGCCATAGGAAAAATTTCCTTCCCAATATCTCGGTACATGGTTATAACGTGCTGCACGTCAATGGCTGAGGACCAGGTCTGATTGAATCGTTGTTGCATACCAAGCCAGGTCGTACTCTTAGTTGCAACCTTCAGGTTCTTCGCAGCAAGGAGGAGATAAGGGCGTTGAAATTGTTGGAGGTCCTTTTGCTCAATGATCTCAAGAATTGCTGTCCATATTGCTGCAAGCCCTTCTGGCGGAAGAAAATGATTCAACTGCTGCTGTCTCGCTTGGGTGGTTACAGAGCGCGCTTCCTTCCAAGCCGCCCATGTGTTCAGTAGGGCATGAGCGTAGCTGGACGGATAGTGTTGAAGATAGTGCCCTGAGTAAGCTACCTCAAGGGCCGGGAAAAAGACCTGGTCCATCCAAGTCCCAAAATCTTCCCCGCTTAGGCGGGCAGTAGGCGATCGTGGATGGGAAAGACCAGGAAAGAGAACATAGATTGATGCATCCTCCATGCCAACCACTCGACCGAGTGTATAGTGCTTGATCTTATGAACTGGCATATGGGTTCGGCGAGAACGGCCACTGCGACGATCGGTATACTCCACCGGTAGAGGATCAAGGTGGAGGGATGACTGGAGGTCAGACACCGGGCGCTGGACGGGTTGCCACCGAATGCCTTGGCGAGCGGCGGCTAGACTTCCTATAAAGGCTGTTACACTGTCAGTGTCAAACATAATGTCTCGTGGCAACAGCTCTTTTTCCTCATCTGTGATCAAGACCACTGGTGGTGTCTCTTGATCATTGCCAATGCCACAGAATAGTTGCCGGCGGTCGGTAGCAGACCAATTTTTGGTCCAGGTAGTCTCTGCATCAGGTAGTCGTGGGCTACCGAGCACCTGGGGGCAGTGCCACTTTTGCAGATCGGCCAGCCTGATGGTTGGGATGGAAGATCTCTCCTGATTAACCAGCGGCTCCATTGACTGCTGATGACACTCAGGGCAACAACCCTGGAACTGGAGGATCTGTTGTGCTAGTCGCACCCCAAGGCTATCAAGGTTCTCAGTGCCAGTGCTCAATCGATCAGACTGTGGATAGCCATTGTCGCTATCCCCTGATCCATATGCGTTATCTGACAGGTCATCTGTACCTGAGTCTGCTGAAATATCAGGAATGCCAAATAGAAGCGGTTCATAGTCAGCGGCCGAGATAGGACCTTCAGTGGGCTCATCATCATCTGGAATTGCTTCAGCAGACAGGTTATACCTGATAGTTGCCTCCGCCGGTTGCAGAGCATTTCCGCCATCAGAATCAAACCCACTAGGATCATCCAGCAAGAAGTCAATATCATTGGATAAAGGCAGTGAGCCTTCCGGTCTGAGGTGTGGCTCTGGTATAGGCCCCGCATCAAGTGTATCTGGAGCAGCTGCAGGCTCAGGGGCGGTCCCGGACCGCGGAGGTGAGTCTGCGTCTTGTCTTGGCTCACGTGGTTGAATGACCGGTTCTAACACTGCAGTCAATATTAAGAAAGTTGCGGTGCGTAATCAAATTGGCAAATTATATCCATCTTACGTGTTCGTGGACGTGCTGGGACCGAAGTCTCCTGGGATAGCAGTTGAGCTCGCTTTTGTTGCTGATAGCGGAGCCGTCGAGCGGCATTTCTCGCAGCCCTTGTTTTGTATGTCGTTGTAGGTCCTCTTCGACCCATTATGCTAGATTTTAAAGGGTGGCCAGGACAGCATAGGATGAGGTAGCATGGTTGGCCCTCATAAGTGTGAGAGGTGCGTTTGTCAACTTTTGACAGCGCAGTCCACCCCTGATGACACACCATGGATTGGATTTATCATTTCTTGGCACTGAGCACAACAATCAGCGCTCACTGGCAGAAACATATGTGTGTGCACCGCGAATGGCAGTCAATGGATCTAGATTTGTGTGTTCCATGATTAAATTGGATCATGATGTCATATGTTGATGATTATGCGACTGTCTAGTTGTGAGAATACATGTTTTGGATGCTTACTGCCTCCTGTTTACGCCTAGCACAACAGACAGAACCCCGGTCAGTAGAGGGAATGGCACGTGACTAGTCTGGGTTTTCGTCCGAGTTTTTATTGGCTGAGAGTATTTCATCTTTCCTGCCACCAATTTTCAATAATATGTAAAAAGAGAAATGGCGTTAGAGTCTGGCCGATGCGGGCTTTCTAATCATACTAAAATAATCTCCATCCGGGCGTTGTGGTGTTGTGGTCACCTGCCACAATTTGTCTGTTGGATGAGAAGACCGATAGAAGTGTTACGGGCCGTTCGAAAGAAACACATTCATTCGGTGCCTACTTACGAGAATCTCGAAGATGAAGAAGGAAAGAGAAAGGAAGAAAGTCCGCCAGAAAAAGAGGGGTTAAGTCCCCAGCAAACGCGTTGTGCAAACGACCCAATATTATGCCTCAGGCATCCTTCCACTAGACGAGGCTATTCCCAGGATCATCCGTCACAAGAAGAAAGGTATTGGAGGAGTCCTTTGAGAAACACATTTAGAAATGCCAAGTCAAGGAAGCCCAGAACCGTTCCGAGTATCAATGAGCGAAACGGGTGGAGGGTCCTCGTAGAAAGGTGTGATTTCAGAGACCACCCGTGCCAGGTCACTGAGGCGTCGCGTGCGGAAGACATCGGCCACGGTGAATGACACTCCCCACTCGCGCGCCGCCCCGACCAGCTTCATCGCTCCGATGGAATCCCCGCCGATCCGCAGGAAACTGTCGTCCGCCCAGATGCTGACGGCGTCTATCCCGAGGACCGACGCCCACAGGCCCTGTAGCCGCCGCTCCATCTCAGTCGCCGGCGCCTGCCGTTCGCCGCGCGATGGCTGCAGCGCCGCCAGTTGCTCCAGCGTCAGAGCCCCGCCGATCTCACGGAGCCGCGGCCGGTCCGTCTTGCCCGTCGCCGTCATCGGCATCTCGTCCACGGGGATGTACGAGCTCGGCACCATGTACCCCGGCAGCTGCTCGGCCAACCGGTCCTCCAGTCCCTGGGTTGCCCGCTGCAGGGCTGCCTGAACATTGCTTTGGGGCCCCTGTGCCTCCTTCCCTATCGCTAGATATGCTACCAGTGTTGGGTTGGTGCTGCCTTGTGGCGTAATCACCTCGGCCACCACGGCCGACTCGACATTGTTCGCAAGATTCTGCCGCACATAGTGCTCCACCTCGCCGAGCTCCACCCGCTGCCCGCGGATCTTGACCTGGGTATCCTTGCGCCCAATAAAGACCAGTGTGCCATCCGGGTTGTATCGCACCAGGTCGCCCGTCTTGTACAACAGTCCATGACGTCCTGGGCAGTCGGGCCCTCCGCGTAGCAGCCACGCAGGGTCTTCCACAAAACTGGCCTCCGTGTTCCCTGGGTTGGAGAGGTAACCGTCGCCCACTATCGGGCCCTCGATTAGCAATTCACCGGTATAACCTACCGGAACAAGTCGGTCGTTCTCGACCGGATCGACTACCCAGGTACAGCAGCCGAATCCTGCCCCGATGCTAGGATCCCGAGACTCCAAGTGGCCGATTCTTCCTATTGTTACAGACACTGCACACTCAGAAGGCCCATAGCTGTTGATCATCTCAATTTGTGGCGTCCATGCAACGACGTCTGTGCTGGTCGTTGGCTCGCCGCCAAGTCTCAACAACTGAAGGCTCGGAACATCGAGAGGATTCAGAAGACGGGCAACTGTCGGCGTAAGGTGAGCATAGTTGACCCGCAGCTTGGACATCGAGTGCGCGATGTTCCTGCGGCAGTCAGCTTCATGTGGCACGCATAGGCAGCCTCCGGCAGTAAGCGTGTGTAATAGATTTGACCAGGACACATCAAATGCATACGACGCGAAGTCGAACACCCGCGCCGAGGAGGTGAAGCCCAAAGCATCTTGCTGGTGCTTAATGGCGCTACTGAAGTTCACATGCGTGATGACAGCGCCCTTGGGAGTTCCAGTGCTGCCAGATGTAAATACCACATACAGTCGGCTGCATGGGTCCACAGGCTGCAGGCGCGTCGAAGGAAACGCACTGAACCTCTCCAAGTTGGCTCCATCCACCGGCACCACGGTGCTAGCCCCAACTCGGCCCGCCAGATCCTGGTTCGCAGCCGATGCGAGGACGACAGAAGGTTGGACCTGCTGGATGATTGTTCGCAGGCGCTCTTCTGGTTGAGTCGTGTCCAAGGCAACCGACGCTCCGCCAGCCTTCATGACTCCTAGCATCGCCACCGGCGTCCACATCGACTTCTCAAAGCACAGCGGCACAATTATCGCTGGGCCGACTCCCAGGCCGAGTAGATGGTGAGCCAACCGCGTCGACAGCTCGTCCAGTTCGCGGTACGTCAGCTCGCCATCCCAGGCACAGATTGCCGGCGCATCTGGCTGCTGCCGAGTCCGGTCTGCGATCAGGTCGTGCACGCACACCTCCATGGCCGCGGGAACCGTGGCGTTCCAGCGCCAGATGTCCTCAAGGTCCTGATGACTGACGAGCTCGATGTCGCCGAGTCTTCTCTGTCCCTTTCCAGCGCCCACAGAGCCGCCTGAACCGATAGGACCTTCGCTCACCAGCCCGATAACTATTGTCTCCAAGAGTGAGAGGACTCGGCAGGCCTGCTCTGTGGATAAACAATAGACCCGGCAGTTCAGATACACGCACAACTGCGAGATGCCATGTGCAACACTGACTGCAATGTCATACTACTAGTCCTTCAGTGCTGTGTGCAATTAAACCTAGCTGGAATGGCACTTACTTCAGTGTGGTTCTTTCCGTCAATATTGGCAAACTCAAGGCGGTGGCTTTCTACACACTCTGCGCCATCACGATCCTGTTTTTGGAATGACATGATCGTGTTGAACAGCGACTGTCCAGCTGGTAGGTTGAGCTCGTGGTGGATGTCCGCCAGGGAGCAGTGCTGGAAGCCAAAGTCCTCTAACACTTGCTCGTGGATGTGTTGAACCAGGCGCTGACCCGACCACTTTCGTGAGAGGTCAGCGCGGCAGATCATCATGTTGGCATATGCGCCAATGGACTCCTCCAAACCAGGTATCGGCAGGTCTCTGCCAGATGCAAGATAACCAAAACAGACAGAGTCTTTCCCAGTGCAGGCGGCTAGAGTGAGTGCCCAGGCGCTCTGGAAGAGGCTACCCATGGTGATGGATTGTGCCTCGCAGAAACGTCGGATTTGAGAAAACACCTCGCCTCCTATGTCGATGCTGTATGTAGAGATCCCCTTGTCCTGTTGGGGGGCACTTGAGAGGTGCAGGAAATGGCAGGGTTCCACACCGACCAACTTCGTCTTCCAATAAGCTAACTTTTCTGTCCTAGGGCTCGACTTGAGGGCTCTAGCGAAGCCACGGCTCGTTTCCAGCAGATCGCAGGGGCTCAAAGACCCTGCGTACGCCCTGGCCCAGTCCCGCAGCGTAATCCCGATCGAGCCTCCGTCGGTGATGGCGTGGCTCATCTCGAGCTGGCAGATGACGCAGTTGTCGGAAACCTGGCACAGCACGAGACGGTGGGGGGTTTGAGCCGCCGGTAATCAACCGGGGGCAGCTTTTTGAGCATGTCCAGCGCAGTAGCCTCACTTTGGCTCTTCCGCAGAACGACCTCACCGTAGTAGGACTTTAAAACCGCCTGGTTGAATACGGCCATCCCGTCGATCCCTGCAATGAAGACAGTGCGCAGAGATGGCTGCCGGGCAACCACCGTCTGCCATGCCACTGCCAAACCATCGAGGCTGACCGTGTTGGGGCCGCGAGATCTTATCTTGTATACCTGGGAAGTCTTGTACAAATCCGGCTCCTTAAGTTGGCTTAGCAGGATACCGTCCACCATGGGCGAGCATGGATACACGTCCTCTACCGCGGCGTTGTTTGCGGACACGATACGCGGGATTACATGGCTCTCAAGCTCTTCGAGCCCCCTGTAGTCTAGATTCAGGAACTCATAGTCGCAGAGTGTGCTTGAGGTCTTCATGGACGTGAGCTCATCGCAGATAGACTGTAGTGACGGGCCGACTTGTGTGATCCAACCGTGAATGAGCTCTTGGTGGGCAATATGGCGGTTCCAGGAGAAAAAGAAGTAGACTAACCCGTCCTCGATCCGGACGTTAATGTCAAATATGGCCGACGCGGGCAGTGCGAGACCTTTACCGCAAACCCCGTCAAGAGTGACATTGTGGAAGAGGGAGTCATCGCGCTCTAGCTGTTGGAACTGGCCGTGATAGTTGAAGGCCACTTCCATGGTAGAGCGATGGGCCTGGAACGCACCAATCCCCTTGCGGTTGAGGTACCTCGAAGCAAAATAGGCCCAGCCGTTTGAGGGGAGCCGCCTTCTCGCATCTTTGACGAGTCTCACGATATTTGCCGGGGCGCTACCTATGCACCTCGATATGTGGATTGGGCTTATCGTGGTGAACCAACCGACAGTCCGCGACAGGTCAATCTCCGCACTCCATGGCTCGCGGCCATGGCCCTCATTGAAGATAGTGAGTCCCTTTCGCCTAGGGAAGATGCAAAGAAAGGCGTCAAAAACCGCTGAGAGAAGCAGGTCCACCGGCTCAGTGTTAAAGGCGTTATTGGCATCATACAGGAGGAGAGAGGTTGTATGCTGGTCAACTTTCACAGAGCGCACATCGTGGTCGCCGACTGCATTCGGAGTCTCTTGGCCAAAGCTCCAGAACCCAAAGTCGTTGCTGATCTCTTCTGTGGGGAGGACGTGTTCGGGGTCGAGCTCGTAGGACATGGCCTTCTCAGTCTGCAGCTTGTTCCACACCTGGAACGGAAGTCCCACTTGCAGTGTGTCGCCAGCGAGAAGAGCCTCCAGGTCACCCAGGATGATGCGCCAGGACACGAGGTCAACCACCAAGTGGTGCGCAATTAAGATTAGATACTGGTCCCCGCCGGGTAGCGTGTACATGTCCGCCGCAAACACCGGACCCCTTTCAATGTCCAAGTCCTGGTGCCTTTGCAAAGTGAGAGACTTAACCTCACGCAGGGATTTCAGCTGCGAGGCTCCAAAGTGGTAAAGGCCGTCGCTAGGCTTTAGAACGCGCTGTGTCCAGTTACCGGCGAATCTTTGAAAGCGCGCCCTTAGCATAGAGTGCTGCCGCACAATCTTAGAAATTGCGCGGTAGATTTCATCAACAGACACCCTTCGCATAATCTTGACGTTGAAGCCTTGGTTGCAGTAGTGGGCCTTGGTGTTGAGATACTCGGGGGAGACTGAGTAAAGAACCACTGCTGGATCGGAGACAGGCCGAAGGGCTCGTCGAAATCTTCCTCTCGAGAAATTTCAGAGGGCGTTGTAACTTTTGAAGATCGTGCAACCGCGGCGAGCGATTTGCTCTTGAGCAGACTTGCAACGGAGAATACGATATTAGCGGCACGACATTGCGGGCTGAGCCGCATGGCAGAGATAGAGTCCCCACCATTAGCAACAAATGAGCGCTGCAGGTCGATGCTAGATGCTGGCACGTTGAGTACACGGCTGCAGGCGTCGTGGAGCACGCGCTCTGCGTCAGTCGCAGGCTCCCGAGACGTAGAGCTGCAATCAGCGTTTGAGATCTTTGCATAAGTCTCCGAGTCCATGCCGAAGAGCCATGCCTCGAGCGCTTTATGGTCTAGCTTGCCGGATACGCTAAGTGGGATGTCCCTGAGCGCGATCCAGATGGAGGGGACCATATAGGTGGGCAGAGCGTCACCTAAGAGAGCCTCCAGGGCCTCGATATGCCGTCGGACCTGTGCCGTATTCTTGGTAGGAACAAGTTGGATGGAGGATCTATCGTTGTCATCCTGCTGAATTCCCTTGAGACTGAAGAAGCCTACCAGTCTGTTCGCGCACAGGCCGGACTTGGGGAGTAGGGACGCGGACTGCCGTATGGAAAAGTGGCGTGCCATGTGGGCTTCGATCTCGCCGAGCTCCACCCGCTGGCCGCGGATCTTGACCTGGGCATCCTTGCGCCCGATGAAGATTAGCGAGCCATCTGGGTTGTATCGCACCAGATCACCTGTTCGGTACAGCCGGCCCCGTCGCCCTGCACACCCAGGCCCTCCGCGCAGCAGCCACGCCGGGTCTTCCACAAAGCTCGCCGTCGTTTTCTGCGCGTCTCCTAGGTATCCTTGTCCAACAAGTGGCCCCTCAATGACAAGTTCACCAGTACAACCGACCGGAAGGAGTCGACCAGTCTCAATTGGATCGACCACCCAAGTCCGACTTCCAACCCCTCTCCCGATACTCTGATCCTGCAAATCCGCGTGGCCGATTATATCCACCGTTGTTACCACTGTACACTCAGCCGGCCCATACGTGGTAACCATATGAACATGCTCGCTCCACTTCACCATGTCCGCCTTGCTCATCGGCTCACCACCGAGCACCAAAACCTGTAGCGTAGGAATATCCAATGGGTTGAAAAGGTGGGATACAGTCGGGGTTAACTTAGCGTAGTTAACAGCAAGTTCACACATTGACTTTGCGATGTTGTTATGGCAGTCAGTCGTACTCGGAATACAGAGGCAGCCTCCTGCAGTAAGTGTGTATAATATATTCGACCAGGACACATCCCACGCGTAGGAAACGAAGTCGTATACACGAGACGCTGTGGAGAATCGTAATAGGCCTTGCTGGTGCTTAATGGCGCTACTGAAGTTCACATGGGTGATAACAGCGCCCTTGGGAGTTCCAGTGCTGCCAGATGTAAATACCACGTACAATCGGCTGCATGGGTCCACAGGCTGCAGGCGCGTCGAAGGAAACGCACTGAACCTCTCCAAGTTGGCTCCATCCACCGGCACCACGGTGCTAGCCCCAACTCGGCCCGCCAGATCCTGGTTCGCAGCCGATGCGAGGACGACAGAAGGTTGGACCTGCTGGATGATTGTTCGCAGGCGCTCTTCTGGTTGAGTCGTGTCCAAGGCAACCGACGCTCCGCCAGCCTTCATGACTCCTAGCATCGCCACCGGCGTCCACATCGACTTCTCAAAGCACAGCGGCACAATTATCGCTGGGCCGACTCCCAGGCCGAGTAGATGGTGAGCCAACCGCGTCGACAGCTCGTCCAGTTCGCGGTACGTCAGCTCGCCATCCCAGGCGCAGATTGCCGACGCATCTGGCTGCTGCCGAGTCCGGTCTGCGATCAGGTCGTGCACGCACACCTCCATGGCCGCGGGAACCGTGGCGTTCCAGCGCCAGATACTGCGCAGGTCACGCTCAGTAATCATTTCGATGTCCTTTAATTTTTTTACCTCTCCTCCCTCAACAGTTAACTGGCGGACAATCCTTTCCATCCAATAGCCCACACTTTCGGCTTCTTCGCGCCTCATCATATCAGGCGCAACATTGACGTAGAGATGCAGGGCATGTTCATAGATTTGGCACCTCAACAAAATCGCGTCCCCGCCAAAAGTATTTGTATCTCCAACGTCGTATTGTGAGCTTCCCATTGCTTGACGTGTCGAACAATCCTTTCCACCTATTTTGGCGACTGTTTCCACAATCAGTAGGGCCTGGAGCTTGCCACCATCGTCAGGTCTATAGGGCTGAGTATGCCAATCATTCGGTTGCCCTTGAACCTTCTTGTCCAGCCCCCGACTCTCCAGCTCTTGTAACAGCTTTCCTACGACGTTGTCTGATTCAACCATGACTTCAACCGGCACTGCGGCTTGTTGCAATGACATTGCCGAATAAAAGTTCGCCTTGGTTAAGTAAGAGTATCGTGTAGCCAGAATGGACCATGCTGCGAGCACAACTGTCGACGGCGAAACGCCACAATGATGCCAGAAAATGCCTCGAATATCGTGCTTCGTCGCGTATCGTGCCTGCAGTTGTTGCCCTAGTGCATTACCATTTGCATCTCCCTTTCTCTCGGCCATTCTCCGCTGGCCAATGAGTTGTTCTCAGCATTGGTCTCATGGCAGCCTTTGCACTATTCTGCGAATAGTTTATTGGAACTTACCAGATTTTGCTTGCCGGAAATTACGTATATTTCGTGCAAAGGGAATATGAGTTTCGTTTCGTTCACTTTCCAAATGATGGCGGACACTTAAGAGCATGTTTCCAGGTAGATTATGGAGATAAAGAGGAATCAGTGCCACTGGGGTTCAGTCAAGTTACTACAGACCTTGGTCCGCTTTCAGCTGAGACTTTCTAGTTCAATCTCTAGACACGACGAACAGCATGGTCTGTGCGTCTGTCATCACTTTTTCACATTACGGTATAAGAAATATAAGGGTTTGAAGCAGTCCATATGAAGAGCTCTTCGGGATCCCGGCTCTGGGAAAGGAGTAGGGTAGCAGGCATTGTAGGCAAACATATTGGGGTGTTGGTTTCAAAGTGAAGGGATAGTTTTCAAGTATCGACGGATGCGGAAGGCAAGGGTTGTACTCTTTTGAGATTGTGGTAATGACGTCACTACAGAACTCCGATCTTTACACCCTATAACGTAATCGGTAAGCGAGTGAGACATGTAAGCGAGTGAGACAGAAAACCAGCTACTACTATTTCAAACCAATTTATTAAACCACCAACGCCATTGATTTCAAATTTCTATCTATTAGACCTATCTGGGCATGTCTCTCTTCTATGTCCTGGGAGCCTGCATATCCCACATCCCCGCTGGCCCCGTGTACGTGGCTGCGAAGCTGACGATTCTTGTTGTAATTTAAAGGAAGATTGCTTATATTCCTTCTGGACAGAAAACTTGAGGGTTTATATACACAGGCGACCTCCAGATTGATTTCCAATCAAGGCTGGTAATTCCGTGAGGTTAGGAATTGATTCCGTTACGATACGACATATCACAACAATTCTGGTTCCGCGGGGGTAGTATTAGGAGCTTCATGAGCCTGGTTCATCGACTCCCTAGCTTCCTGGACCGTAAAGTCCTCTGTATGAGCTACGCGCTTAGTCGTTCTATTGCGTTTTTGCTTTTGTGTCTCGTTTTCAGCCCGTAAATCGCGGATTTCCTTTAGAAGGATTGCATTAGAATGCAATGATAGCTGATAGCCCTTGAGGAGCTGATCAATAGCTTTATTCGTAGGCGTCGGAGGGCTTTGCGAACGTTTCTTAAGCAGTGCCTTGACTGAAGAGCCCTGTCGATTCAATTGTTTGAGATTTGCTGGCGTTTTAGGGCTCCACGCGCTCGATTGGCTTCCTGGTCGACTGCCTAGGGGGTAGGTGTCCGAAGTTGAACATCAAGCTTTGAAATGACCTGATTGGGATCATATGGTACTAAACCAGCTGCGGCGAATGCATTTTGAATAGTCTCTGGTTTAAAGGCTTCTTTGCGAGCTTGTGGGAATGCCGCGAGGAAATCAAGCTTGTCGATATGATTGACCCCCAACCGTGCTTTGCGTTCAATCAAACTCCCATATGCGCGTTTTAGAGGGGCAAAACAGCCTATATCCAAAGGCTGTAGTAGATGAGATGAATGCGGAGGCATGCAGATCGGAATAATATCGTTTTGCTCGCACAATCGATCAAAATGGGGGGTTAAATGACTGCCATGGCCATCGAGAACTAGTACTCGATATTTACCCCTAGTACGACTAGTAGTCGCAGGGATAAATAGCTTTTCTAGCCATCGAAGCCCAATTTCGTCTGTAGTCCAGCCATTCTCACTGATTTCGATTCTCCAATCGTCGGGTAGGTCATCAAACCATGCATATTGTTGGTACTTTGACGATTTGAAGATAATGCATGGTGGGAGTACAAAGCCCGTTGAATTCACACATTCAACCGATGTGACCCATTCGCGATTCCCTGGCTGTAGAACTGACCTCCGACCGTAGTAATCAGCTCTTGTGATCACTTTCGCAGTAGCTATAAGCCCCATTGCAAAGCCAATTTCATCAAAATTATAGATATCCTCAGGTTGGATACCATTCTCGTCAATTGTGCGTCGTACAAGCTCAAACCATGGCTGAATAATACGAGGATCTTCGCATTTTGCCCTCTGGTGATTATACCGTCGAGAATCTGGCGAGTGGTATAGTTGTAAACCCATTTAGTTCCAACAGTCTGACCACCACGCTCTGCTAACAGAATATTGGCCATATCCCTCACCATACTATGTCGGGGAGCTGATCCACGCGTATCCATAGAAAGAATCCACTGTAGAAGCGATTGCTCTTCGTTAGGAGTCAATTTATAATTGTTGGCGCGGGTATCGGAGCGAAAGGTTTGGCCATTGTATCGACGATGAAGAGTTGCGTGAGGTACTTGGAATCGGCGCGCAGGCTCGCGAATTGTAGGAATTTCTTTATTCTGATAGGCTTGTATGGCGAGCTGGATCCTACCCTCCTGCTCGATAGAGTTTCGTGAATTTTGACTGCGAATTGGGGGCATGGTGGGTATTTGAAATGATAATGTTGACGCGTTGGGGCTCGATCGCGTTTCTGTCTCACTCGCTTACATGTCTCACTCGCTTACCGATTACGTTATAGCAGGTAATTAACACTTGTATGTCTATCCTAGTAAAATATTCCCTGGGATATTGATTTAGGGTCACGATCAGTGACGAAGTCAGTAGTTCGTCACCAGGCCTTTAGCTTAGTAGGCCACTCGACCTACCATTGATCAATCACGGATATTGAGTGAACGGGCATGAAAGCTCCATGAGCTAATAGTTAATGGTTTCAAGACAACTGGAAGCTAGGATATGTAATATAGGGGGGCGGAAATTTTCCAATTGCCAAGGGACAGATTAGGCCGGGTCTGTCAGCTGTTGGCGATGCACCTGAGCGCGCTGAGCAACATAAGCAGGATGAGTTAAAATAACCTGATCGTAGGATACAGGTCGCGTATGTTCGGACCATGGTTCCAGAAGAATTCGGGAGTTCCTGATTTGGGCGGGGAGGAGAAAGCCTCCCTTTACCGACTCTTTCGTAAATGAAGAAATACCAAACACCTTTTTTCGTCGTACCTGTTTCCCTGTGGGATGGCTTTGCCACGGGAACTCGAAATTCTGAAAGAGGAGAGGTCTGGAAATCTCGCCATTGTGCGGTGTTCCCAGGCAAAGTAAGCTACCCGACCAGCCAAGGACACGCTCGGAATCGAACAATGTTGTCCAAAGTAGACTGGTCGTGGGTTCTCGGCTTTGCTTGTCCCAGTGATACTGGGCCCCATCTATCATTGCCTGCCTCGTGCCTTGATCAACAACGCTTCCACGTGTAAATCTCCGTTTAGAGGTCATCTTATTCGCATCTGGAGCGCCACCCTTCCACTGTGTGAATAACATACAACAAAAGACAGGTTGTCCACCTAGCGCGTCTTCCGCATTGGCCCATTCAGGGACGATATTCACACCGGGTGGTGCACAGAAATCGATAAGTTCGGGGTTGGTAATGAGTGAGAGATCATGCCTGTATCTTGCCGGGAAGGGAAGATCATGGGAGGGCCGATCAAAAGTCGTGGTAATCGTGCCGACCTAGTTTGTCATCCTGTTAGCTGCGACATCTGGACAGTAAGAAGAGGGCAGCAGTCTTACGATCTGACCGGTTGCGGCAAGGGCAATTACTCTCCCCAGTGGACCGCTTGAGTTTCTGGGATTAGCCAAGCGGTTACTTCGCTTTGTCTCGCAAATCTGGACCTCAACAATTTGAGGCAGAGGGGCCGGCAAGAAACGTCGGATCGAGCTTCGGATCTTGACGTAGTGTTGTTTAAGCCAGGGACCGATCCAATTCTCGAGATGCACAGGCTCCTTCACAAAGCCATGAGTCACCGTGGTTAAAACCTCTTGGCATGCACTGTTAGTTTGCCCACCTGGGAGCCGTAGCTTGAGGCCAATACAAGCCATCATTAGCTTCGGGTTGGCCGCATCGCGGACTTGATCACCAGTCTCGACCATAGCCAGAGTAGCGGACGGCAGTGTCGAAGGGTTCATTTCCATTAGCGCGAACCCAAGTTCCAGCCCCCGAATGAGCAAACCTGAGAATTCCACCAAGCACGCTCAAGGCTCGAACGGTCCGGAAACAAAACAATAGCGCATTCACACCGCAGGATCCGGATCCCAACTGCCTCCGGCCAATATTCACGCGCAATATTAATGTGCACCGGTGTTAGGAATTTTGTCGTGTCGATGAACTCGTCGATAGGATCAGGATGAGCCTGAAATGTGACTCGCTCACCCATCGTGGATCTGAACCAGGGCTGAATCAGGATTTCCAGCCCTCCGACGTGGGTATGTAGAAGGGGGCGGCCCCGGATGCACAAGATGACCCAATATCGTTTGTTCGTGTATTTTTGATGGAGAATAAAGACGCTGGGCTCAGAGCGAAGAGCTGGATGAAATGTACGTAGGAAGCGCTCATTTTGGGGGACGACTTCTTTCGCGAGAATTGCCTCGGTGGTCAAAGCGAATTCTGGCCTATCGGGGGATTCTTCAAGAACTGTATAAAGTGAGCCTCGTAAGATCTTGCTGCCCGAGCAAAAGACAGGGACCTACATTCGACTTCTCGTATTTCACGCCGTGTTGAAACCAGCGTAATACGGGCGTCTCGCGTCTCAGCTAAAGTGGCCAACATTTCGAGATGGTAAGCAGTTGTGGTCGAAACGAGTAGAGTGTGGAGTCAACTTGTAGTCAGAAGTCGGATTCAAGGAATCAGCCTGAGCCCAGTTGAGTCTTGGAGACAGGAGGTAATTCAGGAAATGTCCGCATGACGTGAAGCTGGCAAGAGGAAATCCAGGCACATGTGAGCTAGGCAGCTGCGCTGTGGATAGTTCAGGAAGGAAGGCGACAAGGCGGAAAGCGGAGCAGAGATCTGCCGATCGAACCGTGGTAGCAGAACGGTCAAATCCGGTCTAGTTCGTCCCTCATGAAACTCACAATTTCAACTCCGTAGGGTGACTTTAGGGTGACGCTTGGACATTATGCCACCATTTCCTCTTAACTACTGTCTGCCACATAGCGCCTCTGAGAATATGCTCCCCTTCGCTGGTTGAGGCATAACCCTTCTTAGACAAGAATCCCATAGGATAACATTGGCCTTTGCTGTAAATTCCTTGGCTCTTTCTCAGTGGTGGTGGTATCATTTAACGTCCAGGTAGGGCCCAACTAAGCCCTCCAGGCCTCCCAGGGGGCATGGGGATGTGCTAAGCTAAACTAGGCACAGGACCAGCTCGGGGCTGGGGAGGGGGGTCTAGTTCATCCGGAGCCTCCGCCTCGCCCGCCGAAGCTCTAGCTCAGATAACAGCTTCAAGCATAAATGCATGGTGGACTCGCCAGTCGACTGCCGTAGACCTCGCGTGTAGGTCAATAGCAAGGAAGTACAGGTGGTATCTCCTACCGTGGTGTTTGGGTGGCGCTTCAGCGCATCCAGGCCTGGTGGGCGTCAATTCGCCAGTCGTTCATCTGCCCTCGGGCGTGTGACGGCCAGCGATTTCTTCAGTGGTATAAGTGGGAATATTGTTATCGACCTCGGGGGTTGGGGGGGGGAGGGGGTTACATCTGGCAACGAATCGTTTGTTTTCAGAGAGAGATCATGGGAATACCCGACTGGAATTGGCAGAAAAGTGCTAGGCATCTCGAAGCAGTGTGAGATATAGCCTATTTCCGTGTTCGCCTTTTGGAGCAAAATCTTTCTGCTTTGTATTCCGGGGTTGCTTTGGCTTCCGCAGCTATACGCGACAGAGTCACGGTTCAGGTGAGGACCCGAAACCTCAAAAGCACGTTCTGAGCACGGATTATCCAATCTACAAGCCGTAGGATAGTCGTTATTTTCGTTGTGTCGGGGTTCGAAAGTTTCGTGGTTCTCTTTTCTCTCTCCCTTTTCTTTGTCCTCTTTGCCGGACTGAGCCCGTCTTCTTCAATGATGAGATATGGAGTGTCGGGCGTATTTTCCGGAAGGATCAGCTGATGAGCCTGACGGCCGACCTCTTCATGGACTTGGAACAGCCCTGGGAGTCTGGCGTCGAGCTTTTGTGACAATTGGACGAAAGCAATGTCCTTATTTTGTAGCAACTCTCAGTCATCGATGTGGAAAATCAATGTCCAGTCGGTTTTTGTCGGCCCCATTCGTGGTGTCCTTCGACGATCGTAGGTTCTCTACGACGTTGCAGATTATCCGCTCTAGGGTGGTCGCGTCTGTAAGACCCTTGTTCGGCGCTGGCGCGACCGTTCCTAGAAAGTGTCCGTCGAAGCTCTTGTGGAGTGTCCATGCGGGCGTCCCGTAGTACTGTGCGGTGAGTGTTTGTCCATGGATTTGTGAGACGTAGAAAGTACTCGATGTTCCCGTTTTGTCTCTCGGTCTGGACGTTACTCTGGGGGCGGAGGGTGGTCGATAGCCGGCGACAGATGTCTAATAGGTTGCAGAATAAAGACGAGAACACATTCGTGGATAGAGAGCCTCGGTCGCTGACGATGTTTTAGGAATCCGAAGACTTTAATCCCACCTGTGCCAAAGATCACTACCAATAATCCTGCTGTGATATCCTTGTCGCACGGGACGTACATTGAGTACTTCAAGAACATATCAACGAGGAGTACTGCATCGTAAACTCTGTCATCCCACCTCGAAGGGAGTAGCACTGTGATAGAGTCGACACCGATCCACCTTCCCGCTCTCTTGGGCCGTTGCAATGGCTGTCAGAGACCACAAAGTCGATGTCGGTGGGCCGCAGTCTTCTGGCAGGACACACATTCACTGATATATTCCTTGATTTCTCTCTTCATCGTCGACCTCTGTACTTTGCCGCGATAGCATCAAACGTATATCTGGAAAGGGGTTGTCACGGTATAGAGTTATCGTAGTGGTTTTCCAGGACTTTGATGATAAGCGCAGGCTCGTTAGGCACGGAGATCCTGCCTTGGAATCTTGGCAGGTCGTCCTTCGGTGTGATGCTCCAGCCCTCGCTGTTTCGCCTTAGCGCCTTTATTTTGAAGTTTTGTGCCTTCCAGTCTCGTCCTTGAAGTCAGCGGAGGTAATATTGTATAAATTTTGGTGGTTCGACATGTCGTGCACTTGTTTCGTCGTTGTCGCGGTACTTTGTTTATAATGTGGTGTCATCACGTGCGGCTCATCAGGTGTCAACTTCCGTATAGTATCCGACCAATTGGAGATATCAATGACTTTGTATTTCCATTACCCCTATTCACGCTTTTTATGGTCCAATTTAGTTACATAAGCAATGCCGTCGGATCATCCATAGACCCGGTTTCATGCAGTATTCGTAAGGTAATGCCGACAGATATTATCATATTGGAGTGGCAGCCTATCAGGCTGCCACTACCACTCTAGGCAGAAGGTAGCTACTGTGACTACAAATAGTTGCGCCTGCTCGCATAGCTAGAGAATGATCAACACACTCGTACCTCAATTCAGGGTCTCAACTCGCGAGGGGTCAGGGTAAATGATTTCACACATACACACATACTGTAGTCGCAAAGGGAAGCATGGCATCGAGAATGGCTTACCATACCCCCCTATCAGTATTACTAACAATGTCTTGCCACCGCATTCCTCCGCTACTGAGCTGGACACTTCTGCCCCGCAGAAAGCCGATGATGACCCCTTTAGGGTTCCTAGTCCGCTTGATATTCCTGGGCCTAGGGACGAAGCGGTTAAGGAATACAGTGAGTGGCAGATGTCAAATGTAACCGATGATACCTTGAAGGCTTCTTTCCGACAAGTCTGCGATGTGATGATTGAGAATGGTCTTGAGCTTGAGCAGGTCTACAAGGATCAAGACCCCAACTTTTTTATTGGCAAAGGGGTAAAAATAGGTATTGATCGGCGATTTGTTGAGGACATTCGGTGCTGGGCCGATACCGTGAAGAGAGTAATTCCTATTTGTGAGATTAATTAGCAACAATCAGGTTAGGCGTTGGCTCTGTTCATGAGGTTTTTGCATTCTTCAGCAATATAACTATCAACTGCAATACTTCCTATCCAGAAATGAATTGTTGTTCGCAGACAGATGTTACAATCGCACCAACGTTCCAAATTAGCGCGTTGTTACTCTACGTATGTGTGGTGAACTAACCGAACCCCAGATAGCTTAGCTGCGGGCTGCAGCAAGCGCACATCCACAAACTACTCTGTAGATGTTGGTATCACCAGCTAGGTACTGTGTACACAGTTAAGTGGACAGTGTGTATGCTCCAAAGCAAAGTCAATTGATTCTTGTTGATAGAAGTAGATGTTTTGTCTAGTTGGAAAAACACCCCTAGATCCCACACGCCGGCCTTCGGCGGTCACAACACCGAGGCCACAGCCCAGCGCAAGAATGCGTACACCAAGCAAGGGATGTTATCCATCGGTCGCTAGCAGTGGGTCACAGCCAGTTTGTTCTGACAGGAGAATATATCCCGACAGTAGACTTTCCGTAATCTGCAATAGATGACACATCAACAAAAGCGCAAAACAATCAAGCGGTGAATGATCCTGCATCAACCCGCATGATTCGTGTAACATAATTGGAGAAGCATTAGTGATACTATTGGGATGGCCCACGTACTCATCAAATATGACGGCTGGCGCGGCAAATAACATACATCACGGAGTCGCTTTGGGCAAAAGGCACCATCAATACCTCAAATATTTGTCCATGTTCACAACGTTTATTTTTACAATACACGCATCCCTAGCCCGCTATGCCAGCTACAAGCGTTTTGCAACCTGCCATCAACAAAACCTTTCCTATCAAAGAGAAGTTTACCGAAAAATAGTAAGAGAAGTTTACTGCATTTGAAGCCTCTTAGTTTCCCCTTGATACTAATTTTTCAGCCACAGCCCGAAACCTTCCCATCAGGCCTCGTCTTTGTGTAAACTTCTTAAACGTGAATGCGCCATTACATGGGCTCTCTGCAAGAACAATTTCCCTGGAAATCTAGCGGGATTTATGGGAGGATTTATCCCAAGGCTTCTTGTTAACCCGGTACCTTTCACAACAGGAGCTATAGCCTCACTAAATGTGATGATAACATGTCTTATATGGGTGTACATGTTCGATATTGCCAACACAACGTCTTCTGTGGAAGAGGACAAATTAAATAAGCCTCACCGGCCAATTCCATCAGGTCTCATCACTGTCAAGCAGGCCCGCGTCCGATGGTTGATAAGTTGGTGCCTTGCCCCTGTTATACTTGCTCTCCTATATGGGAAATGGCCGGCTTTCTATATGGCCCTGAAGCAGATGTGGGTATTTGCATTCTATGTGTGGCCTGCATACCACCACTGGTTGACAAAGAGCATAATGGTCACTGGAGGCACCTTCATCATGCTTCGTCTACTAAATGCCGTTGTTCAAAATCATGAGCAGTGGCGAACGAATGCAGTACCAGACACGATCGTCTGTGTCTGGACCATGGCCACAATTTCCCGCGTCCTCGCACATCTGCGAGACCTGTTCTGAGTGATGAAATGAGGCATTATCCATGACCAAAACAGATTTAGGGTCTGGCCATCTTCCGCAGTGCTGAAGTAGCTGAGCTAAGAAGTCTTCGAATATGACGGCATCTGTTGCACCCCGAAAACACGCGTAAGTAGGACGCCGTCCTGGGTGTACGCTGGTAGTATCTGGTATCGCTGCTCACGACGAAACTGTGATACCTGCAACGGCGCTACGCCAAGTGGTGACCAGCCCGTCCTCCTGAACCCAGCTCTCTTATCACATCCAGACTCATCAACGTAAACTAGGTGGTACGATTGGAACTCCGATAAATTGTGTAGATATAGTTCTCGCAAATCGACGTTTCGCTCTCTAGCATGCTACCGGGCAGTCTTTTTGGACCAACCTTTGGCTTTCAAGGCTCTTCTGAGGCTTGAGGTTGTAATCATAGTGTAGAACTCATCCCATAGGAAAACGACCATTTCATCGAGGTACAGACCTGGCTTCGCAGATAAGTGATCACAAAGCGCTTCGATCATTAATGGGGTAACCGTCGGTCTCCGGCCTATTCGAGTTGGGGGTGCGTGGACGCTTCCGAACTGCCGCAAGTTTTTGCGAACATTTAATATCGTGACTTTGCTGCATTCGGCTTCTTCGGCCATTTGAGACGTGGTAAGTGACTGGCTCTCGATCATATCACGGATGAGCTGCAACTTTGAGGGAGGGAGTCTCGGGGCCATATTATGAGTCCTGCCTCGACCAGCATTCCGACGCTAAAAGCCGTCCCTTATGCCCAAGAAAATTTGGATCACGTTCCCCTCAAGTTATTGTCACGTCATGGACCAGACAGCCGCTGTTTCAACTTCATATTGGAGGAAAATCACCTGAATCAGTGAACGGCTCTATCGGATATTGTCGACCTTTGCAAATACTAGGTATTGCAGTTGATGACCTGCTGGGGATACTTAAACAAGACAAAGGGCCTATTGACAACGAGATAGGAGGGTATCTGATACAAGGGAGATTGCCACAAAAGGTGTGGCAAAAGATGGAGTATAACTTCAATAAATACAGGAAGTAGTATATGAAAGGACTGTCGTCTCTAACGATATGGAATAGGAAGATTTAATTAAGTAGGACTTCTTCCAATTTACCTGATTCGATGAAGGCACAAACCTCATTGAACTTTCACCTCGGGACAAGAGCATGAACATCTCTTTAGTATCTCCTTCCTAGGCTCTTTAACCTTATATTTTCGGTACAGTAATTTCATCGCAAACCTCGCGAAGAATCTCTTTTTCCTCATCCAATCCATACAATACCATACATGATGTTTTAGAAGAGAGTGACCTTGCAGCAGAGATACAGGTTTCGTGAACAATTCCAAATCCCACAGCTCTTCGTCACAGCAATGTTCCATCAGAGTGACCGTTTTGTTCTCTGAGAACAAAATTGATGTACCCATAATCTTGTAGAGACGGGCAATGGGATGAAGCTTCTCTGAGTGCCAATCATTCCCAGCCCATTTGATTCGAGGATCCCATGGGTATCGTCACAATTCGCACACACTCCTCCACACAACTCCTAATTCTCGTCGAGCACGAGCTCCACTGACAGCATGAACTGGTTCAAGTGTCTGGGCAGCCAGATGTGCCAATAGGCGGTCGACGACAACATCCACAGGTACTACATCGTTGGTAGCTTCTTTCTCGGGGTTCTCATGCCTTGTTGCAACCCCTGCCGAAAATAACGACGTTAAGCAAGCTGCTGCAGTGAAGATGTGCATTGGAGTCGAGAGTGGGAAACTGAATCCTGGGTATAGATAGGATTGTGCCGGGTCGATGATGGACGGTCGCAGAATGAAAAGCGTATCAGAGAAGTTTTCCTGGGCGAACTTGTCGAAGAGAAGCCGCTCGGTCAAATGCTTCGCATATCCATATGCCCATGGGAAATTGTGTGAGCGAAACTCAGCCCTCGACCCTTTCTTCTGGACTTCGTTCCATTCCAACTGCGTGTTGCTTGCTTCGTCCGAGAGCGGGTGTATGCTTTCTTCCACCAAAACATCCCCGCTGGGGGTTGCATGGTATAGATGAGTGTTTGCATATGCTGACGAGACATAGACGAACCGCTCGAGCTTTGCAAATTGAAGCGCAAGATTTGTAAGCCTTTCACTCGCGCCAGTAATGCTCTGAGAGAGCCTGTATAGCGGATGGACTAGATTGATGGAAGAAGCTCCATGGACGACAATGTTGATTTTATCGCGCAATATATCCAATTCACTCCCAGAAAGCCCTAGATTTAGCTTCAAAATGTCACCTGTCAATACTGTTACCCGTTCTGGGTTGAGCATTTTGCGAACGATTAGTTCTGGAAGCCATTGAACCCATACTTCCCTAAGGTTCCTATCGTGCCATCAGTCTGAGAAGCGCATCTTTTTATTGTTCATAAAAGGACGTACGAAATGCCTTTCCTGCAAACCAGATATAAATGGGCTACAGAGGTTTTGTCAAGCAGTCTGTAGACGAGCGTCGTACCCAGGAATCCGGAATCCCCTGTGATAAGAATATGTTTTCCTCTGTAGCGTTCCCACATCTTGCTGGAGTCTGTCCTTACACTTTCATGTTGCGTTTTTGCTACAAATATAGTGACAAGGCACGATCGGACCTCATAGATTAAGGTGTAACGGCAAAGCCTGGAGGCATGACGTTGTCCCAGTTAAGCATTCCGGATCGTCACACCTAAAGTACTGTACTACCCCCCTTATTTTATATCAGTGGAATAGCCATGATACGTCTTGGGCCGCAGCTTGATCTGGATGAGGCGCTGCCAGATACCGGGCTTCTGGACAAAGCTGTTGATGCGCACTTAGTCAAACTCGTTGATACGATGAGAGACGATCGACTCAAATGCCCGATCAATGAGTCTTTTCACGCTCAGGCCAATCGCGACCAGGGTTGGCTCGTTCATGGGGTCCGGGTGGGAGGCAAGTTGGGCGATGTCCCGGAACGCATGCCCTCGAACATACTCAGGCCATCGGGTGAGCTCCAGCCACGGGGAAGTGTCGGTGGCATTCTCGTCCGTTGGCGCCATCTGGTCTTCTGCATCCGCGATCCCATCAGATCGGAGGAGCGCCAAGTCCACCCGGGATCGGATATATGCAGCTTCATCGAGTTCCGGGGCCGGGGCCTTGGGGTCCGCCGGATTGGGCGTGACAGCGAAGTAGAAACTATGCGGCCCATATGGATGCAATCGCTGGCAGTACACCGGCTCCAGGGTTCGGAGTCGGAGTATATCGTCATCTGGGTCGACTGGTGGCCTCCCCGGGGGTAGACAACATCGCGATGCATATCTCCACGATGTTTGCCCATAGTGCTTGGGGTGCGGCACGCGTATCGACAGCCGTCGGCGGGACAGCGGTAGCCACGATGGACCGTTAATCCAGGAATTGGCCGGGAGTCAGGGGGTGGTGGGGTGAATGGCTCAGTGTCAGGGTTCCATGTGTTCGCCTTAATGGCTTCAGTATGAATAGCTGCCCGTTGGTCGCCAGTGCGGGCCATAGGGCGTTGTCGGTGCTTTGCGTCTAGGTGGGCAATCATGGTTTTGACATCCACCACATATTGACAGGTCTTGCAGATCCATAACCGATATGTGGCATTATATGTGAAGAATACCCCGATGGCGTCCTGGTGAGAGCGCTAGTGGAGAAGGCAGCGGTGAGTGAGGTAGATATAGAAAAGCACAAGGTGTAGATTCAAAGATCTTGATCTAGGGAGGCAGGGAATAGGGGTTGAACGGCACTGGGGCCGATGTGATAGGTCATCCCGGAGAGTACCTCGGGATCTGACACGCGGGGGCGGGACTGCCCAAGGTCTGGCTGACCGATCTAGATATTCCAGCGCAATGCAACAAATAGCGACATCGAGAGATCGAGATAGGATGTGCTTCTCTCGAGAGATCAATCGTTGGGGAATCAAATCAGGTATGGCCTCGGAATTATCAGGAACACGTCAATCTGGGCAGATCACATATGAGCCCAATGCACCCGGCAAACTGGGGTTGACAGTGTAAAGATATATATTGTAGTGGGGAGACCCCCTCCTACATGGGTGCCATCCAGACTATGTGACATAGCCGGCAGTATACGGTGGCCGGATAGCCAGTTCTAGAATACACCTTCTTACACCTCCCCGACCTGACCCCTACATACGCGTGTGTTTTGTGGTGGTTTTTCTGCTGAATCGACCCGCACGTCTCAGCGCGTGCTGCCATCGAGCGTTCCCCTCTTCAATATATATACCGCAAAGACGGGGATACACATCTATACTCTAAATGTGATAATTCGGTGTGGTGAAGCTTAGGTCTGGTACGATCGTGCGACCGGAGTGTGGATGATTCTCCAACTGCATCATATAGCAATTCTTGTCCGAATGAATCGTGAATAGTCTATGGCTGTGCCTGGCAGGGTCGCTGCGGTCGGCGGTCGCGGATTTCGCGAATTTGATGGGGTGCGGGCCTTCCGGGCACGCACCGAGGGTGGCGGGAGCACGCACGGGGGACCAATCAGACGGCGAAGAAGTCGGAGGGAGCCCTCCCTCCTTTAAGGCATTATGGATTAAGGGGCATTATTAGTCCCAATCTGGAGCCCAGAGTTTTTGCTGCCAAATGAGTTCCACGCCATGATTAAAGCAACTCATACAATGTCAAGAGTACCTTCAGGAAACGGGTTAGTAGGAGCTGGCCAAGTAGCCAAGTGAGGGGCACTTCAGCCGCATCGTCAGGTGACTCCGCCGCTCGTAGTCAGAAAAACGTGTTGAGGCCCCAGTCAGTAAATGCGACGGCACGTGACTAGTCTGGGTTTTCGTCCGAGTTTCTATTGGCTGAAAACTATCCGCCCTATCCTGCCTCCATTTTCGAGGGCGATTAAAAGATAGAGGAATTCTGGAAGCAGACCATTGTTTCGATTCTAATGATACCAAATTCAACGCACAACAAGTGGCGTGGCGCTTGTAGTTTGTGCCTGGATTTTAAAACCACGTGACTTTCGTCCGGGTTTTCGTTCGAGTTTCTATTGGCTGAGAGTATTCACGTTTCCCACCATCAATTTTCAATAATATGTAAAAATAAAAACTGCTTTGGAATCTGGAGCATGTGAGCTTTCTATCCATACTGAAATTATTTCCATCCGGACGTTGTGGTGGTATGGTCACCTGCCATAATTTGCCCATTGGACATTACGTCATCTGTACAGCCAGTGGTCGGTGGATGATGCCCAGGTGAAAAATGGGGGAGTGCTGTTTCAGCATCGCGCGCCTAGGGTGAGTGCGAAATAGCTAGGGCGAGGAAAGGGTAAGAGCGGGTGAGACTCACCCTCCGTCCTCCCAGTGCAACCTGAAACGCTCGTCTCCTTGGCATCTGCACATAGCCACAACAAGAGATATGAATGAAAGATTCATTGTTTCATAGTCTGCTGACTAATCCGGCGGAAAGCTTTGCACCCGCACCGCTCTCCCATGTTTTTCTGACCGTTACTACCTCACTAAGCTAAGCCAGCTTCACTACAAGCATGCATACCCGGCACCATGTCTGTGGAATCCAAAACCTGCCAAGATGATAAGGGTCAGTGTATTACTCTGGAACGCTTTGGATCTCGCTTCATGCAGGCTAAATCACAAACCAGCTGGTCTGAACGTTGTATCGCCCTCGATTGAGCTTCCCGGCCTTCGGCGACCGATGAAAACCAATGGCCCGTACGCATTCAGTGAAAACGAGATTAAAACTATCGAAAGAAGTCAAGTCGTCCGAGTTTTGGATTCTGCGCCAACCATATGGGAAAATGGCGGGATCAAGATCGTTCGGATTGCTGACAATGCCGTCGTCAAGTATGGATATGATGTTAAGCTTTTGGAAGCTAGGAATATGGCATTCGTGGCTCAACATACCACGATCCGGCTTCCGCAAGTTTTCGATGCATGGGTGGAAAATGAAGATAAAGGTGTGGATGACGAAACCGGTATCTGCTTCATCGTTATGAGTTACATAGACGGTTGGCTGCTCGACGAAGTCTGGTCTGAACTACACAGTACCCATCGCGAGGATATCCAAAAGCAGTTGCATTATTTCATACGCGAGCTCCGCAAAACCGAGAGCGAATATCCGGGGCCGGTTGGGGGCGGTGTGTGCCAAGGTGCCTTCTTTACTGACTACGGCGCGGGGCCTTTTTCTTCAAAGGAGGAAATGGAGACCTGGTTTGACGAGAGACTTGCTGTCTGCCGTGACTTTGGTGTTGCAGATCAAGCGCAACGAGGTTTCCGTGGGGAGTTCCAGCGTCTAGTCATGTGTCACATGGATCTACACCCGCGCAACATTATCCTCGATTGTGATAGAAAGATTTGGTTGATCGACTGGGCTTACGCAGGAATGTACCCGGCTTACTTCGAAACAGCCACCATTTTAAGGCATGGTAGAGATCCATACTTCGAACGTCTACTGGATCTACTGGGGGACGAAGAGTATAAGGAAGCGACTGATCGCCTGTTTGCGATATCCTTTGCATTGACTACGGGGGCATTATGCAAGCCGTCCATTAAATGTGACGTTTTTGAAAACACTAGTTGACAGCGAAGCAACATAGCATTCAATAACATAGTCCGTCCCAAAAAAGGAACCGTACCTTAGTTCACATGAGTTTCCAAGAGCATCTTGTCAAATCACGGCCTTTTTGTGGACATTGGAATTTTAATTGAGTCGTTTATGAGATATTTTAGATTCGGGAGATTAGAACCTATCAGTAAGCGCCCGTTGCACCCACATGCTGGCGCAAGCATGCCTTGTCTCCACGTCTACAGCTGAGTTCGGCGGTTAAACATGACTGTGTTTCATGAATGGCTTAACACATACCAATGACTGGATATACTGAGCACACTTATCTAACAAGTGCTCTCTCGGAGCTTCGGGTTAATCTATTTTTAAATGACCTCAAGGTATATAATCCGTGGATTGACTTGAGCGTACGTATGATATTTTCGATATACCCGAATTTTCAAAACAGCTTGAATTCTTTTATCAATTTCATTTGGAGGCTAGATCTACATCATTGTTCGATATGTCGACTGTCCAATATATTCCTCCATCACTGTCCTCGTCGGTATCCAATTTGCCAATATCCTCCATTTTTGCCTGCGCGCACCCTCCAAACCAGACAGGAGCACCTGGTACTTCCGCAAGTGGCCAAATGACCAATCACTGGGTCCTTCATTGTGTTATCAACCCAAACGAGTCCGTGCGAATTGACCCGAGTCCTTCGGGTCCCAATTTTTCCATGGTTCTGATCATTTCGAAGAAAACCTATGCCTACTCCCACAATGCGGTCAAAACTGTCCAACTGTCGACCCAGCCTGGCCTGACCCTTGCAAAACTGCTGGCGCTTGTCGCTGGTAGTAAATATGACAAGTATCAATTTGCCGCCGGCGGCCAAGGTTGTAGATTCTGGGTCAGCAAAGTCCTAGAGCTTTTGAGATCTGGGGGCTACATCCAAGCTGGTCCGGAGTGCCAAACCGCATTGAATTCTATACAAGTTGTGTGGGGCCCGGGCTCTCAACCTCTTCCGTCATCCCAGCAATCACTGGTAGTGGCCGGCAGGTTTCTATAAAGGTAGACCTTGTTACCAATAGGTCGTGCTATTCTTTGGTATTCTTATCAGCCTCCCAGTAGGGCTTTATGAGACAATACCGAAAGTACTGGAGAAACAACGATTTCTTGGCAAATCGAAGACAGGATGTGACCAGTTTTGGGCGCGTTCAATTTGTTACCTTAGAGTCGGAATAGCGACATGTGTCTCGTAAATTTTTTAAAGCTATTCAGAATCAACATCCCATCTTCGTTAAGCTTTGCCTAAATCCAATACCATCTAATAGCCTATCTACTTTATCAAATGAGTTTTCGGGCGACCGCTTCCAGCGTATGACCCCAGCCAGTCTTTCACATTCTCGACTACTGAGTCAAAGGTCGAGAAAAAGCTACCCAGACAGAGGATCTCTGCCAGTCAAGTTGAACCTCTGGCTTTGAGGGTTCGTCTGATTTATCACCCTATATTTTGTCATGGGCCCTCCCGGAGTATCTCCTATTTGCTACTATTTTCCGATAAAGCGTGCATAAATCCTCAATTCGTTCATAAGAGACCGAGTTTGAACCGCCAGGTGTCTGCTTGAGACTGTATCCACGGACGACTAGTTTTAAACTGCCGAGCATCGGGCGCTAAATCTAACACATGGAGAGTTGTTACGGACCCTGCAACAATGAGGGCCGGCGGCTTACTGAAGGGCGGCTTAAAACCAATCATGCAAAGGAAACGCGCGCAACCCCGGAGATCACGTGTAAGGCACAAAACCAAGCACTAGACCTCGTCAAAATCGCGGGTTGGGTTTCGACCCTTGACCCAAAACCCGCCAAGAGATTTGAATACAGATAATATATACCATATTACACATATTTATATGTTTTACATGTAGTATTACAACTGGTATTCCTTAATATACGGGCTGGTGGGTTCTTGGCGGGTTCGCGGGTACCCGTAGGGTACCCAAAAAAGCAATATGGCGAGGTCTACCTGTCAGTAGAGGGAATGGCACGTGACTAGTCTGGGTTTTCGTCAGAGTTTCTATTGGCCGAAACAATATCTGCCTTATCCTGCCACCATCTTCGAGGGTGATTAAAAGACAGAGGAATTTTGGGAGCAGACCACTATTGTGAATTTAATGATACCAAATTCAACGTACAACAAGCGTTGTGGCGCTGGTGTTTTGTGTCTCGAAATTCCCAACAAATACCTAATCAACCCTGAAACGCGGGTTTTTGCTTTTTCGCGGCCCGGCCCGGAATCGCCCTTAATTTACCTGAACTACCTTAACTTACCTTAACCACCGTAACTACCTTAACCACCGTAACCACCGTAACCACCTTATAAGTCAGCAGGCACCCCAATCTTTAGCGGGGAATTAGCACCTTTCGCTACAGGACGAGCTCCACAGTGGCGTATGCACCGCTTTAGGCCACCACATGAACAAAAATGGAGCACTCCGCCCTCACCCACCCCCCAAAAGCGGCCCCCAATAATCTTACTTAGTAGAGTGTGGTGTGTGTGACGACATGCATAGTGAATAGCGTTTAATGATATATGCTCCCAGCACTGTTAGGCCGCCAGCCAAGCCCTGATATGTGATCCCCACCCCCCCAACGCGGCCTATCATATCAGGGCTATTCATAGGTTTTGCAGTCGCCAGCGCAACATCACACCAAAGCACTGATATACCTTAAGATATGTGCGCTTTGGATTTGCCAATGAGGATAGGTGCGAGAGGTATAAATACTTCGCATCAAGCATCAATCTGTGTCTTATGTCTAGGAGTGTTGCCTTTATACAAATCTACACAGAATTTTCTCTGTCTTACTTCTGGCCTACTTTAAACTCGTCAGCTTCGATATCTATTAAATCCACAATGTATTTTATCCGCACCCTGTCCCTCGTCCTCGCCGCAACTATCTGCACCACAACAGCAGCGGCCCCATTATCTCGCCGCGATATCCTGGCGACCATTGCCCGCCGTGTCCCAGATCCCCAAAATGACTCAGCTGAATGCACAGAGGCCACATTAAAGCTTAATATCATCTTCTCAGCACTTAGAGGAGAGGAGTACCCTGAGGCAGATGAGGTACGAGGTTTCTCTCCGCTTGGGCTATGTCAACTATACCCTCATAAAGGATCTCTGATGAGGCCAAACTAATACTATATATAGGCGAGAGCTTTGGCGTTGGCTGAGACATGGGCTGCAATCGCTGATGAGGTTTGTGGTTGAGGGTGGGGTTGGAGCGACCCTTCATGGAAGGGATGTTCTTTCACTTAACTTGTTATGACTATCAAGTCAAAGTGGGACGCCGCGGGCGCATAGGTTTGAGAGATACCTTAACTTGCTATGTCCATTAATGCAATTTCCCGTGATTTGACCTGGAAATCAATTTATGAAGCGATATACAGGCTACTGTACAAGTACTGCGTAAATATATGTTTGTTAGTGTTTCACTGAGGTTGATCCAATGTTCCTGAACGGTGAACTTTGCAGGCTTCTAATTATAGGCTCTTGTATCTGTCTTACAATCTATAGAAAGGGCCCGCTATTATTACGGATAGATACACAGCGTGTTTATTTACTGTATCATGTGACTAGAGTTTGTGTCGCAGCTAGCTGATACAGTATGGCATTGTATGCAAGAATGGGGCTAATACCAAGGGGAACCAATCCAAAAAGATAGGATGAATTAATTGGAAGAAGAAAAGAACGGATGCTGCGAAGACACGTTAGGGTGTCCTTGCTTACATGAGTAGGGTGAGGGGGGTTGAAACTCCCGATTCTCGGAGTGTCGAGAATCCCCTAGTACAAATGAAGATATCACGACACAAACGGAACTAAACTATTTCGGGTGCTACCCCACTATCCTCGACACTAGGTAATCAATCGCTTGCGAGTGGTAAGTTACCACTCCATGCGATGACATATATTTTAGGTAAGGTCGATAAGGACTGTAGGGGCATGATTGGTCACTCACAGTGTATCGCTCACATTGTATCCTCAAATAGCAACGCAAACTTGGTTTCCATTCAACACATTGACGCAGTTCAAGGCGTCGAGGTCAGATAATATGGTGAGGATAGTCACACCCTTAACCTTGCAAACTGCCTTTTCATTATTTTTGCATTGTATCTTGTCACGCTGCTCCAAGTTAGAAGCAGGAGAAGCAGACACGGCTGCAAGACCCGCTAGGGTAAGAGTGATGATAGTGTTGAAATGCATCCGTATCTTTAAAAAGCTGAGAATAAAGGGAAGCTTAGGAGAAGATATAACTCAAGCCTCTCAGTCTCAAGTTCTAAGGGTTCTTGGTGTCCAATGTCTCTGTGAATGAGGTTCGTGAAAGAAGGATAATCTAGCCGGGAGCACTTCATTTATAGATAGCTCGGACCATCTGGATACCTGTTATAGTGTTTTCCTCTTCGTCATGAACTGAGCATGACATCATGACGTTTGAGGTACTGCTCCTTTTTCACTTAATACTAAACAATAGGCTATAGAAATGACGTGAAGGTCTAGACCCTAAACACAAAACTCAACTGAGTAGAACAAGTTAGGGTAATGATTAATACGTAGCAATATGGTGAATTTGGCTAATTTAAGGTTGCGTGGATGAAACCTTAAACTAAACCATTGGTTTGTTACATTTTAATTCGATGTTTAAGCTTGATGTAACGCTAATTAACCTTATTATGTACTTCACGAAGTGACGTCGAACATTCGAGCAGAGACTTGTTAGGAAGCTTTTGCAAGCGTTGCAGCAAATATCATCCAAGCTTGAAAAGGAGACAGGAGTAAACTCTGAACAACGTGTCCCCTCCTATGTTCTAGGTAAAGGTAGATCTCGAGTTTACCGTAAGGATGCTGCATAGTTGGTGTCCGTACCCGAGGGTGGATAGTTCGTGCTTGAGTGGTAATCTGCGAGAAACTTTAATGGCTAGGTTGTGGTCACGACTGGAGAGTAGAACTGGGAGCAAACATGGTCACCTGTTGGTTCCAGAAACCTATAGTCTGCTAAGTTCCCTAGATGCTCTAGTACTGCTATATACACGTATTTGAATCGACACGCTGATGACTTGTAAGTATCAGGAGCAACTCAAGTAGAGTACTAACTTTTCCGCGGCAAACCGCAAGTGTACGTGCTGTTTCACTGCTCGGTGGAGGATCATTCGGCTACTAGATTAGATCATGGTTAAGTCTTCGGCATCTTGCCATGCGCTTTTTCTTTTCGCAATCAATCGTTGCTAAGCTCCTCAAAACAAGGCAAGGGTTTCTATTGACCTTGAAACGCAGACTCCCACTGAAATCTGAGTATGCTGATGCTCTCACGGACTTTTACGGTTTCAAAAATAAACCACGCCCACCATAACGTCGCGTCGTCGCCCCAACCAACCCACCAGAAACTGACAGGAAGCCTCGATCCCTAGCAGTATGAAGTCATTCTCCATACCATACGCAGGAACAGACTCGCCACATCATTCACAAAATAGCCGAGGTGGCGAAGTGTAGTGAGCGCTCTGTCACATGCGCAAGAATTACAGTTTGTTCGGCAGACGGAACGAACTACTGCAAACAGGCATAGACCCATGTGTGGAGCATGCTGTCACATCGTCTTTGCACAATTTCTAGTATTGTGATTGGTGGCGACGCAGACCGCCGTAGGTAAGCTTCGCACAACCCACCCCGCCCCGCTCGTTCCACCCACTCGTAGCCCCCACCCCAAACCTGGTCAGAGATTAATCCAGCTTGGCTCTGGAAATAAAGTTCTGCCATACTGACTCTGATCCGCGGTTTATGCACAAGCCTATTTCTCTCAGTTAGTAAAAAAGCTCATCGTCGCTGTGGCAATTGTGGAGAAGCCGGTCATGATGCACGCTCCTGTCAGAGTACTGTAGTAACTGTTATATTTCAAAGGAAGATTAATTGTTGTTATTAAACTAGAGGTGGATCGATCAACTCTCTACCGGCATTGGTCTCCACACCCCTCAGGGCCAAAAGTATCGTCATTGTGTTCACTCTGCCCGCAGCAGTGGCGGCAGAAAAGGGGGTTTGTCTCGCAGCACAGACATTCAGATCGATTCCTGGAGCCGCAAGCAGCTGCTTCAAAATCATGGTATTCAAGCGTGTCACGGCATGGTGCAACGGTGCCAAGGGTGTGTCAAGTCGACCAGAGCCGCCGATCAAGTTGACATCAATGTCCTTTGCAGCCAGCAGCCTTTCGGTAATCTCGTCATACGATGAAAGCGTCGAGGAAACAACAACTCAAGCGCAAAATTGAATTTTTGTTATATCTCAGGAACCATGCCTGTTAGAGTAACAAACTCAACGGCATTTTCAATCCAACTTCTCGCGCTATCTTGTGACACCCGCTGTGAAGCCCCCAGGACGATATGCCGGTGCCGCACGCGGAGAAGGCTGTTGGGCGCGGCCCGACGGGGGCTGCCGGACGCCCAGGGAAAAACTTGCCAACGAACAGAGAACGCGTACAGAACCTCTATAGTGATGCCACGGTGCTGCATGAGGAGATGAGCAGTAGCCAGAAAGGCCTGAAGCCAGAGAAAGTCAAGAATCCCCTTCAAACCGTGAAGGATCTGACGAAAGACCTTGTGCTGTTGCCCCTGAACGATTGGCAGCATGAGCTGAGGGAGCTCCGCCAGGAGCTCTCCCAGGGGATTCAGGCTGTCAAAGCCGCTCTCACCGAGCCACCAGCGAGGCAAAGCATTAGGTCGTTTGCTGAATCCGCAGCTAGGGCACCTGCACCAGCCCACCAGCTCTCACGAACAGGCTCTGCATCCAGCTCCCCTGCGCGCCCGGACAGTTCACGTGACCACGAGGTTGTGATATGCCTCAATGACAGATCTCAGGTGGCCGAGTATCGCAGAAAGACCTCCGCGGAGATTGTGACGCAGGCAAACCAGGTCAGAGCGAAGCATGCGAGGTCCACGGGCACGCCGACCCTCTCCTCGGTGATGGTACAGGCAGCTCGCCAGTTGAAATCGGGTGATATCCGGCTCACCGTGCGAGATGCGAAAGAGGCAGAGCTAATGCGGGTCCATCGGGAGAAATGGGTGAAAGTCTTTGGCCGTACGGCGTTTGTGCATCGGCCAACCTGGGGAGTGATCGTGCACGGCATGCAGGTCAAGTCACTGGTGGATAAGCCCTCGGTGGAGGCATTGCGGAACGTCCAGGCGAGTAAGGGTGAAGCCATTGTTGCTTAAAACCATCATTGGTTGGGGGATGCAACTATCTCAAAGATCAGCTGGCTGCGGGTGCCGAGAGATGGGACCAAGCTGGCCTCGATCATCCTGGAATTCACGACGCCGCAGTCGGCGAATCTGGCAATCCAACATGGGGTCCTCTGGGATTCAAACCTTTATCAGGCCATCCTGTATGGCAGGGCGATCCGAGTGCGTCAGTGTTTCAACTGCCAACAATATGGACACATGGGCACCTCCTGCTCCAACAACATGAGATGTGTGTACTGTGCGGAGGAGCATCAGTCTCGAGATTGCTTCAAGCGTACACATAGCGAGCACAAGTGCGCTAACTGCGAGGGCGCACATGCTGCGTGGAGTGATGACTGTGAGACGCGGAGGGCGGCGGTGGAACAGAGCAGGGAGCTCACCAAACTCCGGGGGATATATCATCGCGTCCCGGGGCCATACAGCGTCCACCAGCCCTCTGTCTCACTAGAACCTCCTCCACCCAGCTCGTGGGGAACACCGCAGATCTCAGGGACTTCAGAGTCAAGCGGCACAGGAAGTAGCGCTTCTGTGCCGGCCGCACGCTCCAGTAACGGGGAGCAGGGTACAGGCCCACCATCCGCAAGTCAAACCGCTACTGTCACGCAGAGCCATAGCACAAGGAAAACGGGAAAGACAGCCAAGTCAGTTACAACAGTGTCATTAGGCAGGAGAGGGAGACCTACCAAGGTGCAACCGGCTAAGGACATAGCCATGGCTCCTGCTGCCGAAGACCAGCAGAGTCAATCCAGGGATATCAATAGCGGGCAGCGAGCTGGCCGACCCCAGTCTCCTGCTCAAGGGAACCAGACGCAAACACCATCATATAAGTTTGCACGTACTCAGGAACCACTGCAATTCAACGCCACCAGTAACTTCAACCGCTCAACCTGCGGTATCGACTTCCAACCGGCAACCGCCGCCGCTATCATCGACACAGACAAATCTTTGTCGAATACTGAGAAAGCGAGAGCTCGGATGGCCAAGGCCAGGGAAGAGAAAGCAAAGAAGCGAAGTGAAAAAGGCGGCCAGTCCAGATTGACAGAATCAATGGAGTCTGCTGCAAAGCGAAGGTCAACCAGGATCAACAAACTCGTGAAGTGGGCAAACCATGACATAGAGCAGTCAGAGCTCAGTTCTAAGGTTGATGAGGTCAATATGGAGGAACTGGAACGACAGTTCCGCCAGGATCAGTTGTCATCTCTGACAGGGGAGCGCTATAGTGATAGGGACTTCCAGCCATCCTCGACTCTGCCTGAAAGGACAGGCAAAGTAAGCAGAAAAAGAAAACAACCTCACAGTGAGAGCATCTCTCTCAATATTCGGCCAAGTGGCCAATGGAAAACCCTCAGGAGGAAACCAGCTACATCCAACCGCCAATGAATCCATCACGACAGTTTCAACACACACAAAAGCAGCTTACTATCTACCAGTACAATGTGAACCGCTCCAAAGACGTTGTGATGGCTCAATTCCTGCGGGATCCCGTCGTTCTGCAAGCCCGATATCATCGCATTCAAGGAGTCATGGAGAAACCCTTATAGGGATGACACCCACCACCCTGCCAAGCAGACACATGAGCTTCTTTACCCTCCGGCTCCACCAGGGGGCAGGGCGCGAGTGTGTATGTTTGTGGCAAGCAATTAGCCACGTCAAGTTGGACGCACATCGTTCACTCTGCGATTGTCAGGAGCTTCGGGTGAAGAGGGTGTCGACTGAGCTGCGAATCGTGAACATATATAATGACCAAGGGACGAATAAAGCAGTGCAACTCTTATCAGCAATATTACCTGACAGATATCATGTTGGTTCCTCCTCATGGTTATTCATTGGGACTTCAATCTCCATCACCCAGTCTTGGGGGGGGGGGGGGGGGTGCTGAGAAAGACGCTGAGGCGGATGAGCTCCTAGACGTGATGGATGATGCTAATATTAGTGATATCTCTCTGTATCTTTAACATATGCAGAACTTACTAAATCATGTATCAACTGGTCGATTCCACGCCTTTTTTCTTCTAAGCGACACGTACCTCCTTTCAAATGCGCTCTAAGCGCAGAGGTTCCTGTACGCTTATGACCTGGATGAGTAAGGGTTGTAAAACACCGCTTACACATAACCTTAGGCTCCCCTGTCCTCTCATGTGCAACCTGTTCAAAATGCTCCCAAAGTACTGATGTTTTTTTCCCATCCCAATGTAGGGCATCTCGGCATTGAGGGTTCGATCCAAACGTAGTAGTTAGCCACCATTCCATGAATTGCTTCCGGGAGTCTTCCATCTCAGGCTCACTGGTATAGAGAATCCAGAACTTTTGAAGTGTTGGTCCGACGCGCTCAAGTGATTTTGGCGCATAAGAAAATTGCGGAGGGGAATTAAAAGGAATAGAAGTCACGGTCAGTTGACTGTTTGGTAAATCAGGAAGGTCATCTGATTGAAGAAGATTGGGATTGATAAAGGAATCGGAGGAAAAGGATACTTGGGACTGAGACATTGTAGTAAGTTCCGAATGGTTAGAAACTAGAATAATAAAGAGATACATGAGGAAGAGAGAGGGGGTAGCTTATACAAATTCTTCCTACTATTTAGGAGACAAACGGGTCGCGACCACGAGTTGGACGAAGACATCATATGGCTCGACATGGGGCGGATAAATCATCTAGCAAATCCTGATACGATGAGACAGAGCTGAGGATACCGAGAGGGGAATGTGAATAACATATGGTCTGCATATAGCTGCGGCACGGGACAGGTTGGGAAGTTGACCCTCACCAAGATAGTATTGTCACTGCTGGCCATTCCATTTCCATCCCCCCAACCGACTCCAGATGGGCCTCGTCTACAGTACAATGATGATGATGATGATGATGATGCCCTGAAACGAAGGAACGGAGTGGAAGGGGTTACCAACCCCACGGCTGCCCGACGCCGACGTTGACACTGCCAGAAACACTGCGAGAAACACACACCCTACTCTCCCGCCGAGCCTAATAAGCACTGACCAATGAGAAAGGCGTACAGTATGACTAATAGCCGAAACACCCTGGAAAACAGAAAACTCAGAAAATTGCTAATTAGCCATTGTATTTCGATTGTGCAAGGATATCGATGTATGATGTTTTACGTTGTCTTCGAGAACGCCTCTCTGGAGGGGGTGTGGTAGCCAGTGACGAGGGCTCGTTTTGTCAGTGGTATCTGGCTATGTAATTTGTCTGGTCTCCTCATCCTCATTATGGAGAGATGTTGTGATAGGCTTCAGCCTCACGTTTGGACCATTCCTGATGTCGCTCAAAAGCCTGGACTTCAGCTTCTAGACGAGCTTCGATAGCCTTCTGTCTTGGGGCTCCAATAAGGCGTTCATCAACCAGTGGAACAATGTCGGCCGTAATCGGTTTTGCGTATTTAAAAAGGCAGTTAGGGCGTTGGAGATCTCCGGACACGACATCCCAGACTTGTCTTGCCTTTAAGTAGGAGGTCATAAGATGCTTCCACGTTGCATAATTATCACTCCCTGTTAAAGGCTCAATAGCCGCGACATTTCGGTCGGGAGACTCGGTAAGATGTGCAGGCATCGTGGCTGTGCCTGAAGTGCGGGGTAAATATAGCTTCAACAAGTTGTAGTATGCAGTGGTTCTCAGAGTGAGTGGAGACGACACCCGAGAAGTTAGCACCCGGGCTCATAACCTGTTGTAATTCAAAGGAAGATTGCTTGTATTCCTTCTGGACAGAAAACTTGAGGGTTTATATACACATGCGACCTCCAGATTGATTTCCAATCAAAGCTGGTAATTCCGTGAGGTTAGGAATTGATTCCGTTACGATACGACATATCACAACAAGAGCAACTACTTCAGGGGAATGTAGTCGCGGATGGGTGATAGGAAGTGGTTCAGTTTGTGAACTTGCCGCCGATTTAGTTGGGGTTTGAGGGCTGGCTATTTGAGACTAATGGTCTATATGCTTTCGTTTACTGGTTGAGGAATGGGTGGCGGGTAAATGATAATTTGGTTTTGGGAGGAAATGTATATTATTCGTTATGATTGCTGATTGGCGATGTTCTTTTGCGAGGCTGAAAATGCGATCTGTTATGAAGACAGGAATTTGGGCTCAGTAGTGGAAAGTTCGCCCACCGCTGACCATTTTTGAAGTACGCGGTGACTGGGAAGTTGTGATAGGTTCGAGCGGAACTGTTGTAAAAAGTAGTCTGTGGAGACGGTAGTGAAGAATGAGTTGGGCCGCCAGTTAGTTGACCATCGCGTTCAAGAACAACACCAAGCAACGCCACTGTGGGCTGAGCAGCTTCGGGACAGTGCATGAAATATATTTCGGTATCTTCTTCATGACCCGGAAACCCTAATGACTACATTGTGTTAGCTTGGTTCTGTAGGAGATGAAGTAAACTCACCGGTCCAAAGTGTGAGCTTGGATAATAATATGAAATTCCTCGTCCTCGGATGAGGTAGTCAGGAACGATCCCGAGGAATATATACAGGTGTGATATTTGGCACAGAATACGCGGTATGGTCTGGTACTGACAACCCTGGTTAGGTCAGTCAGTACAGTGTGGAACAGGCTTACTAAGTTCCATTCGGAATACTGAATCTCCGATTCAGTACGCTAGTGTATATAAGACCGTATGCCCCAGATAGTTTTCAGAACTAGACAACCCCTTCTGTTGAGTTATCACATCTGGTAGCATGTCCTACTAGGCCTGCCTCCTACGGCAGGCCCAGTGGTGTGTTGGCCGGCAGGCAACTGCTCGTTCTGATGAGCTTCGGCCAAAGCTCTTCGGAATATGCGAGCTTTGTTTACTCGCCATCAACTTCGGTCTACGTGCCCAAGTTCGATCAAGGGCCTGAACAGGAGACTGAGGGTGCCAGATAAGGAGCAGGAATGAGAATACTCTTCCACAGTTGGACTACCATGAGATGTGGGAGCACCATTTACCCCGGAATAAGGACAGTCAACTCCTCCCGTGACGCTCGGTACACATCGAGGACGTCATGAAATCTTATTTCGAGCGGGGAAACGCCTCAGGAAGCCGCTAGGAGCGAGCAAGGCTAGTGGAAGCGTGTGTTTTGTCCCTCATTCTGAAGCCTATGACGACCTCTTGTGGAAAGAACGGCAAGTCGACACTGTTCTTGAACGCCCATTGGTAGGCGTTGGCTACTGAGATGCGGACTCAGTGAATACGAGAGGACCCCCTCAGTTGAAATCTCCTTGTCAACATGAAGTGGAAGTGCTATTTCGAGGGCATAAATAGTGCCTCGGAATCGGCTGAGAAAGAGTGTCTATGAGAACAACTCATAGTGACCATCCAGTCGGAAAGAACCATCCTATACTGAATTTTATCTTATGTCTTCAATTTTGTTCTGCGTTTCTTTGATACTGCTTCTTCAATCTTTTATTCTGTTGATCGTTCTTATACAATCCCTATGTCCAATCAAGGAGACCTTATGGAATCGGGCGAAACCACGGGTCCTACCCAAGGGACGATACCGGAGACCATTGGTACCCCAGGGGCCGTTCCGAACCCCCAATTGTCACGAGCCATATCACCTGGGACAATGCAAGCTCTGCATGCACTCCCAGCAGACATGGCGGAAGCCCAGTACGTTCAGTGGCTATCCGCTACAAACCCGACAGCCCAGGTCCAAACCATCAAGGCCTTGGCGTGGGGGATCCAGGAAGGTCAGCGCCGACAGGAGGAACAACAAAGAGCTACCGAAGCGGCAGCCAACGTTCCGAGTAACTCCTCAGGATCAGCCATCCGTGGAACAGCTAGCACAGCTGGACTCCTTCCTGGGAGAGCAGATTGGGAGACTCGGAAGGCACTCCTCAAGGACCTAGTGGGAATCCCTGAGTACTTGGGGCAATTCAAGGACGATGCGGCGCGCAAATGGATACTCGCGTGTGAGCGCCACTTCCAGGATGTGGAAGGGCTTACCGAAGTCGAGATCTCAGATACTCAGAAAATTATTGCAGCCAAATCGAATCTCCGGAAAGCTGCCGAAGACCGATGGCGGGTCATGTACGGAAGAAAATCAATTCAAGGCATGCAATGGGAAGAGTTCAAAACTTGGGTTGAAGAACAATTCAGTGAATACCTCAGTCCGGAAAAGAGGTATGCCAAATACCGAAGGATGACCCAGGGGAACCAAACTCCTTTTCATAAGTATGCAGCCGACCTACGCCAAGCGGCAGACGATCTGGAATTCAGAAATATGTCCGAAGACCTGATGATAGCGGATCTGATTCATGGTGCCAAGGCAGATCTCCAGGTCCGGTGGCATGCTTTACCAAAGCATCCTACCGAATGGAACGCCGTTGTGAAAGCCTTTGTGGGCCTGGAAGAGGGAGCTACTAGAGGACATGCTGTATCAATAA